ACGAGACCCGCAGACGCGCCGTCGCGTCTTACGTTTACTTCAGGATGCAAACGGGGCTCTGGAACGGATCCCGTTCGTATCCAGAGGTACCACTGTAAATGTTTTCCAGTCTTCCATACAAACGTATGTTCTTCTTGTGCTCAGAACTTTGGATCTGCTTTCTTAGATGAGATATATTGTTTCTGTACATTACTCAATGTGTTAAAAAATAGGTTTAAGCTGTGCACTGAAAACTGAAACAGCAACAGGCAACTTACAAAATAATACAAAGTTGTTAATCAATATCAATCCATTTTCCTTCTGACATACCCTCCCTCTCGGCCTCCGGGTTCTCCCCCACCATCCAAACAAACTCTGAGCTCACCCACAAAAAGTCTTGCAACAAGAAAGAGTTCTTCAAAACAGTGGACATCATTCTAGTCCAGGGGTCGGTAACCCAAGGCCCAGGGGCCAGATCTGGCCCAATCGCCTTCTAAATCCGGTCCGTGGACAGTCCGGGAATCTGCATGTTTTTACATGAGTAGAATGTGTCCTTTTATTTAAAATGCATCTCTGGGTTATTTGTGGGGCTCTAGACTCTCTCTCTAGATTTGCTTTTATGGGTAGGCCCAAAGTGGATGGGATTTCCTCAGGCTGCCCACAACTCTGTCTCTAGATCAGGGGTGTCAAACTCAAATTCATCGGGGACCGCATCAGCAGTTTGGTCACCCTCAAAGGGCCGGTTGTATCTGTAGGTCCTACAGTAAAGTGGAGGTTTCCTGTGTAGAACGGCCGACACCGCTAGAGGGCAGACGTTCTCTGGCTTGTAGGCTGCCGCGCATGCGCTGAAGAGGCGGCTTTCTTGCGTCAAAAAAAAAAAAAAAAAAGCGAGAATAAAAGGTGAAGGCTGGCAGCCAGCAGTGGCTACACGGGCCACATGACGAGGTCTGGCGGGCCGGATTCGGCCCGCGGGCCTTGTGTTTGACACCCGTGCTCTAGATCATAATTTTTTTAATTGTCAGTTATAATCTAATAATGTGCCGTAAGCCTCCCATAGTAGCTGGGGAAACCCAGCCCGATGGGTGGGGTATAAATAATAAAATTACTATCATTATTATTATTAGTTTTCATAGAGGGGAGTGGTCTTTTGAGCACTAAAGAGGACAGAAAACCGGAATAAATAAAAATCTCCAAACTATGGTTGCTTGTGTTTGGAAACTCAATCCCTCTGGGTTCTTTTCTACGGTACCACAAACCATAGTTTGGTATGTCTGAACAGAACAGGTATGAGGCTCTTCAGTGATAATATTAGTGAAATCAATTGTCTTATTTGAGGCTTTGGACATAGCTCACTTGATTTATGAACAGGATTGTCCACTTTTTAAAAAAGTGTTAATACCATTTGCCTGGGAACTGAGGTGCTCTAAAGAACAAGTGCAGCTCGCTGCTGTCAGATAACAGCTGAAGAAGAAATTCACACATTTTTCAAGCGGTTGTTGCATTTGAGCATAAATAGGTGTATGTTTTAAGGTCCGTATAGTTAAAGCCATGGTTTTCCCAGTAGTGATGTATGGAAGTGAGAGCTGGACCATCAAGAAGGCTGATTGCTGAAGAATTGATGCTTTTGAATTATGGTGCTGGAGGAGACTCTTGAGAGTCCCATGGACTGCAAGAAGATCAAACCTATTCATTCTGAAGGAAATCAGCCCTGAGTGCTCACTGTAAGGACAGATCCTGAAGCTGAGGCTCCAATACTTTGGCCACCTCATGAGAAGAGAAGACTCCCTGGAAAAGACCCTGATGTTGGGAAAGATGGAGGGCACAAGGAGAAGGGGATGACAGAGGGCGAGATGGTTGGACAGTGTTCTCGAAGCTACCAGCATGAGTTTGGCCAAACTGCGGGAGGCAGTGGAAGACAGGAGTGCCTGGCGTGCTCTGGTCCAGGGGGTCACGAAGAGTCGGACACGACTAAACAACAACAACAGGTGTATGTTTAGCATGAGGAGTTCTGGGCTGCAAACCTGCTTATACCATGGCATTCAGCTTTTGGGGGAATGCAGGCTCTTCCATTCAGAAAATGTTCCCAGTGTCCTGGCCAGACCTGTGTGTTTTGAGATGCTCAAATGCCTGTTGGGCCTCTGCAACGGCTTCTTGCCCCCCAAGGAATCCGTATGGGGCATAGTGAGTCTTGAATAGGCCGGCACAAACTTGCGGTAAGAGTTGGTGATCCCCCCCCCCTTTGAGTCTCAGAGGTGCACAAAACTCAAAAAGTCTCATCTTGAAGAATATGAATAGATTGTGTGGTGTTCAAGGTAATATGCCTTGAAAAATAAACAAACATTTAATATTTGGAATATTTTGTTTGCCAGGTTCAAAAAGACATTTGCAGTATAGTACAAAATTACTAGGTAATTCTTTTTTGTATCACTATTGCAGGAAACTTCAGGAGAAAAGGATCCCGCAGTACCATGGAGAACCCAACACACCTCCTGTTTTGGTGAGTAGTGGGTGGCACTCTGGGTTAAACCACAGAGCCTAGGACTTGCCGATCAGAAGGTCGGCGGTTCGAATCCCCACGACGGGGTGAGCTCCCGTTGCTCGGTCCCAGCAATCTAGCAGTTCGAAAGCACCTCAAAGTGCAAGTAGATAAATAGGGACCACTCCGGAGGGAAGGTAAACGGCGTTTCCGTGCGCTGCTCTGGTTCGCCAGAAGCGGCTTAGTCATGCTGGCCACATGACCCGGAAGCTGTATGCTGGCTCCCTCGGCCAATAAAGCGAGATGAGTGCCGCAACCCCAGAGTCGGTCACGACTGGACCTAATGGTCAGGGGTCTCTTTACCCTTTACCTATGTTTTCAGTCTGGAAGCTATTTCTCCCTCTGTCCAGTTGACCGTTCTTAATAGTTCCCTTAAAATGTACCACAAAGCATATAGATCAGGGGTAGGCAACCTAAGGTGCGGGGGCTGGATGCGGCCCAATGGCCTTCTAAATCCAGCCTGCAGACAGTCTGGGAATCAGCATGCTTTTACATGAGTAGACTGTGTCCTTTGATTAAAAATGCATCTCTGGGTTATTTGTGGGGCCTGCCTGGTGTTTTTACATGAGTAGAATGTGTGCTTTTATTTAAAATACATCTCTGGGTTATTTGTGGGGCATAGGAATTTGTTCATATATTTTTTTTCAAAATATAGTTTGGCCCACCACATGCTCTGAGGGACAGTGGACCGGATCCCGGCTGGAAAAGGTTGCTGACTCCTGATATAGATCATTTGAAATGCACATGCTGGCTATGCAATGTTTGTAATTGTGGTAAAATCGCCCTTTGTACCCATAGACAAGAGCTGGAGAAAAATATAAATGTTGAATGAACAGGGGATAGCAGTCACCTGCTGAGCTCAGACCTGGGCGAGAGATGCTGTCCTGTGCTTTGATGACGGAGGGGGGGTGGAGAGTTAGTGTGTGTGGCACCCCTACTTTAACCATTCACTTCGTTCGTTGCCTCTAAAGGGTTTACGTGAAGGATCACTGCTGCTTTTAGGAGGAGGCAAAAAGCTACTTTGCGAGGGAAAGCTGGGTCTTGACTATTGGGAAGGCAAAAATCTCACCCTTTTGCAAGTTCCATGAAAATGGTGTTTGTATTCTATGGCCAAGGCGCTGGCCATCAAATTCTTACATAGATCAGTTCCAGTTTTGTTTTTTCAAAGGGAGCAGCTACCATCTTACAAACCTTCCTCCTTGTAGTCTGCCTTGGCGTCTTCTCAGACACACCATGTTGGGACGGATGCCATTGTGACTGTCCTGAGGGTCTAAGTTCCTGATCTCTCAGTGCAAGCGTTTCTCAAACTTGCCTCCCCCCCCCCTCCCACGCATCCAATAATTGGGGGATGATGCTTCCACCCATTCCGTGGTTGCATCTTAGATCTTAAACCTGTTTTCTCCTCCTTTGCTCTTATTGCCTTCGCATCCATAGAAGCGTGGTACTTAAGGAAGACTTAGTTGTCCTAATTGTGGGGAGGCAAGCACTTGCATCGTGAGATAATCTCATCAACGATCATTAACCCTGGGGATTTTTTAAATAAAAAGGATAGGACAAAAAATCTCTACCTGGAGCACAATTCTCTTTTGTACAACACAGAAACACCGTTTACCTTCTTGCTGCAGTGGTACCTATTTATCTACTTGCGCTGGTGTGCTTTCAAACTGCTAGGTTGGCAGGAGCTGGGACAGAGCAATGGGAGCTCACTCCGTCTTCAATTTGAATTAGCCTGATCCTCTATTCCCTTTCCTCTTTCCTCTTCTATGAAGAAACCCTTCTGGGACCCCACACTTAAACTCTTCCCCGGTCTCCTTGCTGGCCCTAGTAGGAGCCAACTTGGCCAGTTAGCCCTGGTGATCATTTGATGTTTACTGACTAGGGTTCCCTCCCCTTAATGACCCCTGAATTTTAGAATTTTATTGAAATTGATGGTGCATCTATGCTGTTTTTAAGTCACATTTTAATCAATGTTTTATATTTGCTGTTAGCTGCCCTGAGCCCGGTTTTTAAACCGGGAAGGGCGGGGTATAAATAAAATTATTATTATTAAATATAGTTGTGCATTCTTTCACAGCAACTCTCTTATTCTCACATGCTTCCCCCTCACCCACTAACAGCTATTTTGGCTCGAGGAAATGTTCCCACACCAGAAGTTATAGTTTCTGCCTAGGCTACAGCTCAGCCAGGGCCCAAAAATCTTTTTTTTCCAGGCATGTATCGGAACACACAAGGGCTAAAAGTGTGGGTGTGTGCAAGCCATGCATAGATGCGTATCAGATGTGAAGGTATTCCTGGGGTTGGACAGGACACTTCCAGCCATGTTTGCGAGTTGTTGTCTGCCATCCCTGCTGAACAACGGATTGGCTAAAGAGAATTGTTTGCACAGCCCCTGTTTGCATGTGGAGCAAACCTTGCAATCCAGCTGTGGTGCCCATCCAGATGTTTGCAGGCACAGTGCTTTGGGGCAACGAAAAAGGAGAGAGGCTAAACACACGTCCAATTTTATTTAATTGGCTGCAGACCCATTATATACAAACCTAATTTGACAATCAATTTTATGTACAAGTTGAGCAAGCCTTTTAAAAAGGGTTAAATTACAAATCTGTAAATCTTACAAAGTGCAAATTTTAGAACGTTTCCCACCATGCTGTACATCAGTTCCGTGTTAGCCAATATACATACATACAGACTTAAAATTATTAAACCTTACCGTCGAAAACACAGTGTATTATTTAACCTTAGAAGCACCCCCCCCCCAAAAAAAGAGGAAAGGTATTGCACAGACTAACAGAAACATTTGCTGTTGTTACACAAGGACTAGTTGAACCTAAATATATCAAAAACACTTCCACCCAAAATCTGAAGGCATTTTTGGCATCAAAAACCCATTTGTAATCACAATTGCACTATCAGAATAATCAGTCTGCGATTATCAGTTGCCTGTATATATACATAAGGCTTAGTGTCCTGTTTCTATTTTAATTGTGGTGTTTTAAGCAAATGCAGAGGCACGTGGTAAATGAATTTTTGTTTTCTGTTTAGAAAAACCGGTTTTAAATAGCAGCACAATCTCCAGGGCAGGTTGCTAATTAACAAAGCTGGGATATTCAAAACTGTCGTTGAGCAGTACAAAAACACCCTCCGTATTCTTTTTCCTTGTAGCATTGCAGTGGGGAAGAACATGCATGTCTGTGGCCAAGCAAAAGGGATTGGGGAAAGTCAACAACAAAATGGCCCTGCCCCTCTCGTGTCAACAATGATCATTACTTTCCCTACATGCTCTTGCGCGGTGCTGCCAGATTTCGGGAAAATGCCATTTTGGCTGCTTTCAAAGCTCTGTTTAGTGTTCTCAAAGCGAAGACTTTTCGTTGACATGTTAGAAAGTGGCACGAGGAACCTGAATGCTTCTGTACAGGAGTATACAGAGAGGCCAGCAGTGGTTTCCTGGTATGACCCACGCCACTGGGGTAGCACATGACACAGACCTAGCAGCTACAGCGCAGGTGGGGAACCTGAAATCGCACACCTGTCATGTAACCCTAAGCCAAACCATGACTACGAGAGAAGATGTTGAAAAGGCAGTATTCTCCGTAAGAACTGCAGCTGCTTCTCTCCTCCTGCAGTAGCACTGCCCTGCCCTTAAGCTAAACCAGGCATAGGCAAACTCGGCCCTCCAGATGTTTTGGGACTACAATTCCCATCATCCCTGACCACTGGTCCTGTTAGCTAGGGATGATGGGAGTTGTAGTCCCAAAACATCTGGAGGGCTGAGTCTGCCTATGCCTGAGCTAAGCCATGGCTTAGCATCACTTCTGAAACCAGGCATGAAGTAGTTGAAGGCATGAAAGGACTCAGTCCACAAGCCCAACTCGGCTGCGGAGGGAAGTTCTACACAGATCGAAGACGGATAAATTTCCATTGACCCACTGCAGCAGCAGCCAACATGATGCCTTCAAGGCGTTGTCGGACTGCAACTCTCATCACTCCCCAACCATTGGCAACAGTGACCAGGTCTGATGGCAGTGAGGCCACCATGTTGGCTTTCCTTAATTATTATATTGTGAGGCCACCATGTTGGCTTTCCTTAATTATTTTCTTCAAAAGTCAGAAGACTCATAAGTTACTCAGAGTTTTGCTGGGAGGCCTGGGAGGCCTTCCAAAAGAACAAGCATGTGAACAGTTCCCATAGTTTCTCTAGTTTGCTCCCCTGAATTCGTCTTTGTTTACCAGCCTGACAGTTTTTTTTAAAAAAAATCCCAAATAACCATCAACACAATGCCCCCAAACAATACACTGTAGAAACCCACCCGTAACCGCATAATTACTTCACCTAGTTTTTTTTAATTAAAAAAAGAAAAGGTGACTCATTCCAGAATATTCATCAATACCCCTTCACTTTTAAATCTTAATGAACCAGTTTCACATTCATAAACATTTCAATGCTTTCAGATTATCTTTGGTATCGCTACAAAAACGACTGCTTTCATTTTAACTTGCTCCCACATGTATAAGCACATTCTCAATTTCAGCCCTGTGTGAAAACTGCTTTAATCCCTGAAATCCCAGTTGATCCCTATAATAAGCAGCAAAGTTATTTCCAATCAGAATTTCTACACACCCGAGCCAGATTTATTAAAACTAACCCACTAAATACTTTTTTTTTAATAACCTTTGTTAAAGAGCACAAGACAAGAGCATTGATCCTTTAAATAAATAAATCAGAAGACATGGGGAACCTGTGGCCTGCAGAGATGTTGCTGGACTAAAAACTCCTATCATCCTGGAGCTTTGGCCGTGCTGACTGGGGTTGGGAGTTGAACAAAATCTGGCAGGCCAAAGGCTCTTCCTCCCTGAAATAAATTACCCAATTTCCAAAGACATCTGCACAAAAGTCAAGGAATAAACTGAAAACTGCTTATATTTCTCATGTACTTTCCAACCTGGAAAGAAATCTGAGCAAAGTGATCCACTCACTTCAACCAGTTTTGCACAGAGTCCATTGGAGTGTGATAATAAAATAACAACTTATTGACCGGTTCCATAAAAGACCGTGTTTTAAACGATGCTCTTCCAACAAGCAAGTGAGCAAAGCCCTACAACAACAACAACAACATCATCACCATCAACAACAACGTAAGACTTTGCCCTGGAGGTCAAGATTTCCCCATGCAAATTCAGATCTAAAACCAAGGCCTCTGGCTTTAACCGTCGAAGAACGCTCTGCAATCCCAAGCAAACAGATCCTTCAGCTCTCACCCAAAACTATGGCGCTCCATGTGTAGGAAACTGTGGCTCCCACTTGGTCCAAAGAAACAACGAAAATGCAGGTAGTGCTTAGATTCTCCCATTTACTTCTGCTGTATCTGAAATGTCCTTCGAAAAAGACACAGCCCTGTGCACAACCATCTCTTCCCCATTACCAAAGGATCGGCAACATTAGCAAATCGCTGATCACTTTTTGGAGTGTGCAGGTAGGTTTCAGCCATGCACAACTCCCTGCTGCTGGAGACAGCACCTCTGCACATCACACTAAGCACTGATTGCATGCGCTGGACCTGGAATCGCCATCCCTTTGTGTAAAAATATGCTACCGTGCAAAAAGGACTGCAATTGCTGGATCAGGTGCCTAGATATTGCACGTTTTCTTTTCAGAACGACCCTACCACTCAAGTTTAATTTCCAGCTGCATGTAATGGTTCAGAGTAGCAGGCCTGCTCCCCGCGTCTCCCAGGTCCACATTCGTTTTTAACGTACTGACAATCCAACGCACGACATCCAAACTGGACGATGGAAGCACGGCCAGAAGAACAGTTCCCAGCTGCTCGATACGAATCTGACGTCAATTGCAGAATTCAACTGAAGGGCACAAGGAAAACTCTCCCCACCGCACAAGCTGAGTCTGAATAATTTTAATTTTTAGATTTCTGGAACTATGGAAGCTTTGGAGGTGAAAGAAGGAAGTGTGTTTGTCTAGAACGGACAGGAAATTTAGAGGCATTGGTTAAGATCCAAAAGACTGCCCATGTCCTGCTCGGGTATTAAATGGGATCTTCTGTTTCTTTTTTGGGCAACACTCCCTGCTCTCCCAAGGCCAATTTTTAAACAACAAGCTAGTTCACAGAATGGGGCAGCGACAAACTAGCTATGCACATTTACTGGATCACAACCTATATAAATATATATTATGTTACAGTCAATGTCAACGGTTTGGTGATGCCGCCAATCACATAACCCAGACAAATTTGGCATGTGTTCAAAAGCTTTTATACCAGTGAATGCTGACCTCAGAATATTTGTCCGCATTCACTGGCATGTATGCAAAAGGCTTATAGAAATCAATTTTTCAGATATTCAGCAAACTTACCCATGATTGCCAGCATTAACCTGCGAATGTCAGTTAAGTATCAAACACACACATATATGTACAAACAAACATGTTACACACAAATATACACATATAAACATATAAATGCATACATATCTCTCACAAACAATTCATTTGCTTAAATAATATCGAATCAGCTTATTTCGTCCAATTCTAACACAATTACAAAAATGACAGGTGCTAGAGGCTTATTCCCCATATCTGCCTGTGGAAACTGTGCTGTCGCTTCAAACGTAACTGAGCAAGTTGAAAGATACGATTGGAAAATAATCAGAAGATTAAATAAATGTGTGGAATTCCCCAAGAGGAGGCAGGAGCAGAAATCACATGGAATCTTGCGTGTTATATTCAGTCTCTCCTGATGAAATCTGGCTGATGCGTTTGCTTGAACCCCACAACTTTCGGGAGAGCTGTCCCACACGCATCTGTTTCGGGTAATAGAGAGAAACAAAAAGAAGGGAAGGGAGCGGATAAGGGGAATAAATTAAATAAAAACTTCAGGAGATTCTGGAAAAGCACAGACAGCACAAGATATAGCGCGCGCGCACACGCACACACACACACACACACAAAACAAAACATAATGGGCAATTTATTCCTAAAACAATTCAGCGCTTGGACAATTTTAGGGCACACAAATAAGCAAAGCAACATGGATGTCTGTCTTGTGCTTTCTGACTGTTATGGGGCCTTAATGTCAAGTGGTTTTATAAGAACTCTGTCTGGACTTCCTTTAAAATCGGGGGAAATGGAATTTAGATCTCTGGCTTTGTGGTGGCGGTTTTTGGTTTGGTGTTTTTAATAAACACCGTTTTTAAAAGTCCAGTGTAAGAGAACGAAATCAGTTTTAAGGTTTTGCTAGGGAGTAAGTCTCATGGAACACAATGGGACTCACTTTCATTCCAAAAAAGCAGAGGACAGAAATGCACCTAGCAAAATGCTACGCTTTAGCAGGAAAACTAAAACGCTTGACAGTGAATCAGAAGGAAGACGATTCTGTACAGCAGCAGCAAAAAGAAGATCATCATTGCACCAAATTTGTACACGTTTAAATTGCTCAGGTGAAATAATTAGTGCAAGAATCATTATTAAAAAAACATGTAAGGTATATTGACATAAACACATAAAGGTTAAAGCCTATGCTGACATATGTATGGCCCAATCATGCTGGTGAGGTTAAAGGCAGATCAATATCTGTGGTCTCAACAGCACACACTAGACTGGAATCAGATATGCCCTTCTGCAAACAGATTTATCCCTTCACCGTTTGCAGAACAGGCTAAGATCCTGCAGAGATTTCCAGTCATGGAAGCAACTTTTGCTAATCCCTCCAAGCCCCCTCCAGTGTTCTGCCTTCCAGAGCAGCTTTTCGTGGGGCCCAGCGATTACCTAATCAATATAATATAACATAAGGAATACTTCTAGTGCAATGTTTGGTTGCCTTTGACTTCAGCAAACCAATGGCTCAGGCACAGGTTTAAGCTTGGACCAGAGGCAAGCAGTGCAAAACATTTCAGAAATCTGTGGAGTGCTCAAACCGTGTGACGCTTGAGATAGGAAAAAAAACTGCAGAGCTTTTTTCGCATGATCTTCAGGAATCAATCGGAGATAGTTATCCGTTACTTCCTAGCATCTTCTGGAGATGTTAGTCCAGAGGTTTGCTTGACTTAGGAATGCCCTATTAGGCATCACTGTGAAATTAGAAGGAATTCTCTGAAACTTGATGCAATGTGGCATTCTCCACTGGTCCACAAAGCTTATGTCAGCATCTTTCCTCAATGGCACCAAAATACTTTGGTGCAGTTGTGTTTAAAAAAAAGAAGTTTGGTAAGACCCTGTTTTTGTGCAGTGCCTGATGAACGCTATACAAGTGATACTTGCATACAGCAGCTTAAGAACCATCACAGAACAAAATAGCAGCATTTGCCCTTTTCTTAACTCTTAACGGGCAAGGATAAGGTGGTGCTTAACTATAGTTTTCAAGGTGAAACCCAAATGCAGTAAAGCCAAAACAAAGAAAAATTCCACAGGAGTTCATCCTGGTCTGTTCAGCATTCTTCCGAAATCAAATTCCGTAACTTGCAAACAGGAGTGGTGCATTAGTGTTTAGAATGAAATGTTATACAGCAAGCAAGTTCAGTTCAGACGGTTTCCCGGTCTAGCAAGCAGCAGAAAGTTGTAATCGCAGCTATGGCAAAACCTCTATATTAGTCCGCCTGATTCCGCCCCAGCTCCCCAATGTGTTGTTCCCTTCTATGCTCTTGTTTCCAGCAGAAGACCTTTTGGAAAGAAACCGCAAGAACATCTCGAAAACTATTTCTTCCCCTCGGAAAGCTCAAGCTTGCTGAGACGTTTGCCCTGCCAGAGAGGCGACCGCTTGCCCAGCTGGAAAGCAGAAATAAGCGAGCTGCCCACCGTTCGGTAGATAAAGTTCCTGAGGGTAGGTTTTACCTCTGCCGGTTTCCCGACGCCGATGATGATCAACTTGCCATCCTCAAGGCCCACCAGAATATGGCTGGACTCTTTGGTCACAGACACACAGCGTATCGGCAGCCGCATGGCCAACGGGGAGCTGCTGGGGCTGAGGCTGAAATAAATGGAAACAGAACAGCCTGGTTAGCAACCCCTAGAAATGCGCCGAAGGTATATTTTAGATGAGGATGTCTGGATACAGGGAGAATATTGACATCGACTGGTAGGCCTTATGGTTGTGGGAGGTCCAACGTCAGAAAGGACGAAGATGGTTTCAAAGCATGGTTTCAAAGCAAGGGGAACCTTTTGACATATATTTGCATATCTGTCACATATTTGCATATGTGACAACAGCAACTAGAACTCTATATGCACTGAAACGAAAAGAAGAAAGCTTTCCTTTTTGGGAATTATAGGGATAAAGGTAAAGGGACCCCTGACCATTAGGTCCAGTCGTGGCCGACTCTGGGGTTGCGGCGCTCATCTCGCTTTATTGGCCGAGGGAGCCGGCGTACAGCTTCCGGGTCATGTGGCCAGCATGACTAAGCCGCTTCTGGTGAACCAGAGCAGCGCACGGAAACACCGTTTACCTTCCGCCAGCAAATAGTAAGAAAACCCTTAATTTATTTCGGCGGCCCCGAGTGCCGGGATTGTGGCTAAGCAAACGTCAACAGTTGGTTCACGGTTAAACTTTTAAGTCGAGAACCAAGGAACGCTGGGCAGTCAGCAGCCCCAGCTATGGAAGCAGCTTCAGTTGAAGTACCTTATTTTTCGCTCTATAAGACACACCAGACCACAAGACACACCTAGTTTTTGGAGGAGGAAATCAAGAAAAAAAAAATTCTGAATCTCAGAAGCCAGAACAGTGAAAGCATCAATCCCTCTTGCTGTTCTGGCTTCTAGGATAGCTGTGCAGCCTGCATTCGCTCCATAAGACGCACACACATTTTCCCATACTTTTTAGGGGGGGGAAAGTGAGTCTTATAGAGCAAAAAATACGGTACTTCCTGCCCCTCCCAACCGTTCTCGTTACCTTTGGAGATCTCGTATGGTTAGAAATCCCTGTAGGCTCCCCGTGACAATATATTCCCCAGCCACGCACAGATCTGACACGTCCTCTTTCAGGCTCTCGGAGCCCAAATACCTTCCATTCACAGAATAGAGATGTAGTGCATTTTTATCCTGAGAAAAACAAAGCAGAATTGATTGCAGGAGACTGCATAATGAAGGCATTTCTTCAGAACAGAGGCAGATAAATACTGTGAGAAAGAAAGAGGCAGAGAGACAGAGAAAAGCAAAGCTTTTGCTCACACCAGCCTGCAGCAATTTTAAATTGTGCTTCTTTTTTATAAACATAATTTTGATTCCTTTTCTGTTTTACAATTTCAAATAAACGTTTTACATCCTTAAGGTATCAATGACTTCCCTTCTTCTCTTTCCATGGTTCATTCTGCATATCTTATATCCCTGCATATTTTACAAAAACTGTACCAATCGGTTTTCCATTATTACATCCATCAAAAGTTATTTACACCGGTGAATTTATCTTAATGCTGCCGGTGTTTTCAGCTGTACACAGTTATTTTCCATATATTCATTAAACATTTCCGCATCTTCTTTAAACGTATGTTCTTCTTTAAACGTATGTTCACGGGCAAGTGATAGATTTTTGCTAGCTTGACTGGGGTCATGTATCACCTGTATATCATTTTCATACTATTTTCTCTTAAGGCATTGCATGCCATAAATGCAAGTTGTGCATATTCTGTCAACTTAAGTTGCCAATCTTTCTGGGTTGGGACTTCGCTCATTTTCTATTTGGGGGTTAACAAAACATGGGCCGCAGTTGTTGCATACATAAATCACCTTTTCTGACACCTGGGAATTTCAGTCTGAGTTATCCCCAACAGAAAGGACCCTGTTTTTTAGGAAAGTAATTTTAAACATTTTTTCCCCATTCATTATAAATCATTTGCCAATACTCTTTTACCTTTTTACATGTCCACCACATATGAAAGAACAATATGGTGGTTTTAAAGGTTACGTTCTTACATAAATAAATAAACTTCAATTCGTGCTACGTGTACTACACACTGTTGGGAGAATCTGAGCCCATGAGCTTAAGAAAGAAGGATATTATTATTATCATCATCATCGCCATCATTATTATTACAGTCATACCTTGGAAGTCGAACGGAATCTGTTCTGGAAGTCCGTTCTTCCAAAACGTTCGGAAACCAAATCACAGGTTCTGATTGGCTGCAGGAAGCTCCCACAGCCAACCAGAAGCCATGGAAGCCCCGTCAGATGTTTGGGTTCCCAAAGAACATTCTCAAACCAGAACAATCACTTCCGGGTTTGCGGCGTTCGGGAGCCAAAACATCTGAGTTTCAGGGCATTTGACAACCAAGGTATGACTGTACTATTTAATCCAAAGGTATCAGGATGGTTCACAATACAGTCATACCTCGGGTTGAAGTAGCTTCGGGATGAATATTTTCAGGTTGCGCTCCACGGCGACCAGGAAGTAATGGAGCGCGTTACTTCTGGGTTTCGCCGCTCGCGCATGCACAGACGTTCAAAATGACGTGCGCATGTGCGGAAGTGGTGAAACACGACCTGCGCAGTCGCGTGTTACGTTTACAGTGGTACCTCGGGTTACATATGCTTCAGGTTACAGACTCCGCTAACCCAGAAATACTACCTCAGGTTAAGAACTTTGCTTCAGAATGAGAACAGAAATCGTGCTCCGGTGGCGCGGCAGCAGCAGGAGGCCCCATTAGCCAAAGTGGTGTTTCAGGTTAAGAACAGTTTCAGGTTAAGAACGGACCTCCAGAACGAATTAAGTACTTAACCTGAGGTACCACTGTACTTCAGGATGCGAACAGCGCTCCGGAACGGATCCCGTTCGTATCCAGAGGTACCACTGTATAAAAATAGGTTAGGAGGGAGCAATATGGGGGGGGGGGAGGTAAGAATTGGCCTAAGAGTGCCCAGTTGACGTAAGAAGAACCACTGATTCCCTCTCTCAACCCCCCCCCCCCCCCCCGGAAGCAAAATAAAACAAAGACCCATGCTTCTAAGCCTTTGTGAGTCTGGCTGACCCCATACCTTGAGAGTTGTCTTTCCTTCTACACTGGTGTGGACGACTATATGTCCTTCCCAGGAGACGGCGAGATTTGGGACAGTGAGCGAGAGAGCTCTCTCGCAGGGCGGCCGCAGAGTCTTCACGTACTGACCTTTCCGAATCGTATGCACAATCACAGTGCCGTCCTGTTCAGAAGGGAGAAAGAAAAAGCCACGCATTCAAAAAGTGTTCTAAGACAACAGCAACAACAACAACTAATAATAATAATAATAAACAAATAAATAAATAAATAATCTGGGCGGCTCCCAACAGAATATTAAAAGCACAATAAAACATCAAACATTAAAAACTTCCCTAAACAGGGATGCCTTCAGATGTCTTCTAAAAGTCAGGTAGTTGTTTATTTCCTTGAAATTGGATGGGAGGGCATTTGTTTCCTTGAAACTGGATGGGAGGGCGTTCCACAGGGTGGGCGCCACTACCGAGAAGGCCCTCTGCCTGGTTCCCTGTAACTTGGCTTCTTGCAGGGAGGGAACCGCTCTCGGAGGGAGGGAGGGAGGGAGGGAAGGCCCTCGGAGCTGGACCTCAGTGTCTGGGCTGAACGATGGGGGTGGAGGCACTCCTTCAGGTTTCAATTTATTTTTTTAGCATATGTGGAACCATGTGAAGCATTCTGCATGGCAGCAGTACGGGCAGGGGTGTTTTAAAACTCGGTTTAAAACAGGGGTGTTTTGAACTGAGAATCCCAGTGATGAGAGCAGCTCTGTTAGAAATAGAGCGACACACACAAAAAAGACACAGAGGGGAGGCAGTGTAGGCTGGTCCAATAATGGGGTACAGCCCCACCATCCTTAACGTGCCCCTGCCCATGGATCTGCCTGCCCTCCTGCCTGACTTGCAACCGGTCCAGGGGCCGGCATCCTTTCTCAGCAGTCTCAGCCCTTGGAGAACACATCAGGGTGGAAGATGGGGACAAAATCAGCATCGGTTGCCTTTCCCCATCTTCTGCTCTGGCTCTGCCTATACAGTATCAATTAATTGCTTGGCTTATCATTTGACAGGTTTGGGGCCGTATTGGGTTTTCCCTGATCTGCAATGTGTGTGCATGTTTTAATTCTATATTTCTATTTCATCAGATACATCAGGTTTCCTTTTCCACGCTTCACTTTAAAAGAAAGGAGGAGGAGGAACGATTTCAGAAATAAATATGAAAGCAAAAGCAAAAAACAAAATCCTAAGACCCAATGCCAAGGACATCACATACACACACACACACACACACACACACACACACACACACATTGCTATTTAAACAACCTTAAAATATCAATGACTTCCCTTCTTCTCTTTCCATGGTTCATTTTGCACAACATAAATCCCTGCATATTTTGTATAAACTAAACCATTCAGCATTCCATTATTACATCCATCAAAACTGTTTGAATTTATCTTAATGCTGCCAACATTTTCAAACGTGCAGCATTTCCCCCCCCCCCATATATTCAATAAACATTTCCCGATCTTCTTTAAACGTTCCTTCCCTTTAAAGAAGGACGTCACATTTTGAACATGCAACTGTACAATCCTGTACATATGTACTCAGAATTAAGTCTCGCTGTGTTCATTGGGACTTATTCCCAGAATAAGTCTGCCTAGCAGCAGTGCAGCCTAAAAACACAACTCGCGAGCATAAATGGATGGGGTAACAACGAAGCACATAAATGAGGTCGCCCAAGACTTGAGAATTAAATCACGGGACGGTTATTTGCTTTCAGTGTAGTTGGGGAAATAGCAAGCAAACTCACCCTGCCCCCTGACACAGCCATGTCCAGTTCTGTACTGATGCCAACACAAGAAACTTCATTGGTATGTCCATACAGAATCTGCAAAGGTTTAGGTGCCAGGCCTACAGGCACGCCTCCCTGGTGTAAATAATAATAATAATAATATATATTTTAACCATACAGAAGGCCCTTTCAAAACATCAATGTGCTTAGATGCAACTATTAGTCAAACAGTTATTTCTAAATCAGTGGTTCCTTTTGCTTTTCTCGTCGCATAACGAAGCAATTTCTCACAGAATCAATGTACAGAAAATCATTGCAACATACAATACTGGTAGAGTCATGTTTTGAAGCTATGGTTTTCCCAGTAGTGATGTATGGAAGTGAGAACTGGACCATAAAGAAGGCTGATCGCCAAAGAATTGATGCTTTTGAATTATGGTGCTGGAGGAGACTCTTGAGAGTCCCATGGACTGCAAGAAGATCAAACCTATCCATTCTGAAGGAAATCAGCCCTGAGTGCTCACTGGAAGGACAGATCCTGAAGCTGAGGCTCCAAGACTTTGGCCACCTCATGAGAAGAGAAGACTCCCTGGAAAAGACCCTGATGTTGGGAAAGATGGAGGGCACAAGGAGAAGGGGACGACAGAAGGACGAGATGGTTGGACAGTGTTCTCGAAGCAACCAGCATGAGTGTGACCAAACTGCGGGAGGCAGTGGAAGACAGGAGTGCCTGGCGAGCTCTGGTCCATGGGGTCACGAAGAGTCGGACACGACTAAATGACTAAACAACAACAACTGCTGGTATATACAGTGGAACCTCTATTTGCGACCATAATCCGTTCCAGAGGTCCGCCTGGAGGTCAAAACAGGTCGCTGGGAGAGGCGCTGTTGTGCGCATGTGCGAACGGCGACCGCCGCTTCTGCGCATACGCGAACGGTGGCCCACCCGCAGGTTACTTCCGGGTTTGCTGTGGTCGCTACTTGGAAACGACCATAAGAAGAGGCGATGGTAAATAGAGGTTCAGTTGTATTCACAAAATGCAAGTCCAGTCACATTTGAATACACAGCCACAGACCCGTTAATACAAGACCATACACACCAAAGTACCTTGGAAAGTGTTTTGTCCAATGCTTGAAGGAAAGGAGGAAGCTGCAAGATATGAATTTCTTATCTGACTAAGGGCAGAGTTATGTGTGCTTAATTCTCCTCTGCAAAGCCTATCATTACAAGAGCTCTTTTAAAGAAACATACCCCTCCTCTCCAAGCTGAGCTCTGAAATTATAAGTAAGCTCAGCTGGATCAAAACGATGGGAAGAGACCACCTAGAGAGTAGACTCAGGTGAGTGCAGGAGAAGGCCTTAAGCATCCGCATTATGGACCAAAGTAGACATGGCATTCAGTATGTTTCCCTGCAGCATCGAAGTGACTGGTTAAACTCCCCTTCCCTACCTGGACTCAGCTAAGGTAAAGGTAAAGGGACCCCTGACCATTAGGTCCAGTCGTGGCCGACTCTGGGGTTGCGGCGCTCATCTCGCTTTATTGGCCAAGGGAGCCGGCGTACAGCTTCCGGGTTAGGCGACCAGCATGACTAAGCCGCTTCTGGCGAACCAGAGCAGTGCACGGAAACGCCATTTACCTTCCCGCTGGAGCGGTACCTATTTATCTACTTGCACTTGGAGGTGCTTTCAAACTGCTAGGTTGGCAGGAGCAGGGACCGAGCAACGGGAGTTCACCCCGTTGCGGGGATTCGAACCGTCGACCTTCTGATCGGCAAGTCCTAGGCTCTGTGGTTTAACCCACAGTGCCACCCGTGTCCCCTGGACTCAGCTATACAGCTGCAAATAAAACGTTTCAAGTGTGTTGTAAAGTGCAATATACAAATGTGACACTAGATGGCGACAGTGGGCTATGGCAAATTCAATGTATTTCTTTCAAAACATTTTTCACAGCGTTTTTTGTATGTGTGTAGATTCCACCCCTGTGGCAAAAAGGCCATTGACAAGCCCTCCTCCTGCACCAGCAGCTTCTAGTTTGCATTTTAGAAAATATGAAGTCTAACTTTGCCCACAAGTTGTCTTGATAGATGTAGGTTTGGGGAGGGCTGTAGCTCATTGCAGAAAATTTGTTCTTTATGCAGAAGGTCCTAAGTTCAATCCCTAGTGTCCTCAGGTAGGGCTGGGAATACCTGAAACCCTGGGGAATCACTGTTAAGTCACTATAGACCATAATATGCTGGAGGAACCAATGCTGTGACTCTGTGTAACATAGATCCCTGTGAACAAAACAGTGTGGTTTTGCCCTTAGGCCTAGGGGAATCACTCGTTTTCTCTGTGAAAAGGTGATTTAAAATAAAATAGATCATCATTTTAAAAAATCAACGCAGCCTTGTGAAGCAGCTACCACACTCCTAAAAAAGCTGGAGTACTCAGAAAGGGGTAAACTATTTTAAAGTGGGGTTTTACTGATATTAGTAAATATCAGTAAAACTACGACTCTGTGGTATAAACGATGTGTTGTTTTCTGTTTATTGTTTCTCTATCGACTTCCTTGAGGCTGGAGGAAGAAGGGAATATCGGAACCTTGAATAAAAATAAACGAAGGAACTGTGAGTCACGCTCTTTAAGGGATTCTTCAGACCCAATTCCAAATATAGGGCAGCAGGACAACATTTTGTCACATTTAAAACTGCTTGTTCCTTGCAGGAAGAATCAAAAGTGTGAACAAGAGATTTGCACCTTCAATGCGCAGCAGAATGCTCCGAGGAGTTAACAGCCAATCTTAAGAAAGAGGTTTTTTGGCACCTTAACATGAGCTTTCAGGCACCAGGGCCGACTTTGTCAGCCGTTATCCCAATGGCTTGCTGGCACACGTCCATCGCAGATCCCCAAGTTGCTCCTGTACATTTCGCACATTTTTCCATAATTCAGCAACCACAGAAAGCATGAGTTGGCTCTTAAGACGATCACACCTCAAGGTCACAACACTTCTCCCCCCCCCCTTTGCTGCTTCCCAACCCACTGATGGTTGCCTTCGTGGGCCTGCGGAAGCTAACTTACCTGCTGAACAACTTGCCATATCATACAAGTGGTGTCCCTCGAGCCGGAAATTAAATGGATTCCACAGAAATCCATAGCCAGGCATGTCACTATATCTGAACACAGAAGGAAAGCGGTTAGCTGAGGACAGCAAGATACGTTCCCAATTTTCAAAATGTAATTTAAAAGGGACTGCGGCGTGCCAGCTTCTACAAAAACAGGTGTGTGGTTCTACGCTCCAAAGCAGCCAGCTGGAAGAATGGTTTAACGGCAAGTGAAGGGTGTCAGCCAGACTCTAAATAAGAAATGATGTTCGTATCCGAGGAAATGAGGACGATCAGGAGTGGAAATGATGATGGAACAGGAGTGGTAAACCTGATTGTATTATTGTATTAATATTATTGTATTGTATTGTATTGTATTGTATTGTATTGTATTGTATTGTATTGTATTGTATTGTATTAAATTGAATTACTGTATTTTTCGCTCTATAAGACGCACCAGACCACAAGACGCACCTAGTTTTTAGAGGAGGAAAACAAGAAAAAAATATTCTGAATCTCAGAAGCCAGAACTGCAAGAGGGATCGCTGCGCAGTGAAAGCAGCGATCCCTCTTGCTGTTCTGGCTTCTGGGATAGCTGTGCAGCCTGCATTCGCTCCATAAGACGCACACACATTTCCCCTTACCTTTTTAGGAGGGAAAAAGTGAGTCTTATAGAGCAAAAAATACGGTAATTTAATTTGGTTTGAGTTGATTTGTAATAATTTGGAAAATCAATAAAAATAAATTGGGCGGGGGGGGGGGAGAAAACAGGGAGACCAATGCCTTGGTGGGTTATCTGGGCTCCGAATCATCCAATGAGATTAGCATGATCACTTTGGGAAGCAGAACTACTATTGCACCAAAGCAGCAGAGATAGCTCTAATTCTCTGCACCGGGGGGGGAAGGGGGAATCCATTCCATAAGGGACTTCCTTTTGCATTTCTAGTTTGTTCACGACTCTTGCTAATAGATCAAAGCAACATACTGAAGTACCCATCTCTCCCTCTCATAGCCGTCAACCGTCCCTTATTTGGCGGGAAAGTCCCTTATCCCAGCGCCGTGTCCCGCTGCTGTCCCTTATTGATGATGTCCCTTAAATTTCCCAGGTTTCAAAGGAAGCAGCTCCTCTCCCTCCCTCCCTGCCAGCCAGGGAGGAGGGAGGCTCCAACTGTGTTGCTTGGCTGCATTGCTCACCCAATAAGGAGTCTAAGAATGACTGGGGGGTGGAGCTTGCATGCCTTGTGCCAATCAAATTGGCCGCGTTGCCTGGGGACTCGCCTTTGCTCAGCACTTCCCAGCGGAGAGGTGATGGTAGTTTTCCTTGCTGAATCCCCTTTGCCGGGTTGCTGCGCTGTGGGAACCACCGCTTGAGGCTTCGTTTGGCTGCTGGCTGGGCTTTCTGCCTTTGGCTCGGAGGGGCTCAGAAGTCAAACATACCTGAGCTCTGAAAAACCCTTATTTTGGCTGCTGATCCCTTATTTCCGAGACTGCCGGCCCCTTATTTTCAAATCTGTAAGTTGACAGCTATGCTCCCTCTCCCACCCCCCGTTATCAGAAATGACTTACCCATGTGCCTAATATGCTGTGCCATCAATTTCCCCTTTGTGAGTGACATCACTCTGATGCTGTTGTCCCAATGGCCTCCACTAAATAGCAGCTTTGCATCGTGAGATGCTACAAACAACTTGGGTGTAATCTCCAGTCCTGGTGCAAAAGGACCACTCACGCTTCGTTGTGTTCTGCAAACAATTGGTGACGTTAAGGTCTGTGTTGCCTATTTAAAGGCATTAATTTCCGCTACCTACAATGCTCAGCCCATAATTTCAAGATAAATATAAGTTCATTAGACTCACCCGCACAAATACAGAAAACGAAATAAAGTTAAGCAAAAGACAGGGAAGCAATTCGTAATTTATCGAAGTTCACAAAGCTCATTGTGTATATTTAATCTCAGTAATGAGCGTAATTATTCTCATACTAAAGGTAAAGGTAAAGGGACCCCTGACCATTAGGTCCAGTCGTGGCCGACCCTGGGGTTGTGGCGCTCATCTCGCTTTATTGGCTGAGGGAGCCGGCGTACAGCTTCCAGGTCATGTGGCCAGCATGACTAAGCCGCTTCTGGCAAACCAGAGCAGCGCACGGAAACGCCGTTTACCTTTCCGTCAGAATGGTACCTATTTATCTACTTGCACTGGTGTGCTTTTGAACTGCTAGGTTGGCAGGAGCAGGGACCGAGCAACGGGAGCTCACCCCGTCGCGGGGATTCGAACCGCCGACCTTCTGATCGGCAAGTCCTAGGCTCTGTGGTTTAACCCACAGCACCACCCGCATCCCTCATATTCTCATACTACACCCACACAAATACAAAAAACGAAATAAAGTTAAGCGAAAGACAGAGAAGCAATTTGTAATTTATCAAAATTCCCAAAGCTCATTGTGTAAATTTAATCTCAGCAATGAGCATTATTATTCTCATACTAGCTAAAGGCCTTTTACTATGGCAGGTAGCAAGGTGTGACTCTCTTATCAAAGTGACTAAGATAAAAGTGACCATGAAGAGCTGGCCATAGTTTGCTGGCTCAGACAAAACGGAAACTGTGGTTTGCCTCTAACTATGCCTGGGAGTGGGAAGAATAACAGAAGGTGTGGTCCCAAGGCTTCTCATTGCTTATCCACACAGCTTGGCATTATGTCTGAACCACTCAAATACATTCAAAGCTAGCGAGTTTCACAGCTGAGCATAGATCTGAGTCGAGGCTTTGAGAGATTTCGGTCCATGTTCTAACCACTGCACGACACCAGCTTTTAATGCACATTTTTTCCCCTCCGTAGCTACATCTGTGTTGTTTACAACCAAGAATAACACTTCAGATGTCTGACGAAAGTCCTCCTGAATCATGGCATGATAAAGACCAGAAAATGATCTCTATTCTTATTTTACTCACTTGGGATTTGTCACAGTTTGATCTCTCAGGAAAGTGAAATAGTTGGAGATATTTCTGTCGTAAGGCAGCCACCCATGAGTTCCAATGACGCAGTTCTGACTCACTGTTACCTTCGGAAAAATGTGTGTTGGGAGAAAGCAGAGAAACTATCAATGATTAAAGTCTAATTAGCTACATTTATACAACGATCAATATCAAGGAGAACAGCTGATTTTCCTTCTCTTCTTCCCCCCCACTTCCCCCCTTGTTTAGATTGTAGTGGTAGTAGCAGTAATAATAATAATAATAATAGTAATAATAATAATAATAATAATAATAATAATAATAATAATAATATGAGGGTAGAGATGCATCTTTACTGCATTGTAATAATAATCTCATTTACTTGAAGAGAGTGAAAGTGCTTCAGACCACGGCAAAATGAGCTCAATAGAAAGAACACTCCATATTAGTCTGTGGTTTTTCACAGTTATACAGGGCAACAGCATTATTATTATTAATTATTATTATTATTATTATTATTATTATTATTATTATTATTATTATTATTATAAATTATATACTGCCCTATACCTGGGGGTCTCAGGGCACTTCACAAAATAAAATCAAGATATAAAACCACAAAATACCTAATAAAAATAAAACAACAACCCAACAGCCCCCCCCCATGAAAAACCACACTCTAAAAGGGCATAGGATGTCAATCAGAACAAGCAAAGGCCTGATGAAAAAGGAATGTTTTGCCTGGCGCCTAAAAGTGTATAATGAAGGTGCCAGGTGAACATCCCTAGGGAGAGCATTCCACAGATGAGGAGCCACTGCAGAGAAGGCCCTGTTCTCGTGTTGCCACCCTCCGAACCTCTTGAGGAGGAGGCACACGAAGGAGGGCCTCAGAAGATGACCTCAGGGTCCGGGTAGGTTCGTATGGAAAGAGGATGTTCTTGAGGTATTGCGGTCCTGAGCCGTTTAAGGCTTAAGAGCATACAAATCACTATCAAGCTCAGTTGATAATTCCAACCACTACCAACAACACTCTTCAACACATCCTACTCACCAAAATCTCTGGGCTCCCTTGTGACATGAAAGAACGTGACTGATTCCTGGGGACAATGGACTTAACAATAGGTATCCCATCGCTGATCCCCTAAGAGAGAGGAGTGGGTGGGTGGGAAAAATAATAATTTCAGTTGGCAACAGTTGGATGAGATTGGGCAGACAGTATTTGGCAAAGCTCCCCATGATATCAACAAGTTGTGCAAATCCTCTTGGCGCAGCAGTCTCCAACATTTTTAGAGCAAGGGTCAACCTTTATCCCAACCATGCAATTGGGGATCCACGCCCTCATTTCCCCCCTCTTCCGCTTGTAGGGTTGCTGTTGAGATCCACTTCGGGTCAGGCTGCATCCCAGTAATGGCTGGGATGGGAAATTGGCTGCCCTGCAGATACTGCTGGACTACACTCCCATCATCGCTGACCAATGGGGTCATGCTGGCTGGGAGCTGGGAATCCGGCTGCAGGTTTCTGACTCACCAGTCGAAAACCAGTGTCTTGGGCTCATGTACCCTAAAGGCACAGGGCAAGGAAGTGTAAGAAAGGTATGCTCCTCAACAATGTTATTCTCCTTGCCACTCCATCCCAAATATGTGCATATGAGATAATTACAGTACTGGGTATCTTCTTCTTTGTAGCCGAGTAAGATTGTCTTCCATGAACACGGTTTTAACCAGGCATAGGCAAACTCGGCCCTCCATATGTTTTTGAGACTACAATTCCCATCATCCCTGACCACTGGTCCTGTTAGCTAGGGATGATGGGAGTTGTAGTCCCAAAACATCTGCAGGGCCGAGTTTGCTATGCCTGGTTTTAACAGTGAGTCCATAAGTGACTGCGGAGGCCAATTCTGGATCCACATGTCCTTCCACAGTGGGGACATAGGTTTCCAGGCGGGATTTGATCACGGTGAGGGTTTGCCAAGCGTGCCTTCCTCTTAGCACATTTCTGCCTTGCGTTCTGAGTTCGAGTGTCTTCAAAGTCCATGACAGCTTTGGTAAAGGCTGTTCTCCAATGGGAGCGCTCGCAGGCCAGTGTTTCCCAGTTCTCTGTGTTTATACTACATTTTTCTTTAGATTTGCCTTGAGAGTGTCTTTAAACCTCTTTTGTTGACCACCAGCATTACGCTTTCCATTTTTAAGTTTGGAATAGAGTAGTTGCTTTGGAAGACGATAATCAGGCATCCACACAACATGACCAGTCCAACAAAGTTGATGTTGAAGAATCATTGCACTGTTAATCGCCTTGCAAGAAGGAATGGTGGGTGAAGAACAGTCAGGAATAGCGCTCACTGATTTTGTGGAATAGTGCCAGGGCCCCAAGCCAATCTTATAAGAGACCAGCCCTAGACTTTTGAATACATTGCATGCATCACAGACAGGTAACCTAAGCCTTGCAACGAGCAAGACAGGCGGAATGGCTGCAGATATTGGCCTAGCTAGAAAGAACCCTGTTGTTTTCAAGCCGACTCTCTCTAAATTCATGTTTATGCAATGTTGTCAAGATGTTACCTCAATGAAGAATGACTTCAATTCAGGGAGATGTTGGAACAGGTGAAATGCGGCGTTTTCATTTCTGGTCTGCTTCTGCACCACTTCCGCCGCAGACAGCCTCGCAGGATGTGGCTCCTGGGTAAAACATAAATAGCAGGGAAAGTCGCAATTGTGGAAGCCTTCGTCAAACCTGGCAACGAAGTTATTAGGAATTTAGGCATGCCTAACCATGCACAGGGGAAGGGGAAGAAATGGAGGCAGTGAGAGATTTTACTTTCTTAGGCTCCATGATCACTGCAGATGGTGACAGCAGCCACAAAATTAAAAGACGCCTGCTTCTTGGGAGAAAAGCAATGACAAACCTAGACAGCTTCTTAAAAAGTAGAGACATCACCTTGCCAACAAAGGTCCGTATAGTTAAAGCTATGGCTTTCCCAGTAGTGATGTATGGAAGTGAGAGCTGGACCATAAAGAAGGCTGATCGCCAAAGAATTGATGCTTTTGAACTATGGTGCTGGAGGAGACTCTTGAGAGTCCCATGGACTGCAAGAAGATCAAACCTCTCCATTCTTAAGGAAATCAGCCCTGAGTGCTCACTGGAAGGACAGATCCTGAAGCTGAGGCTCCAATACTTTGGCCACCTCATGAGAAGAGAAGACTCCCTGGAAAAGACCCTGATGTTGGGAAAGATGGAGGGCACAAGGAGAAGGGGACGACAGAGGACGAGATGGTTGGATAGTGTTCTCGAAGCTACCAGCCTGAGTTTGACCAAACTGCGGGAGGCAGTGGAAGACAGAAGTGCCTGGCGTGCTCTCGTCCATGGGGTCACGAAGAGTCGGACATGACTAAACGACTAAACAACAACAAACCATGCACAATTATCGGGCAAGCACATTTTGCAAGGAGCCTAGGAGAACAACTTAGTAAATCCAGGACAAGGATGGCAGGGTGAAACATATACACTCACACGGGGCTCTCTAGCCAAATTTAAGTTTTCAACTCTGCATATTTATTTGTTTTTCTACATTTACAGCCCACATTTCTCCCGCTGTGGAACTCAAGGTGGTGACTGTGTGGTTCCCAGGCACTGACCAGAGCTAGACCAACTTAATTTCGACAAGACAGAGGCCTTGTGTGCCTTTGGACCACACACACATACCAGAAACAATATATTATTCCCCTCTCTTCCCCTCCACTCACAGCATATCCAAAAGGAGTGTTTCAGTGCAGGAAATGGCCTGTATAGCAAACTTGTGTTCTCTATTGCCGCCAAAGGACTTACCTTGAGTAGCTGACAAGGTGTTTGTCCAAAATTATTAATCATCCCCTCTAAAGCTTTCCTTTCTTTCTCGTCGGTCAAGGCATCGAGATCTACAGCTCCTGGGACGACAGTAAACAAATCAGCACAACACACCCCATTCATTTCATTACACAATTTAGACACAAGGTCTTTCGCCTAATTTATCTGTTACTGGGAGGCATGTAGTTGCTGCCTCCTTTGCAGCTGTTCCCATGATACTCCTTCGTAAGGGATGGAGGCCTTTGTATTAGAGGTTACTGCCCACACACTTCTGCGCTTTTCTGCTTGTGTGGTGGCACCTCAGTAAATCCACTTCTTACTGTTTATAGTTTTTCCCCGGAGGCAGAGAACAAGAACAGGAGTCATACTCAAATTCTCCAGTCAAGAGCTTCTTTATTGCTTGACTGGTTGCGCAAGGGTCATTCCACATCAAATCAACGCAAAAAAACAAGAGTTTCGCCACCCACCGTCTCGGATTTTGATGAAACTTGGTGTACACCCTTCCCTTATGGTTGGAAAAAAAACCACACTCTTAAATTTCCCCCCTCTATCTCAAACAGTTTTAATTTTATAGCACTTCAAGGTTTCGTGAGATCTGTGTTTCTGTTCCTCTTGAGAAGACATAAGAGACCCATAAATTTTATTCTTTGTTGAGAAAGAGCATGTCTTTCCAATAATTTTCACCATCAAAAACCTTTGATTCCGTCATGCCCTCACACTGAAAATTTAGGTTTTCTAAACCTCATTTTTCCACCCAAAAAACTACATTTATACATTTTTTTATGCATTTATAAAAAAAATTGAGTGTTGGTGTATTTTTCCCTGAAATGCTCATCATGTTATTGAGCTCTGTGTAAAATTTCAAAGAGATCTGATCATTGGTTATGGAGAATAAATATAAAATGCACACCAGGCCAAGGATCTCAAGAGGGACAGAAACTCAGATTTCACGAAACTTTGAAGTGCTATAAAATTAAAACCGTTTGAGATAGAGGGGAAAAATTTAAGGGGGTTTCTTTCAACCATAAGGGAAGGGTGTACACCAAGTTTCATCAAAATCCGAGATGGTGGGTGGCACGACCGTGTTGAACTGACCCACAAGCATTTCTGTTACTTTTATATACAAGCTATTTGCATTCCTTCTTTATCTCTCCAGCACAGTATAATCTCAGTCCAGTAACTCACAATCCTGACACAGCAAAACCCACAGTATCAGCAGCACACATTGTCTTACTTCCAACCTTGTTGTCAGTGTGCGTGCTGATGGTGTGTGTGTGCACATGTGCTTTCCTTGTGCAGAAATTGCAGCCTGCAACTTTCTCCCTTTATTTTCACCTCCAGCTGACACCAGACAAGCCGAGAATGCCACTCCTACACACTAAAGAAAATTCTGGAACCCTCTTTAAAGCTTCCAGGAACTTTTATCTGTTTCTTAAAGAATGTTTTCCTAACACTTTGCCACACCCTACCCTACCTCGATGTTGCAGCTCAATGGGAATTAGCCATATGAGGCAGAAATCAGCAAGGTGCAATAATTTTGCCATGTAAATCACGTATAATTCCTTCCCACATGATACGATGATTCAAGAGTAACGTATAGCTTGGAGAAGGCTGATCGCCGAAGAATTGATGCTTTTGAATTATGGTGCTGGAGGAGACTCTTGAGAGTCCCATGGACTGCAAGAAGATCAAACCTCTCCATTCTTAAAGAAATCAGCCCTGAGAGCTCACTGGAAGGACAGATCCTGAAGCTGAGGCTCCAATACTTTGGCTACCTCATGAGAAGAGAAGACTCCCTGGAAAAGACCCTGATGTTGGGAAAGATGGAGGGCACAAGGAGAAGGGGACGACAGAGGATGAGATGGTGGGACAGTGTTCTCGAAGCTACCAGCATGAGTCTGACCAAACTGTGGGAGGCAGTGGAAGACAGGAGTGCCTGGCGTGCTCTGGTCCAGGGGGTCACGAAGAGTCGGACACGACTAAACGACTAAACAAGAAAAACATAGCTTGGTACCTTCGTAAGTACAGTAATAGAATACATTCATGGCCTCCACCGCAGCTGGCCCTCTCTGTTTGTAGCCAAAAATCAGATCTATCCACTCGTGGAGATGAGCAGAGACGTACTCCGACTCCTAGGACAGACCGAGAGAACGGGTTTCAGCACTCGCAGGAAAAGTGGCGGCGAAGGGCGCTGAGAAGTATTGTACATGCAAATCAAACGGTAGCAACAAAACGTACAGCTTAAGCCTTGCGGGCAGCATGTGCTATATGCATTTTCGACACTGAACCCAGAGGGCAATCAATAGCTCACCAAAGCTTTCCTGTGTTTAAAAATGAAGTCCTCTGGTGACTGCGCCCATTTCGGGAGGAGAACATCATTCACGACTTCCTTCGAGATCTGCAGCTGACCCAAGCTGAAATCTGTAGGGCCGCAATTAAGACAATTAGGTTGCTATTAACCATGAAAAACAAACAACAACAACTTATTATTTATACCAAGCCCATCTGGCTGGGTTTCCCCAGCCACTCTGGACGGCTTCCAACCGAATATTAAAAATAATACAGCATCAAACATTAAAAACTATCCTAAACAGGGGCGTCTTCAGTTGTCTTTTAAAAGTAAAATAGTTGCTTATTGCTTTGACATCTGCTAGAAGGGCGTTCCACAGGGCAGGCACCACTACCAAGAAGGCCCTCTGCCTGGTTCCCTGTAACTTCACTTCTCACAGCGAGGGAACTGCCAGAAGGCCCTCGGCACTGGACCTCAGTGTCCAGGCTGAACGATAGGAGTGGAGACGCTCCTTCAGGTGTACTGGACCAAAGGTCAGCACCAACACTTTGAATTGTGCTCGGAAACGATAAATGAAGCATTTATCAGGAGTTTTTAAAAGTCCATATGGAAGGGAGGTGAGAGCACAAAAAACCGCTGCTTAGGTAAATGATTACCGTATTTTTCGCTCTATAAGACGCACCAGACCACAAGTCACACCTAGTTTTTGGAGGAGGAAAGCAAGAAAAAAAATTCTGAATCTCAGAAGCCAGAACAGCAAGAGGGATCGCTGCACAGTGAAAGTAGCAATCCCTCTTGCTGTTCTGGCTTCTGGGATAGCTGCGCAGCCTGCATTCGCTCCATAAGACGCACACACATCCCCCCTTACTTTTTAAGAGGGAAAAAGTGAATCTTACAGAGCAAAAAATACGGTACTTTGTCACAGAAATGGTTTTCAGAAACAGTTATACAACAGAATATATCAAGAATGAGGAACCTGGGAGCCGGAGTCCCAACAACATCTGTGAGGCATCAGTTTCCCCACCTTTGGAATACATTAAAAAAACAGTAATTTGGCTAAAAACAACTCCCACGTTTATTAGCGGTATGTGAATTTCTATGTGCCCTGCAACTAGGGGATCAACATTTCAGCCAAGCACTTTACTTAGAATAGTTAACTACAACCAGGCAGTTTCTCCTCAGGGAAACGCACAGCCAGAAAATCATTCCACTACTTACTATTTTGATTCTCCAAGAACTCTGGAAAGTAGAAGAATTCTGGGATGAGCTCTTTCACATCATTGGGGTTCTCCATGAGAGCTTGCCAGGTAGCAGGAATGGAATGGAACTGCCGATCCGCACAGTCAAATCTGTGGGTTAGAGAACGCATGGGACATGTGCCCTGAGAAATCTCTGAACGCAATCCAAGGCGTAAGGAGGGATACTATCAATGCAAACGCCGGGATTCTGCTTAAACAGCACAGCTGTCTGCATTCCTTTGACAGCTTAATCCTACCATCACGTGGTCCGCAAAGGTGTTATTAAACCCAAGAGCCCGTACAGAGTCCTTATGTGGGTTCTCTATCTATAGGAGAAAATAACAGAGGCCAACCAGAGAATACAGTGGTACCTCGGGTTACATACGCTTCAGCTTACAGACTCCGCTAACCCAGAAATAATACCTCGGGTTAAGAACTTTGCTTCAGGATGAGAACAGAAATCATGCTCTGGCGGCACGGCAGCAGCGGGAGGCCCTATTAGTTAAAGTGGTGCTTCAGGTTAAGAACAGTTTCAGGTTAAGAACAGACCTCCGGAATGAACTAAGTACTTAACCCGAGGTACCACCGTTGTGGCGCTCATCTCGCTTTATTGGCCAAGGGAGCTTCCGGGTCATGTGATCAGCATGACTAAGCCGCTTCTGGCGAACCAGAGCATCACATGGAAACGCCGTTTACCTTCCCGCCAGAGCGGTACCTATTTATCTACTTGCACTTTGACGTGCTTTCAAACTGCTAGGTTGGCAGGAGCAGGGACCGAGCAACGGGAGCTCACCCCGTTGCAGGGATTCGAACCGCCAACCTTCTGATTGGCAAGCCCAAGAGGCTCAGTGGTTTACCCCACAGCGCCACCCGCGTCCATAATTCTCATCACAATGGTAAATAACTGGCAAGTTATTATTCCTTATCTGTAAAATGCAAGAAGCAACCCAAAGAGTAAAACTCTTTATTGTGCACCTGCCAATGCAAATTATGTGAAGCCAACCGTTTTTTAACTGAGCAGCTTTGCTTTTTTCTACTTTGGTGTGGCCAATAATCCCAACCACTTCTGGTTGATGGATTATGCCGAAATGGCCAAAATGACGGGAAGAAACAGAAATCAGGAAGACCGAAATTTTAATAAGGAATGGGGGAAATTTATAACTTATCTTATGAATATGAAAAACCAAGTAAGTAAAATTAAATAATAATTCCCTACCACCTTCCTGTATATTTTTATAGCACCATCCTAGCATGTTTAGTAAGCCCCAATACGTCAAATGAGATTTATCCGCTAGCACATGGGTTTAGGTGTATGGCCTCGTTTTTCTTAATTTATTGCATTTTTATTCCTCCCTTACTCCAAGGAGTTCCGGGCAGCCAATACGCTGGCTAGGATAAGAGATGGCAAATGGCCCAGGGGCATCTTGAGAAAACTTCCCAAGAGGAGGGGATCTGAACCTGTACCTTCTTAATCCTAGGGCGGATCTAAACATCGGGAGAGGTGCTATAAATAAATCAGAAATTAGATCGTTAAAACGAAAGAGAGGAAAATCCTATGGAAAATCGCGTTTGAAAATTCCCTGCTTTCTGGCACCATCTGGTGTTGTGTGTTTGCATCACATTAAAATTGCTGTTTCTTTACTAACGTAGCTAACTAAGTCCCTCAAATGACAGCGCAACCACTCCGCCACACTTGTGGGTCTCATTCTATGGATGGCAGCTGGGCAATTTCAGGCGAATATTAGCTTACAATCCATGTAAAATCCACATTCATTTTGTCCAATGGAATGCGCTAATGTTTTAACCCATGGGTAGGCAAACTAAGGCCCAGGGGCCAGATCCGGCCCAATGGCCTTCTAAATCCGGCCAACGGATGGTCTAGGAATCAACGTCTTTTTACATGAGTAGAATGTGTGCTTTTATTTAAAATGCATCTCTGGGTTATTTGTGGGGCATAGGAATTCGTTCATTTTTTTTCCAAAATACAGTCCGGCCCCCTGCAAGGTCTGAGGGACAGTGGACTGGCCCCCTGCTGAAAAAGTCTGCTGACCCGTTTTAACCCAATACTTTGTAAGATGTGTGACTTCTCTGAAAATGTTTGCAAAAGTGCTTGCCTCCCGGGGGCGGGGGGGCGGGCGGGGGGGAGCAATTTTTCAGTATGCAGAGATGTCATGATATGATCCTGTAACTGTCTTGTTTTTCCCCCAGGTTGGGGAAAGTAAAATATGTCAGTCTGCATTTCTTAGTGCAGAAAGTATTGATCTGATGTGTAGAGATCTTTCCTATTCTAATGAGTTCCAGAGGGTTCTGGAAGCTTCTCTGTGTGAAAGAAGCAAGCAGAAAGTTCATGGTGTTTGGGTTATTCCTTCAGAGAAGCTGAGTACAGCTGGCTTAAAAACTGGTCCTGTTATCTCTTTCTGTCAAGGTCATGCTGACTATAAAAGTAGGGCCAGAAGGAACCTGTTTTTCACCCTTTCTCTTTCTATCCTTTTTTCCCTTTCTGGTGTGGTGGTTCTGTACACAGTGTGCTTAGTTTAGACTTATTATAAGGTATTGTAAGTTTAAGTTAAGTCTGCTACAACTGGATTTCTTATGGACAGTGCCAATCCTGAATGTATCGGAATTGTGAACATTATGCTCACGTGCCTTCAGTAGCCGTAAAGCTCTGCTGGATGAAATACAATTGCCTCTGGTCTATTTTTTGGGAATCCTGCAACGTGTTTAAGTTTTTACTCTGCTAACTATACGTCGTAGTTCTGCTCTGGGATCAATACTTTGTAGAATTCCATTACAAAATATGCCAGACATGTGTGTAGTGATCAGGTGGGATTGCTATGAGGAATTATAACAAATATAGAGTAAGCCATCTGTGTCAGCAATGAAAGCATTGCGTTGACTGGGTTTAAACTATTTTGATATGATTCTTGATCAATCCACACCTCTGCATCCCTGTTCCATTTCTCTTTCTTCACAAGTCACGTACCCACTTAGACAGGCAGGCGTCCTGGGTCATCAAAGACAGTGGGCGGTTTCTTTGATGTAGCTTTTCTGATATGTTAATCTTAGGATGTTAATCTTAGGGCCAAGAAACAGATCTCACCTGTCTTCCTGGCCATCCTTCTTATCATGTATTTTGCTTGTTTATGACCTCAGGGGTTGCCAAATGCACTCCTTTGTAGTTCTGTTCTTTGTTTACCCCAGAAATATGTGTGCTTAATTAGTTTTGGTAGTTTAACTTTGTCCCCACGTGGGGTTTGTTGCAATGCTCGGAAGAAACCTGATTGGTTCTTACGAACACTCTGTAAAAAGTTCTTTTGTGGATAAAACGACCTGGGCCGAGGGGTGGAGAGGCAGACATTATTATACGCACCCTTCCCAGAGTCTTGCTGGTTCAAGCCTCTGTGTGTATTCTTATTAATCAGAGTTCAATACTTCCTTTACGCCTCAATGTGCTCTCCAGAGAGAGGAGGGTTCATCCTTAACCGAGACAGCAAAGATAGAGATGTTTCCGACTGATTCATGTCATACTCATACCTGCCACTCTGAAGCTGGATGTGCAATGTGGTGAAAGGCTCTACCCGGATGAGGTAATGCATGACTCCAGCTGCGTTGGAATAGTGAGTGCCGTAGTGGAACTTGTCGACAATTCCAAGAGGGTCTTCAAAGTTCTCATATCTTTTAAAAAAAGAGAGAGAGACAATAGGAGTTCCATAGCTGAATTCTCTCACCAATTGAATCAAATGCTGATTGCTGGTATATGAACATTTCAGGATTCCCACCCCCCCAACCAAGATGTTATTCTGTTACCGGCTAGCATCTGTGATATTAAAAACGCTCTTCCTCCAAAAATGTTTGGGAAATGGCGGTATCACAGGGTGTTGCAACTATGCTCACTTTAGAACACTGGGGGAAATACTGAGCAACACACATATTTTGGGGAGAGCAAGCATGCGGGTGGCGCTGTGGGTTAAACCACAGAGCCTAGGACTTGCCGATCAGAAGGTCGGCGGTTCGAATCCCCGCGATGGGGTGAGCTCCCGTTGCTCGGTCCCTGCTCCTGCCAACCTAGCAGTTCGAAAGCACATCAAAGTGCAAGTAGATAAATAGGTACCACTCCGGCGGGAAGGTAAACAGCGTTTCCATGCACTGCTCTGGTTCACCAGAAGAGGCTTAGTCATGCTGGCAACATGACTTGGAAGCTGTGTTAGTCTGACGCAGTCAAAAAAAAAATAAAAAAATTGTCCAGTAGCACCTTACAGACCAATTAAGTTTGTTCTGGTATAAGCTTTCGTGTGCATGCACAAGTCTGTGTATCTGAAGAAGAGTGCATGCACACAAAAGTTATACCAGAACAAATTTAGTTGGTCTATAAGGTGCTACTGGACAAATGTTTTGTGTGTTGTTTTTTTTAATTTTAAAATGTGGTTCTTTTGGGGTGGAGGGGTATTGGATTGTTGTTTTTGTTTTGATTATATATACAGTGGTTTTATATTTGATTTTGTTCTGTGAACTGCCTTGAGACCTCCAGGTATAGGGCGGTATATAAATTCAATAAATAAACATATAAATATATATATATATATATATAGGGACGCGGGTGGCGCTGTGGGTTAAACCACAGAGCCTAGGACTTGCCGATCAGAAGGTCGGCGGTTCGAATCTGCGCAACGGGGTGAGCTCCCGTTGCTCAGTCCCTGCTCCTGCTAACCTAGCAGTTTGAAAGCCCGTCACATGACCCGGAAGCTGTACGCCGGATCCCTCGGCCAATAAAGCAAGATGAGCGCTGAAACCCCAGAGTCGGCCACAACTGGATCTAATGGTCAGGGGTCCCTTTACCTTTACCTTACTATGGCTGTACACCGCACAAAGTCTCAATAATGAACCATGGTTATTTTCTTTACCATGGTTATTTGTCAATACAATCAATATGGTACCTTGGTTCCTGAACGGCTTTGCTCCTGAACGTCGCAAACCCAGACGTGTTCCAGTTTGCGAATGTTTTTTGGAAGCCGAACATCCGTTTCAGCTGTCGGCATTGTTTCCGGGGCCAATCAAAAGCTGCGCCTTGGTTTGCGAACATTTCAGAAGTCAAACGGACTTCCACAACAGATTGAGTTTGAGAACCAAGGTACAGTGGTATCTCGGGTGCCGAACGCAATCCGTTCTGGAAGACTGTTCGACTTTCAAAACGTTTGACAACCGAGGCGCAATGGGCGGTCAGCAAATTCTATTGAGAAAATGGAGAAATGCGTCTCGGAAGCCGCTAGACTTCCGAGGCACATTTGAAAACGGAAGCGTTCACTCCCGGGGTTTCGGTGTTCGGGTTCCGAATTATTCCCAGGTTCCTCAGTATAGCTATTCTTGCTCTCCCCACCACCACCGCCCCGCCCATAGCTTCAAGTATTGCTTCCCTCCTTGCTGGTTTGGGGCATGTGTGTCTCAAAATGCTGTTAACAACTAAACTCGCATCTATTGATTCCCACCTACGTTTACCGTATTTTTCGCTCTATTGGACGCAGTTTTTCCCCTCCCAAAATTGAGGGGAAATGTGTGTGCGTCCTATGGAGTGAATGCAGGCTTGTGCCATAGCCACGCGCAACCCCTCCGGCAGGGAGAGGCTGCACGGGGCTATGGCTTCTTTAGCTCCACACAGCCTCTCCCAGTAGGGAGAGATTGCGCGGGGCTAAAGAGGAAGCCAAAGCAGTGAGCGGGATCCATCCCGCTGGCTGCCTTGGCTTGTTCCATAGCCGCGCGCAACCCCTCCGGCAGGGAGAGGTTGTGCGCAGCCTGTACGCTGCTCTTTGGGGCTGGGGGGGGAAGATTTTTTTATTGATTTCCCCGTCTAAAAACTAGGTGCTCCCTATGGTCCGGTAGCTTCTGTAAATTTCTTTACCACCATTTGAATCAACAGCATCATTATCAGATGAAACATAGAATAGGAAGGTAAACATACTAAGAGCTCCCTGCCCCCCCCCAAAAAACCCCAGTAAGAATGCAAATCTAACTAAATACTTTGGTCATTTTAAATGAAATACAGTACCTTTCCAGTACAGCCTTGGCGTTCTTTTCATTCGCCACGCCAATGGGCTTGGACAGATCCCTGAACACGGCCGGGTTATTGAGATCCAATTCTTCTGAAGTATAATCCTGTAGGATCCATGGAAACTTGAATGGGGAAGACAAACAGGTTTCAGATCTCACATCGCTTCTCCCCACAAATGTAAATACTGAATTCTAGTCTGAAAAGAAGACACTGGATGGGGAGGAAACTTACTACAGGATATTGCGCAAGGTCATTATAGGTTCGTCCTGCCATTGTGTTTAATTGAATGAGGTAGTCAAAGTTGGATATCTCTCTGTTCACCCATTTCTACAAATAAAAGAAAACGAAAAACCGAAGCTGTTAATGAGCATCACGGTTAGGCCACACATCTTGCCAGCATCTGAACGAACCAAACAACATATCTTCAGGTGACAAAATTAAGGGGGAAATTCAAGTTTACACGTTTATTTATTTTGGACTTTTATCCCGCCCTAACCCAATGGCTCAAAGTCTCTTAAAGTTGTAAACAAAACCACAAGGCTTTGGTTGGAATTCCTTCCGATTCTGCACTGCTACCGCCCATCTGGAGTAGGCATGTGTTACTGCAGGCTTCCTCAACCTCGGCCCTCCAGATGTTTTGAGTCTACAATTCCCATCATCCCTGACCACTGGTCCTGCTAGCTAGGGATCATGGGAGTTGCAGGCCAAAAACATCTGGAGGGTCGAGGTTGAGGAAGCCTGTGTTACCGTTTGACAGTGATGGCTTTCCTCGAGGGAACTCTGGGCTTTCCTGGTTCTAGGAAGTCCATTAGGAATTTCTAGGAAAGATGCAATGCCTTAAAAGAAAATATGATGAAAATGATGTATAGATGGTATATTGCACCTGTCAAGTTAGCTAAAATGTATAAAGTTAGTAATAAATGTTGGAAATGTAAAGAAAAAATAGGAACATTTTATCACATGTGGTGGGAATGTAAAAAGGTGAAAAGCTTCTGGGAGATGATATATAATGAGATGAAAAGAATGTTGAAATATACATTTATAAAGAAACCAGAAGCATTCTTATTGGGCATTGTGGGGAGTGACATAAATAGAAAGGAATGTAAGCTGTTCTTATATGCAACAATGGCAGCAAGAATATTACTGGCCCAAAAATGGAAGCAAGAAGAATTACCGACGAAAGAAGAATGGAGAATGAAATTAATGGACTATGCAGAACTGGATAAACTAACAGGAAGGATTCGAAATCGGCGGGACCAGAAATTCACAGAGGACTGGAGTAAATTTACAGATTATTTGAAAAGTATTTGTGATGATCAGACTACGTTTGTAGGCTTACAAGAAGTTTTGTGAGGAGTATTATTGGAATTATTGCAAAAATGGATAAGGGGGAGGAGGGTTAGTAAAGACAATTAAAGGTAATAAGAATTTAAGAAATGCATAAAAAGTGGTTAAAACGGTGGATCATCAGAGGTGCGGAGGGAAGTCCAAAAAAGATTGTATAAATGATGAAGTTTTGTGGTATGTATTATAATTTATATGTTAAAATTAATAAAAATTATTATAAAAAAGAGGAATTTCTAGGAAAGAGACACCGGTCTGCCTACAAGTGATCAAAGAGCAGGAGCGCTGGTGGGTCCATATGACAAGTGATTAACCGATAAAGTACATGTGCAAGCTTCCCTGTCATGTTTATGGGCAATGTGCAATGTGCATGCTGCATCCAAATCAGACATTTTGTGTCTGATGTGGCTAACCAAACATCAGCAGGATGGGGAAAAAACCCAACCGTATCTGGAAATGGGAACTCCATCTTTTACACATGACAAATTAGGGCTTATTGAATTATACTTTGCCAACAGGCTTTTCTTAACAGAGGGATCAGAACACAAAGGGGTGGAGTTTGCCTTTTGTATATTTATTTTACGTATTTTTATAGCACTTTTTTAAAAAAAATAGCACATTACAGGGGACGCGGGTGGCGCTGTGGGTTAAACCACAGACCCTAGGACTTGCCGATCAGAAGGTTGGCGGTTCGAATCCCCAAGACGGGGTGAGCTCCCGTTGCTCAGTCCCAGCTCCTGCCAACCTAGCAGTTCGAAAGCACGTCAAAGTGCAAGTAGATAAATAGGTACCACTCCAGCGGGAAGGTAAACGGCGTTTCCGTGCGCTGCTCTGGTTCACCAGAAGCGGCTTAGTCATGCTGGCCACATGACCCGGAAGCTGAACGCCAGCTCCCTCGGCCAGTAAAGCGAGATGAGCGCCGCAACCCCAGAGTCGGCCACGACTGGACTTAATGGTCAGGCGTCCCTTTACCCTTTATAGCACATTACAACTCAAAAGTGGTTTGCAAAAAGTATTATTATGTCAGCAGAGCGGACTACTGGGGGTGTTGTATAAAGCAGGGATGAGGAACCTGTGACCTGCCTGTTGGACTACAATTCCCATCAGCCCCCAAAGCACAGCCAGTGTTCAGGGCTTATGGGATCTGTAGTCCAGCGGCCAATGGAAGGCCACAGGTTCCCCATCCCTGATACAAAACAAAATGGTTTTTTTCCTGAGTTCTGAAGCTAGGAAATTACTGGGAGAGAGAACGGTTAGGTTCCGGGCTTTTTAAAAGGGCAGGAGGAAGCTACCCAGGTTCTACCCTACTACAGAACAACAATTAAATATAAAAAAATTCCCAAGCCATTCCTGGCAACATCATCTTACCTGGGTCAGTCCAGATGCTTTAAATAATTCTTGTGGAGATCTTGTCCCACTAATATTTGGGGAACACAGAGACAGAATTCGGCTGTACACTTTATTTCTTGCCTATAACAGAGTACAGTAGATTAATTAATCCAGGAAAATGCCAAATAAGCGTTCTGGAAAGAATGAATTTTTCCCCTTACTGTTTCCTCCCACCCCACACATGAATTTAATGACTGTTGAATCAAATAGCATCCCTCCTGCTTTCTAGAAAATTAACTTTTTATGTCTACTCAATCCAACTCAGAGCAGATCCATTGAAATCATTGGACTAATTACTTGAGTCCATCGATTTCAACGGGTCCAGTCTGAATATGTCTAATGCTGAATATCACCCATTAATCTTCTACGTCTGGTTACACAATTATCTTTTTCAAGGGCCAGTCCAATGAATTTGCTTTAGAAGCCTGCTTTTTCGCAGCCAATTTAACAGCTTAACAATGAAACCAGGCCTTTGATTTCCCCTTTAGCACTTTATCAAAGAATTATGTACATCGCAAAAGTGATTCTCAAACATTCAGAGTAATAAAAAACAAGTTACACAAAAAGACAAATCTTTACTGTCTTATGCTATGATGGAATGCTGATTTCAGTAGGTTTGTAGTTACTTTTTTCAAAGAGCTGGATTTTTGTGATAAAAAGATTCTCTGGGCAAATCAGCAAATAGTGCAGGATAATAATAATAATAATAATAATAATAATAATAATAATAATAATAATAATAATAATAATAATAATAATTTATTATTTATACCCCGCCCATATGGCTGAGTTTCCCCAGCCACTCTGGGCAGCTCCCAATCAGTGTTAAAAACAGTACAGTGTTACATATTAAAAACTTCCCTGAGGATATCCTCAACCAGACAGGAATGTTTACATTGTACAGATGAGTTGACCCTGTTCATCTTTTTACCATGCGGCAACTGCCAGAGGTCACCTGGTTACGAATTTCATCCTTTAAGAAGACATACCTCCTTTTTAAAGTTCAGGAAGTAATTGGTCTGGTCAACGAAGAAGATCTCCAGAGCTGACCTCCTCAAGTTATAGCGACGCAAATGAATCTCTCGAATCTGAGAAAGAGGCCATTTGAAATCAAAACCTATACCTGGAAAGAAGAGATGGTCATTGTGAAATATGTTGAACGGGCATATAACTTATTGTCCCAGTACGTTTCCGAGCACAATTCAAAGTGTTGGTGGTGACGTGACCTTTAAAGCCCTAAACGGCCTCAGCACAGTATACCTGAAGGAGCGTCTCCACCCCCATCGTTCTGCCCGGACACTGAGGTCCAGCTCCGAGGGCCTTCTGGTGGTTCCCTCCCTGTGAGAAGTGAGGTTACAGGGAACCAGGCAGAGGGCCTTCTCAGTAGTGGCGCCCGCCCTGTGGAACGCCCTCCCATCCGATGTCAAGGAAATAAACAACTACCTGACGTTTAGAAGACATCTGAAGGCAGCCCTGTTTAGGGAAGTTTTTAATGACTGATGTCTTAATGTATTTTAATTTTTTTGTTGGAAGCAGCCCAGAGTGGCTGGGGAAACCCAGCTGGATGGGAGGGGTATAAATAATAAATTACAGTGGTACCTTGGTTTACGGCCATAATCCGTTCCGGAGGTCTGTTTGTAAACCGAAACAGGTTGTAACCCAAGGCGTGCTTTCGCCAATGGGGCATCCCCAAAAAAGGGGTCGTAATCCAAAAAAAATTGTTTGTAAACCAAAAAAATTTGTTTGTCATCCAAAAAAAACAAAAAAACAAAAACAGGTCGTAATCAAAAAATAATTGGCAAACCGGGACGTGCACTTCCGGGTTTGAATTGGTCATAATCCAAAATGGTCATAAACTAGGCTGCTCACAAACCAAGGTACCACTGTATTATTATTATTATTATTATTATTATTATTATTATTATTATTATATGAAGCCAAAGCAGCAAGGTTCAGTAAAACGCTTCAAAAACATTAAACTTGCACACACGAATAGCCCTCCTGCCTACATAGGAACATTGTCTTGGGTATCTGTAGATTTGCACATGTGACATGTACAAAGCAAAAAATACGGTAATTCCAAAGTTAAAATGCATACAGCAAAACTGTCCACACAATGCTCGCTGTTGTTACATAGCTGGCCTCACCTTCCTCTTTTTCAATGCTGCCATCGTAGAAGTAAATGTGCTGTGTAGTGACCTCCAGCCTGCCGGGGATGACATTAATGATTGTAATAAGTTCGCAGTCTTCAGAGAGGACAAGTTTTTCTTTCTGGCTCTGCTCCTCCTTTTCATCCCTGCAGCAGGAGCACCAAAAATGACAGGCTAGAATCAACGGGGAGCTCCAGAAGATGCAACTCTGTATTCCCCCCACCCATAGCTCTCTTTGCGCTCTCCCCTAACAATATTTTGAACGGCAGTTTTATCATGCATAAAATAATCTTTAAAACGCTGGACTGATCAGCTTAAAGTCACATTTTTAATTACAACAACAACAACACAGAGTGGACCTTTTTATTTACAATGCAACTGGGCAGAAGAGACCCAACCATTCTTTTCTGGAGAGACATTTGGTCTGGCATCTAAGAGACCTGCAAAATTAGTTCCGCTCAACCTCTGGGTTTGTGCTTCTTGAAATAATAATAATAATAATAATAATAATAATAATAATAATAATTTTTATTTATATCCCGCCCTCCCCAGCCGAAGCCGGGCTCAGGGCAGCTAACAACAATAAAATAGTACAACATTCTAAAATCATTTCATTATAAAATTAATTCAAATCAAATTGATGGCAACCGTTAGGCTAAAGTTCTGTAAAGTTCTGACTCCAAAGGAGGGAGTCAGGCTGTGCCCTGGCCAAAGGCCTGGTGGAACAGTCTCAAGGGCAGCCCCACGTAGAGCGAGTTACAATAATCCAGTCTGGAGGTGACTGCCGCATGGATCACAGTGGCTAGGTCAGGGCGAGAGAGGTAAGGAGCCAACTGCTTAGCTTGGCAGAGATGAAAAAAATGCTGCCTTTGTTATAGCTGCAATCTATGCGCCTCCATGGAAAGGGAGGTGTCGAAGATTACACTCAAACTCTTAACGGACGGTGCTGGCACTAATTGCACCCCAGCAAGAGATGGGAGTTGCCCCCCCATCCCATATCGTCCCTTCCCAGCCAGAGGACCTCTGTCTTCGAAGGATTTAACTTCAACCAGCTCCCACGTAACCATCCAGCCACAGCTTCCAGACATCTGGTCAGTGTGTCTGGGGCCGAGTCAGGATGGCCATCCATCAACAGATAGAGTTGGGTGTCATCGGCATACTGAATGCAACCCAGCCCAAAACTCCAAACAAGCTGGGCGAGGAGGCGCATAAAGATGTTAAAAAGCATCGGGGAGAGAATCGCACCCTGAGGCACTCCACACACCAAGGAGTGGCGCGATGACAATTCCCCCCCAAGCACCACCCTCTGTCCCCGACCAGAGAGAAACGAGCGCAGTTTCCTTGTGCCCACGTGTAAAATAACTTCTGAAAACAGAGGGGACCTGGAGCAGGGGAGTATCTGTGACAATGGCATGGCCATCTGCTACTCAAATAAAATTTATACTGGAAATCCTACTGCGCCCTTGGGCAAGAACAAAGCTGCTCTTTGGATTCCAGCCCTGGGATCACCAGGCTTTGTGACATACATGCTTATATTAGATGCTGGATCTTCATCTGGTAGTTCAAGTATATCATCCTCCATATCGCTGACTTTCACTTGCTTCACAGCCTCCAGAAGCAAAGCCTCGCTCGATGGCGGCGCCTGCTGGACTCCTTTGGAGATAAAGCGAGATTTTACAAAGTCAGCTGCATTCTGCGAGACTTATATCGCTGAACCACACAAAAGTTCTATTAAATCACATGGTTTCTGTTCATATTATACTGTTCTAATCATTGCAAGGGATGCGGGGGGGGGGGGGGGACAAACTGATTTGCACAGACGTATTTTAGACTACATAGTTTCCTGAAGTCGAAGGGGGCGGGGAGAGATCAGAGACGAATCAGACTATTTTAAGATTAAAATAAAACACACTAAACAAAATTGATGAACTATGCCGAGATGGCAAAACTTACAGGGAGAATCAGAAACCAGGAAGAGGAAGTCTTTAATAAAGAATGGGGAAGGTTTCTAATTGATTTGAAAAGCTATTGTAAACAATTGCATACATTGGTAGGATTGACAGAAAACTTGTAGTAAAAACTTGTAGTAAAAATATGGATTGACGAAGGATTTAAAAGAATTATGAAAGAGATGCAGAGGGGGAAATCATTACATTAAGATCGGGGGTGGGGAGTCAGAAGGGATTATATATTTATGTATTTGATTCATTTATGTAAAAGAGAAAATGCAAAAATAAAATTTATTCAAAGAAAGGTATTAGATCTCACCTAGATTATCCCTTAGGGCACTGGCCTCCTGATGAGAGTTGAAATTGTAATTTTGTACCAACTTTAGCCTCATCCGTGAGTAATTTTCCACATTTGAAAGTTTCCAGTGAATACGATTTAGATTCCTGGCGAAAGGAATATACCCAAGATAATTTGACATGCATCAGACACAGAACTTAACTGCTACAAGGGTTTCCAACAAAAATAAACAAGAAAGAAAAAGCTTTAAATCACAGACGAACATTGCTGCAGGTGGATTTCAAAATTCACAAACAAGCTGCAATCACTTAAAGCCCTGAGCAATGGATTGTCGACAGTGGTGGAAGACCTGCTTCTCCATGGGTTTCACAGGGTGGGATTCCTCCCAAAGGTAATTGTAATGGTTCTAGGGGTTGCTTGTGCGTAAGCCGGTGCTTATCTCCCCGGCTGGGTGCAAACACCTGGCTGGGTTGCCTAAGTGAACCTTTTCTGTCCGGACAGCCACTCACCCGTGGCTGACTCAATCGCTGGCAGAATCCGTCAGTGGGCGTTTCTTAAACTTCTTCCAGCAAAGAAGCTCTTTGACGCCTAGTCTCCGCCTACTCTCTCTGCGCGGAAGCCTTCTGCGCAAGGGAGGGTGTGGGCAGCGGAGGACCCCTACTCTCCCCGCTGGTCCCAGGCAAGGAGTCATGGGACCGCCTCGCCGCTTCCCCCATCTGCCCCCCTTCTCCACTGGTGCTACGCTGATTCTCTTCCCAGAAGATGGGCTGCTTCTCCCGATCCCTGGACGCTCTCTGGAATCCCTCTGGCTTTTGCTCTCTCCCTCCACCACTGATGGCAGTTCCCTGACAGTAATCTACTCCAGTCCCCAGCTGTGTTGAAGAACTCCCTAGCATTTGGGGCACAGAAGTCTTTGATAAGCATCATTTTTGGCTTGCATTCTTCCAGGAAAGATAGGATTCTCTAGAGTGGCTAATCTGTGGACCCCAAGATGTTGTTGAACTGCAACATATTCTACTTGACCAAGCAGGCTGGGGGCGATGGGAGTTGGAGATCAACTGCATTTGGAAGGTCACAAGTTGCCATATTTTTCGCTCTATAGGACGCACCCGACCATAGCACGCACCTTGTTTTAGAGGGGGAGAACAAGAAAAAAAAATTCTCCCCCTCTCTGCTCAGCGCCCCTTCAGTGAAGCGGCAGGAGAAACAGAGCCCCTTCCATTTCTCCTCCCGCTTGGCTGAAGGGGTGCTGCGCAGCTCTCCCTCTCTGCTGAAGCCGGGAGAACAAGACTCTCCTGGCTTCAGCAAAAGGAACCTGAAGCCTTCGGCGGCTATCCCTGAAGCCTGGAGAGCGAGAGGGGTCGGTGCGCGAAGCCTCCGGAGCACAGAGGGAGCGCTCCCTCTGCGGTTCGGAGGCTTCGCGTTGCTATCGCTGAAGCCAAGGAGCCTGCATTCGCTCCATAAGACACACACACATTTCCCCTTAATTTTTGGAGGGGAAAGGGTGCGTCTTATAGAGCGAAAAATACGGCAGTCTGTCCTCGATTAGACAAAACACATTAAAAAAAACCCTTAGACCCAAACGTTGACAAGCATGGCCATATGTTAGAAGAGGCATTTTCAGTGGAGGAGGGAGAAGAGAGTCTACCTCTCCTTATATGCCATCCCCTGTCCCCATTTTCCCGGCAAGATCTTGTATTGATCCACCAAAGCCCTAGCTTCCACAATATGTTAAAAGTACCAGAATGGTCATGGGTCTTTGCATAACTGAACTGTGAAAAGGATTAACTAGGGAGGAAAATCCTGAAGCTCAGGGGTGTGTGAATGTGTGCGCAGGAATGTGTGCATCAGAAATTATTTGCTGGGAAATGAGCCACACGCCAAAACTTTACACGGTGTGAGTGCTGGAGGTGCTGGAGGTGAAATAGTTAAACGGGTTACCCAATCAGGACCCAGGGGGGTGGAGTCAGAGGGACTATAAAACCAGCTCTGGGAGGGGCAAAGGGAGGAGTTCGTTGGGTGGGTGGTTGGAGTGGGAGTGAATTGGGATAGAGTTTGTGGGTAGGTTGAGTTAGTGTAGTGAAATAAGCTGAGTCAGGAATAGTTAGGGACAAGTACTGTATTTTTTGCTCTATAAGACTCACTTTTTCCCTCCTAAAAAGTAAGGGGAAATGTGTGTGCGTCTTATGGAGCGAATGCAGGCTGCGCAGCTATCCCAGAAGCCAGAACAGCAAGTGGGATTACTGCTTTCGCTGCGCAGCGATCCCTCTTGCTGTTCTGGCTTCTGGGATTCAGAATATTTTTTTTCTTGTTTTCCTCCTCCAAAAACTAGGTGCATCTTATGGTCTGGTGCGTCTTATAGAGCAAAAAATACGGTAAATATCTGAGAGGTGGTTTGGTGAGTGAGAGCAGGTAGCGGAAGTTATAGGTCTGGATAGGCAGCCCATGATTGTAATTGACCGATACCATTTATGAAACCACACGCTTGTTAAACTGCAATAAATAAACAAAACTTTATGTTCCAATTTAACCCTGACTGGAATCAGTATTGTACCAGGTAGGGCCTGGGTGGTGGCAGCAGGATCAATAAACGGTGAAACGTCCGGGGACCCTGTGTGATCGCCACATATGGGTAGTCCAAACCTTAATGTACAAGACACATAGGATCAAAAGAATATTTAGCTAACCAGCTTGATAGGGAAGAATCGTTCCAAAGAGAATCATAATGCTACCTGAAGGAGCAAGCGAAAAGGGAACCCTCCACCTACCTTTCAGCCCAGGGTCCCTGCTCACACGTGAGGTACAGTTTGGCAGCTCTCCACTGTCGGAGAGTTGCCGTGTGCTGATTGTTCAGCTGCTTCAACATGCTGTTGTAACGCAGGTTTTCCTGCCGCGCCCGTCGGTTGAATGGCTCCACGAAAAACTCCTGGAGGTGAGAAAGTTGAAACATTTAAATGCAGTCGTACCTTGGCAGTCGAATGGAACCCGTTCCGGAAGTCCGTTCGACTTCCAAAATGTTCGGAAACCAAGGCGCGGCTTCTGATTGGCTGCAGGAAGCTCCAGCAGCCAATCGGAAGCTGCGGAAGCTCCGTCACACGTTCGGGTTCCAAAAGAACGTTCGCAAACTGGAACAATCACTTCCGGGTTTGCGGAGTTCAGGAACCAAAACGTCCGAGTTCCAGGGTGTTCAGGACCCAAGGTGTGACTGTAAATGCTAGAGGGGTTGTCAAAGGACATGGAAACCTCTATACAAGGGGCTGTTTTAATACTCTCCAAAACAACAAAAGGCAAAACAGATGTAGATCATTCCGTTGGGTCGTTCTTCAAATAAAGACTCCCAAGGCTGGAAAAGAGATCCAGTTGATTTCACAGATCTGCCACCAGCCTTGAAAACAAAAGGAGTCTTCAGCAAGCCTTGGTGCCAAAGATTAGGGCAGCCTTCTCCCAACCTTGTGCCCTCCAGATGTTTTGAACTACCGTATTTTTTGCTCTATAAGACTCACTTTTTCCCTCCTAAAAAGTAAGGGGAAATGTTTGTGCGTCTTATGGAGTGAATGCAGGCTGCACAGCTATCCCAGAAGCCATAACAGCAAGAGGGATCGCTGCTTTCGCTTTTTGCTGTTCTGGCTTCTGGGATTCAGAATATTTTTTTTCTTGTTTTCCTCCTCCAAAAACTAGGTGCATCTTATGGTCTGGTGAGTCTTATAAAGCGAAAAATATGGTATATCCCCCCCAGTCCCAGTCAGAACAGCCAGAGAGGAAGGGAGGTGCAGTCAATTGGCTTGTAAGTCTAGCAATATCTAAAGGGCACCGGGTTGACTACCCATGAGAGGTTTTTTGCCACCCCCACCCTTGGACCAAACTGGGATCTTCCTGGCCAGGGAATGATCCCATAGCAAGAGCTCTTGTGGTGTCTGCTCTGCTTGGGAAGTAATGAAATGTCACCTGGAATTTGAGCTTGCTTTCTCCTCGTTCCCGCTCTCGTTTGTGGATGTTGACCATCAGCTCCTCGTAACAATCCTTCCAAAATACTGCCATGCGCTCGTGGCCGTCGCTGAAAGTGCTGAGTTCGTACTGTTTCATATGGGGAATGATCTGGTGCACAAAAGGTTAAGAGGGTTATAGCGAACACGCCTCCTCTCTCCTGTGCAGGAGTGTGGCGTTTGCCTCCTAGGTGGGTCATAAGGAAAGGGTTAAATGAGTGTGATGTGATTGGCCAGTGGGAACGCAAGGGAGGAGTAAAGTTAGAGTGGGAGGTTTTGAAAGTCAGTTGAGGTTTGGGAGGTGAAGAAGGAAGAGGGAGGATTAGGTGTGGGTTGGTAGAGTTGTATTGTGAGAGAGTGAGAGGAATTGTTAGGTGGAGTCATGTAGGGATATCGCGGAGAGTGGGGGGTGGGGTCCGGAAGGAACACGTCTGCCTGCACGCGTGACTTTGGGCTGCAGGGAACCCCCCCCCCCAGACAAGCCACAGCTGTCTGGTACATCGTTCCACCTATGTCTGACCTTTGCGGTCTCAGAAGTCAGCAGTGTCCTGTCTGTAACCTTTTCCCTTAGAGACCTTTTGTCTCCTACGTCATACACTGTGCAAGGGGGAAATGACGCTGTGGAACAGGTGCCAAAATAGCTTTGTACCACCCCACAATCTCGGGACGGAAGATGTGTAAAGGTCACAGCCCAAAATGTATTTGCCTGGCTTGCATATTTGTCTCAATAAAAGGAGGCTCCACAGGAATGGTGGTAGCTCGCTTCAGATAATGATCAACACCTGTCTTGGGCCTTCACTTCAGAGTCAGACAGATAGTTGGGGATAATCAATTTGAAGTTGTTAGGAACTAAGATTAAGAAATTGACAAGAAAAGTTAACTGAAACCATAAGCTTGTTCCTGCATTTAAAAACAAACTTGATTATTTGTTAATGTTAACAACTGGCTGGACTCCGTGTGTCCACGGGGTGGTGGCAGCGAAGAAAGCTATCGCAGTGGTGGCACAGGGTCAACAGACCGTCAAATGTCCGGGGGCCCTGTGTGATCGCCACAAGGAGAAAGAAAAAATGACGGTCGAAGGAGGGCCTTGTGACTTACAAATTTAGCAATATAAGTCTGCCATTCCTCCGTGTTGCAATAGTCCTGGAAGTCCTCGAAAAAGGAAGGGCTCCCGTTCGTCGAAGGCAGGGAGGGCAAGTGCAGGTCCATGAAGAGAAGCTCGTATATTTTGGAAACCAGCGTCCGGACGAGAGGGATCAGGAAGGAGTAGGTCTCTGTCTTCTCCTTGATCGATCTGCTCAGAATGCCTTCCAGCCTGCCAAGAAGGTAGCAGGACTCCAGTTGGTTGTCCAGCACTTTGGTCTGAAGGAGGGTGTTTAGCTTGGCTGCAGCCATTGCGCAAACCTGAGGGGGGAGGGAGAGAGGGGGCAAACACATCAGCCAACGTGTCCCCCAATTTCCCCAAAGCTATTTCGTTCCTTTGCAGAGAACAGCAAACTGTAGTTTGAGCCAAAAGACAAAGAGAAACTTCTTGTTGCAGAAGAAGAAATGAAAAAGAAAGGGGAGTTCGAGGCTCACAATGGCCTATTCTAATCACAATAAACTCACTTGTATACTCCTGCCCACTTTAAATACTCTTTTTTTATAAATAATTTTGATTTTACCAGTATAAAATTATAACAATACAACTATACACATCTACATTTAAAGAGTCATCTGAATCTCTGGACCTCCCACCTTCTCCTCCATGGGTCCAATTGTTAACCTTTTCTACTGCATATTTTTCAATAGTACCAATTTTATATGACTCCATTATCTCCCTAATACTTGCTACATTATAAGTGTTTTTGAAATCCTGCTAACGTTTTCATCTGTTTGCAGTGGTCCCCAAGATAAATTATACATTTTTCGCATTCTTTGTTCAAGTTTTGGTCTTCTTTGGTTTCGGAGCCTTCCGGACAGTTTTGCCATTTCGGCACAATCCAACGGTTTAATAAACTCCCAACCAGAGAAGAATGGCAAATTAAATCTAATTCTCAACACGCTATACAGACCATAGCTGTCAACTTACAGATTTGAAAATAAGGGACCAGCAGCCTCAAAAATAAGGGATCAGCAGCCAAAATAAGGGATTTTCAGAGCACAGGGATGTTCATCTCCTGAGCCCCTCCGAGTCAAAGGAAGAAAACCCAGCCAACAGCCAAATGAAGCCTCAAGCGGTGGTTCCCACAGCACAGCAACCCAGCAAAGGGGATGCAGCAAGGAAAACCACCGTCACCTCTCCGCTGGGAAGCGCTGAGCAAAGGGGAGTCCCCAGGCAATGCGGCCAATTGGATCAGCACAAGGCATGCAAGCTCCACCCCCCAGTCGTTCTTAAGACTCCTTATTGGGTGAGCAACGCAGCCAAGCAACCCAATTGGAGCATCCCTCCTCCCTGGCTGGCAGGGAGGGAGGGAGAGGAGCTGCTTCCTTTGAAACCCGGGAAATTTAAGGGACATCATCAATAAGGGACAGCAGCGGGACACAGCGCTGGGATAAGGGACTTTCCTGCCAAATAAGGGACGGTTGACAGCTATGATACAGACCCTGGATGTTGCTAGCACTATTCTGCATCGCAGCAACTGCACGCTGTACAATACGCACGACAACAAACCTGCAAATTATCCTGTCCAATGAATCCAAGCAGCATCTGGACTTGCACTTGGTAGAACTTCACATACTCTGGGCCAGAAGAGTACCAGACGGACAAGGTATCCATGAGAGTCACCAACTCTTCTAAGAGCTATGGGAAACACCATTCCGAAATCACAGGGGAAGGAGAAGACACGTTATGGTGTTTTTTGGTTGTTGTTTTTTAAAAGCATTAAAGCAGAGGAACAGTTAAATATACATCTCAATTCATGGCGAGACCAAGCAATGTACAACCCAGGATTGCTTTAAAAATTACCCCCCAAAAAACTTAAAATCGTAAAATTAGAACACACACACACATGTGTGCATATGCTAATCTGAATGAATGAATTTGAACAAGTGAATTTGGAAGTGAGGCAGAGTAGGGCAAGAGTGGAAGACACCCTGAATCTCAACACCATTGCATCTCCCCCAGAAACCCCAAACCAGCAAGGGTTCAAGGGCTGTGCCTGCACGCCGCCATCGCGCATTCAAACAGACAGACCTATATACTAAGGAAACAGCAGCTATACTTTGTGGAGAGAATCAGAACCTACAGGGTTAAGAGGTTCTGTGTGACGTCTCACATTCTGAGGCGTGGTTTACTGAGGGGAGTGTTTCCTGTTTCTCAGTTCTGTTTCGTTTTCCTCCGGAGAGGAAGCAAGATGTGCGAGTTGTCGCCAGGAGGGGAGATTTATGACTTGTTTTTCTACACGAATAAAGACTTTTAGAAGATAAGGAAGACACCGTGCGTGCAGCCTGATTTATCATACACACACGCACAGCAACAGTCTATCAGCTGCGTACACTCTGCTGCAAGTGGCTGACAGGAGAGCTGAGCAGAGCGCTGAGAGTGGAAGCGCGTGGGCTCCAGACAAAAGCCAAAAAGGCTACAACATTCCATATACTTGCTTTTCTTATTTATTACAGTACTTTGTAGAAACTTTTAAGATTTGCCTATTAATGTATTAAATGGGATCCCTGCCAGGGAGAATGCGTTTAGAATCAAGGCATGTTTTAAACATTAAACTATATATATTTACAAATTGATATCGTTAGTGCGAGTCCAAAGATGTGTCTTTTTTAAAAAAAAATGAACTCGCTCCCTAGAGCAGTAGAAATACCCCCTGTGACGTTAACATATGAGAGTGCTGGAGGTGAAATAGTTAAACAGGTTACCCAATCAGGACCCAGGGGGTGGAGTCAGAGGGACTATAAAACCAGCTCTGGGAGGGGCGAAGGGGGGAGTTCGTTGGGAGTTGGGTGGTTGGTTGGAGTGGGAGTGAATTGGGATGGAGTCTGCGGGTAGGTTGACTTAGTGTAGCGAAATAAGCAGAGTCAGGAACAGTTAGGAGCTAGGAAGACAAGTAAATATCTGAGAGGTGGTTTAGTGAGTGAGGGCAGGTAGTGAAAGTTAGAGGTCTGGATAGGGACCCATGATTGTAATTGACCGATACCGTTTATGAATCCACGCGCTTGTTAAACTGCAATAAATAAACAGAAGTTTATGTTCCAATTTAACCCTGACTGGACTCAGTAATTTACCAGGTAGGGCCCGGGTGGTGGCAGCGAGAAATAAAGTGGTGGCACAGGGATCAATAGACGGTGAAACGTCCGGGGACCCTGTGTGATCGCCACCCCCCAAATCAGACCAACTATGAAATGTAGAGGCAAAATCTCAATGAAGAATATGCAGGGGGGGGGCGGGTCTGTGTATGAAAAGAAGAACATAGGCACTGTTTGAAATGGCCCAAACAATGAGCTTGCTGGGCAGTTCTATGTATGCCATGGTTAATAGATGGATGGTTTTCTGTATTCACCCAGACTGAGGCTCATTTCTTTCTAAATTGACTGCTTCAACTTTCAAGTTGGACTTAAAAGATGGCAGTCGATGTCACAAGCAAGTGCAGTGCCAGATCAGACCAAAGGTTTTATTCTCATAATGTTTTGTTCTCCAAAGTGGCCAGTCGCATGCCTTTTCCAGCTGCATTGGCTCCCGGTGGAGTACAGGGTCAGATTTAAGGTGCTGGTTTTGACCTTTAAAGCCCTTCACAGCCTAGGGCCCTCGTACCTACGGGACCGCCTCTCCTGGTATGCCCCACGGAGGACCTTAAGGTCCATATATAGCAACACCCTAGAGGTCCCAGGCCCTAAGGAAGATAGATTAGCCTCAACCAGAGCCAGGGCCTTTTCAGCATTGGCTGAAATGCTGGTGGAATGCTCTGTCTCTTGAGACCAGGGCCCTGCGGGATCTGATTTCTTTCCGCAGGGCCTGTAAGACAGAGTTGTTCCACCTGGCCTTTGGCTTAGAATCAGTTTGATTCCCTCCCCTTCTTTCTTTTTCCTTTCTCCTCCTATGAAGAGACTGCATCCTAGTGTTTTAATGTTGTATCTTAATCTTTTTAATTGTATTTTAACCAACTTGTTTTTATTATTGCTTGTTAGCCGCCCTGAGCCCGGTCTTGGCTGGGGAGGGCGGGGTATAAATAAAAAATATTTTATTATTATTATTACTATTACTATTACAGTGGTACCTCGCAAGACAAATGCCTCGCAAGACAAAAAACCCGCTAGACGAAAGGGTTTTTTGTTTTTTGAGCTGCTTCGCAAGACAATTTTCCCTATGGGCTTGCTTCGCAAGACGAAAACGTCTTGCAAGTTTGTTTCCTTTTTCTTAACACCGTTAATACAGTTGTGACTTGACTTTGAGGAGCAACTCATAGAACTCGGTGTGGTAGCCTTTTTTTAGGTTTTTGAAGACTTTGGTGATTTTTGAAGCTTTTCCAAAACTTTCCCGACACCGTGCTTCGCAAGACGGAAAAAATCGCAAGACCACAAAACTCGCGGAACGAATTAATTTCGTCTTACGAGGCACCACTGTATTATTATTATTAAAGTCCGCAGGCAGGACGCGAGGGCATCAGGAGCCACCCGACAACCTGTCTCTTGTTTTTACAGATTCATTCCTACCTTTTCCGTCCACAGACTTGAATTAACAAGCCCTTCCGCTTGCAGGAAATCTTGCACGACAAGCAGGAGCCGGAAGGCGTTTTCTGCGTACACTGGGAGAGATTTAGCGTCTCTGTTGTCCATGACTGCCCATTCCAACATCTTCTCTAGCAAGCTAAGTTAAAAGAGGAAACGTGTTATTCAAAGGAGGTGGACGTTATGAATTTCAGAGAACAAGGACCTGATTATGTATCTAGCTCTGCCACCGTATTTCTTGCTAGGGGGAGGTGTTTTAAACTGTTTTTAAAAAATTTGTTTCAAATATTGTAACCCAGCCTGGGGCTTCAGGGCAAAGGGCGGGTAAATAATATATCAGTAATAACGTCTTCATCTGCCCCGACTGCAATAGAACATGTCACAGCAGGCATGCTAACTCTCCAATGCTCTGACTCTTCCATTGTCTCCTTAGACAGGCAGATGCCCAAAACAGCAACAACAACAATAATAATAATAATAATAATAGGAGTTAGAGGTTCTGTGAAGTTAATTCCAGACACACGAAACTGTGTTCCAATTACAATACGGGCGCCGGAATAAGAAAACAAATCACACCTTGTTTCTCAGGTTGCAAAGACTCTCTCAACTCTTTGCTTAGAATGGAAGAATCAGCTGATATAGCTAGTCTTTTAGCTTTTTATGGACACATGTTGTGCATACGTTGTGTTATTTACAATGCTGTAGACAGCATCTTAAAAAGCAGAGACATCACCTTGCCGACAAAGGTCTGTATAGTTAAAGCTATGGTTTTCCCAGTAGTGATGTATGGAAGTGAGAGCTGGACCATAAAGAAGGCTGATCGCCGAAGAATTGATGCTTTTGAATTATGGTGCTGGAGGAGACTCTTGAGAGTCCCATGGACTGCAAGAAGATCAAACCTCTCCATTCTTAAGGAAATCAGCCCTGAGTGCTCACTGGAAGGACAGATCCTGAAGCTGAGGCTCCAATACTTTGGCCACCTCATGAGAAGAGAAGACTCCCTGGAAAAGACCCTGATGTTGGGAAAGATGGAGGGCACAAGGAGAAGGGGATGACAGAGGACGAGGGGGTTGGACAGTGTTCTCAAAGCTACCAGCATGAGTTTGACCAAACTGCGGGAGGCAGTGGAGGACAGAAGTGCCTGGCGTGCTCTGGTCCATGGGGTCATCAAGAGTCAGACACGACTAAACGACTAAACAACAACAAAACTGACCTGTGGCCTTTGGGCAAGGGGCAGTATATATGTGTGTGTGTGTATATATATATAAATTATTAAAATAAACTCACTTGAGTTTTATTTCATCCGTTGGCCGTAGCAGCTCATTGGATATCCCCAATTTGGTGAGGGCAGAAAAAACCTGCCCCCTCTCCACCCACGCAGCATCATCAGATCTTTCTATGCCTCTCCACATCACACAAAGCAGGGCATCGGTGAGTAAATGTATGAGATCTTCTTCACATGCCTATGGAAACAATCGTGTATTTTAAGGAATTATAATATTATTACTATGAGTACCTAACAAGTCTTATCCTTTGGAACAGGGACTGCTGGCATATGTACTTATTATTATGCGCTCTCTCTCTCTCGTTTTAGCTGACAAGCGCCCAAAGTAGCATCCAATCATATTAAAAGATACACTATGAAAAGAAAAGGTAATTAACCGAGCAGTGAAAACCACAATAGTGTGAACTATTCAGGGAGAGCAGAAAATCAACTTGTGCTGGATTTGCCTACTATGCAGTGGCAAAGCCATGTGAAAAGCACAAATCTTGAAATCTTTTGAGCAAAACCGAATAAACACGCATTATTTCTCTCTCTTTTCATTAAATGTTTAACTGTGAAAGAATTTTGATTACCGTACTTTTCCGTGTATAAGATGCCCCCATGTATAAGGGGATTCAAAGTGAAGAAAATGGGAGGAGATGACACAGAGTTGTTGAGCTTATTTGGGGGGGGGATTACCCAGGGTTATTGAGGTTTTTTTTAGGGGGGATTGCCGAAAACCGCTCACCCGCACACGTCGCAAAATCCGGCCTCTCGTCTGTCCCCTAGCCAGCAGAAGCTGCCAATCGCCCACCCAATTGCCACGTCAGCCAATCAGCGTCAGCTATTAAGGCAGCAACCAATCACATGCCCAATAGTCACTGACAGCTGCGGCAGCAACCAATCAAACGTCCACCCTATGGACTATCCAAGTATAAGACGACCCCCACGCATAGCTGTCAACTTTTCCCTTTTCTTGCGAGGAATCCTATTCGGAATAAGGGAATTCCCCTTAAAAAAGGGGAAACGTTGACAGCTATGCCCCCACTTTTCAGCATAATTTTAAAGAAAAAAACCTAGTCTTATACATGGAAAAGTACGGTAATTTTAAAAACTAAACTGGGTGGGCGGGCGATGGGACCAACCGCAAAAGTTTGCCCGGAAGCAGGACAAACACATTACCTCGCGAATTCAAATAATGAGAGATCTGCCGGGAATGCCACCTCTGCCGCAGCGTTTGGGTCTTTCTCAAGATGCCCAGAGAATGTTTTGGTGTTCTCGACAGGCGAAGGGGTGCTGGGCAGGCTGTCCACCATCTGACTCCCACCGTCGCCCAGTTCGTAGGAGTCAACGCTCGACAGGTCCAAGCTCAGGTGAGAAGGGTTCTTCTGCCACAGCTCATCTTGGTCCTCAGCCATGAACGACATCTCTGCCCCGGAAGGATCTTCGAGCATCACCCCAGGCTTGCTGTCTTCTAGGCTCCACCGATCGCAGGAACCATTGAGAGAGGCAAAACCGGTAGCGTCTCCCCCGTCAGCCTTTGAAGAAGTGTGTTTCTTAAACTCTTTACCTGGAACGTGTTTTTCACCCTCTTTGGCAGAGCCGTTTCTGTTCTCCCTCGCGCCATTCCTGACCTCGGCGTTCTCTTTCAGGAAGAGTCTCGCCAACGTCTCCTGCCAGCCACGCTGCAGAGAAATCTGCTGCGCTGAATCCGGCTGGCTATGGAGGATTTGCAAAAGCTGCAGAAAGCAATAAGCAGGCGAGATGAAGACTTAACATCAATCTGCCACAGGAACCTTTCAGAGCTTTCTGTGTGCCTCAGAAAGAGCCACCAAGGTGCTAAACCAGCATGTACCGTATTTTACGCTCCATAAGACACACTTTTCCCTCTCAAAATCTAAGGGGAAATGTCTGCGCATCTTATGGAGCGAATGTGTGGTCCCTGGGGCTAGGGGGGGGGAACCCGGGCTTCTCTCCCCAGCCCTGAGAAGCTCTGGGAGCAGTGGAAAGGCTGTGCGCAGCCTTCCCACTGCTCCCCGGGGCTGGCGGTGAGGGACGCTCGGCTTTCCCCACTGCCAGCCCTACAAGCCGCGGGGAGCAGCAGAAAGGCTGCTCCCCGGGGCTGGCGGTGCGGGAAGCTCGGCTTTCCCCACCGCCAGCCCCACAAGCAAAAGGAACCCTAGGCTATCTGGAGATAGCCAGATAGCCGCCTGAAGCCTCCAGAGGCTTCGGGATTCCTTCTGCTGAAGCCTGGAGAGCGAGAGGGGTCGGTGCACACAGGCCCCCCTCTCTCTCCAGGCTTCAAAGATAGCTGCCTGATGCCTCTGGAACGCAGCGGGAGCTCCCGCTGCGCTCCGGAGGCTTCGGGTTCCTTTCGCTGAAGGGTAGGTGCCCCTTCAGCTAAGGCGTAGCGCCCCTTCAGCTAAGCGGGAGGAGAAATGGTTGGGGCTCTGTTTCTCCTGCCGCTTCGCTGAAGGGGCGCTGAGCAGAGAGGGGGAGAATTTTTTTCCTTTGTTCTTCCCCTCTAAAACAAGGTGCATCCTATGGTTGGGTGTGTCCTATAGAGCGAAAAATACGGTAACTTAAGCTGTAAGTAATAGATCTGAGAATTTAAGGGTGTGACCTAGAGATGGGGAAAAAACCTGGGGGGGAAACAGAAAAATTGGGAAAACCCCAAGTTTTTTCCTGGTTTTCCCCAAGCCGTTTGTGTTTTTTTTTCGGGGGGGGGGGCAGTTTGATATAATCTGAATATTCTACACACTTTTTTCAATTTTCCCAGGGGGAAAATGGCTTTGGAAAAAACTGGGGGTTTTCCCCAATTTTTCCAGTTTTCCCCCCAAACCTTCCCATCTCTAGTCATATGACATGCCATCTTTATAATAATTTCAGCCTAAAACAATATGCATTTTTAAAAACCAGAGCAGGGATTATAATACAACAGATCAAACTTTAAATAGATGGTTTAAGAGACAAATGTACTGTGTAAACAAATTTGCAATCTACGGCATGTTGAACAATGAAAGAAAATTATATGAAAATGATGTACTGGTGGTATTTGACCCCTACTAAGTTAGCAAAAATAGAACAAGTACAAATATCTGCTGGAAATGTAAAGAAAAATAAGGTACTTTTAATCATAGGTGGTAGATGTGTAACAAAACAAAAGCTTTCTGGGAGATGATCTACAATGAACTGAAAAAAATGTTTAAAATAACTTTTGTCAAAAAAAACAAACCCAGAAGCTTTTCTATTAGGAATTATAGGTACAGTACCAAGATTCCAAAGGACCAGACATTTTTTGTATGTGACAACAACCGCATGGATGTTACTAGCCCAGAGATGGAAGTAAGAAACAATTCTGACCAGGTAAGAATGGCAAACCAAGTTGATGGACTATGCTGAAATGGCAAAATTAACTGGGAAGCTCGGAAACCAAGAGGACAAGAACTTTAAAAAATAATGGGGGAAATTTCTAATTTATTTATTTATAATTGTGGACAGATGAAAACATTAGCAGGATTTTAACCACACTTGTAAAGTAACAAAACTTATGGACAATTTCAGGGGTCAGCAAAGTTTTTCAGCAGGGGGCCGGTCCACTGTCCCTCAGACCTAGGGGGGGGGGGCGGACTATATTTGGGGGGGGGAATGAACGAATTCCTATGCCCCACAAATAACCCAGAGATGCATTTTAAATAATAGGACACATTCTACTCATGTAAAAGCACCAGGCAGGCCCCACAAATAACCCAGAGATGCATTTTAAATAAAAGCACACATTCTGCTCATGTAAAAAGACGCTGATTCCCGGACCATCCGCGGGCCGGATTTAGAAAGCGATTGGGCTGGATCCGGCCCACAGGCCTTAGTTTGCCTACCCATGATTTAGACTGATGGAAAATTTGGATATGAGCCGATATGCAGTTGTAAACATTGTTTTTAGGACCCATGGAGGGAATTGGGGGGGGGTGCGGGACATTGAGATTCAGAGGAATCTCATTCTATGGATTTTTAATTGATTTTGTTTTATGTTTATGTATTTTTAAAAAATAAAATAAAAATCTTACAAAAAAGAGAGACAAATGGACTGTGTAAACGGGGAGGAGCCGAATCCTGAGGATGCAAAACCCACTGAGAATTCTTATAGTTATAATGCAGTCAATTCATACTATCTTCACCAGGTTACAAAAAAAATATATATGAGAGAAACCAGATATGAACATTGTTCCACAGGATCAGTTCCACATAGCCACCAGGTGCCTTTCCCCCCTCCTCTGCCCCATGTGAACAGGATTGCACCCTGCATCAACTTCTGGACACATCCTAAGAACTCCACTGTCTCTCTCCAGACCTCGTGCAATAGACCCATTCTTCGCGATTCACCAATGATGTTCCTGTCTATCACCTGGCCCACTCCAAAACGACAACAGCAACAACAACTCACCTTTTGACAGATGGCCACTCGGACGTTGATATCTGCTCTGTGAGCCAGATGCACCACTGCTATAAAGTCCCTGTAATTCACAACTGGATCTGTGAAAAAGAAGGGTCATTTTATCATATGTGGGGGGAGTGTAAAAAGGTGAAAGGCTTCAGGGAGATAATACATAATGAGTTGAAAAAAATGTTGAAATATACATTTATAAAGAAACCAGAAGCATTTCTTTTGGGCATTGTTGGAAATGAGATAAATAGAAAAGACTGTAAACTCTTTTTATACGCGGTAACTGCAGCAAGAATATTACTGGCCCAAAAATGGAAGCAAGAAGAATTACCAACGTTGGAAGAATGGAGGATGAAATTAATGGACTATGCAGAATTGGATAAGCTAACAGGAAGGATCCAAAACCAGCGGGACCAGAGGTTCACCGAAGACTGGAATAAATTTACAGAGTATTTGAAAAGTTATTTGTGATGATCAAACTACGTTTGTAGGTTTACAAGAAGTTCTGTGAGGAGTAATTTAAGAAATATTGTAAAAATGGAAAGGGAGAGATGATCTGTTAAGAAATGTAAAGGCAATATTAAGTTAAGAATTGCAGGAGATGTGATTATGACGGAGGATTATCAGAGGAGCTGATGGAAGTCCAAATAAGAATATGTATGTAATAATTTGTGTGGTATGTCTTTAAAATTTTGTAAGCTAAAATTAATAAAAAATATTATTTTAAAAAAATTCACAACTGGATCTGTAGAGTAAGGATTCAAGACACGCATGATGAGAAAAAGGGAAAATGTCATAAGTCCACCTCCGTCCCTTTTTCAACCACTAAATTGCAGAGGGTTGGGAGTTTTTTGTGTATTTGGACTTTGCCATGAAAACACTACAATGAATTGAAGTGATAAATGTATTTTTCCTATTTCAGAATGCAGACGAGAAGAAAAAACTGTTAGGGTTCGACCACACAGTGGGGAACTTTTTAAAGCGCTGTAACAAGGGTGTCTCTGGAGCTTAAACTGAGGCTCATCCAACAAAAAATAATATTTAGAACCCCCGTACCGCCCACGTAGAATCCTGAAATGCCCACTAGTGGGTGGTAGGGACCGGGCTGGCAACCCATGGTTTAGAGCAGTGTTCCCCAACCTTGGGCCTCCAGCTGTTTTTGGACTACAATTGCCATCATCCTTGACCACTGGTCTTGCTAGCGAGGGATGATGGGAGTTGTAGTCCAAAAACAGCTGGAGGCCCAAGGTAGGGGAACACAGGTTTAGAGGATGGTGAGAAAGATATGCAGCCCTGTATTGGGAAGTTTGTAATGCTGTGTGTGTGTGTGTGTGTGTGTGTGTGTCTGTGTGTTTGTGTGTGTGCTGTTGTAGCCTTATTAGACTTTACCGATTGGTAGGGTGAGCGTTGCTCCCAGAACAGGGAGGAAGGAGTCAAATGACACCGAGGTTTGGTTCAGAGAAAGAGTTTATTCTGCTCTCCGGATAGCAGAAGGCACTGCGTGATAGGTTCACAGCAAGCACAAAAGCAAAAGAAATTTCACACAGTATATATATTCTCCAGGCACCCTCTCCCCCCTTCCCAGGAATCCAGTCATGTCAGCTTATATACGTAAGTTGACATCTATGACCATAAACAGATGTTCCTGTATTCCTCATCTTGGGGTAAGAAGGTCGCCAACTCTAAGAGCACTCCTGGCGCCATCCCCGAGCGCGGGGGTGTCTTGCAAGGTCGAAGCATCAGTGTGTCAGAATATTTACAACCCACAAGATAAGATAAGCCCAGCTCTGCCGTCCCATCTCCACTTCGGAACTGACAAGGCCATCCATTAAGCATCACGGACTGATAAAGGAGAGGGCTTTGTTTATACAGCTGGGTTCCTGTTATGCATTTGCTCAAGTGCTCAAGTTAATGGTTTTTAGCTAATGCACCCTTGGAGAAGAAAAAATTGGGATTTTGGGGCCCATTTCAGACTGACTGCACACTGTGCAGTCAGTCTGAAACGGGCCCCAAAATTTGGGAAACCCATTCCTTCACTGTAAGCCGCTCAGAGTGGCTGGGGAAACCCAGCCAGATGGGGGGGGGTATAAATATTATTAGTATCAGTATTAGTATTATTAGTATTATTGAACCACCCAAGTACCTGCATGAAGAACTTGGTTGAGAAGGTTCTTAATAAGAGATGTGGTCACTGGAGATTCGTTCAGGAGCAGTCCCAGTCCGGAATACCCGACCTCTCTGAGTTTCATACGCTGTTTGCTCCGCTCATAGACTTTGGTGCACTTCAACATCTGCCCCGTGATCTGCAAAGAAAGGCTGCATGAAGGTCTTCCTTGGGTGGGCAGCCAGATCCAAACCTCCCCAGTAGCACTGGTGCACACCAAAGACCCTTCTTCACAAGCAAGAAACCAGCAACCCAAGTCTGGCTGGGTTCTGGAGGTGGAAGGTGAATAGTTTCCTATTCATGATGGCTTCATCCCCCAAACAGTGCATGATCATAGAGGGGAGACAGTTGCCCTGGTCTTCGCCATCCCATGTAGTGATCAGGTGGGATTGCTATTAGGAATTATAACAAATATAGAGTAAGCCATCTGTGTCAGCAATGAAAGCATTGCGTTGACTGGGTTTAAACTATTTTGATATGATTCTTGATCAATTCACACCTCTGCATCCCTGTTCCATTTCTCTTTCTTGACCAGTCACGTACACTGCCAGTTGCTTCGCCAAGCAGGCATCCTGGGTCATTCTGATATGTTAATCTTAGGATGTTAATCTTAGGGCAAGGAAACAGATCTCACCTGAAGGTGATAATGATCGCTCTCTTCCTGGCCATCCTTCTTATCATGTGTATTGATTGTTTATGACCTCAGGGGATGCCAAATGCACTCCTTTGCAGTTCTGTTTTGCTTACCCCAGAAATATGTGTGCTTAATTCGTTTTGGTAGTTTAACTTTGTCCCCACGTGGGGTTTATTGCAATGCTCAGAAGAAATCTGATTGGTTCTTACAAACACTCTGTAAAAAGTTCTTTTGTGAATAAAACGACCTGGGCCAGAGGGTGGAGACACAGATTATTATACGCATCCTTCCCAGTGTCTTGCTGGTTCAAGCCTCTGTGTGTATTCTTATTAATCAGAGTTCAATCCTTCCTTTACTTTGGGAACGCCTCAATCCCACTCATTTAGAACCAACTTCGACTCCAATCTACACAGGCCCACCCTGGCTACTATTTTCTCGGTCACGTTTGTGTCTCAGAATGCAAGAGAGCTAGCTTTCGTGTTGAGATTTATCAGATAATATTAGAAACAACCATAAAGAGGGTCCATTTATTCTCTAGACAGCGCTTGTATTGTTTCTAAGCCGTTTAAGGGTCAGTATGTCATTAAAACAAATTTCAAATGGGCACAATTATTTATTCTTAATAAATTGCAGTTCTACAGAACCCTTGCGGCAGCTCAGAACACACCATCCAACTAAGATTAAAAACAGCCATAAATGCAGTGCCAGCTTGAACAAGGACATGATTATTTTAAAAAAACCCAAAAGTCGCTAAACACCTCTCAGGTGAAGACTGCAATCCTAAACCAACTTGCTTGAGAGCTGTGTCAGCAAGATCTATTGTATTTTTCGCTCTATAAGACGCACCAGACCATAAGACACACCTAGTTTTTGGAGGAGGAAAACAAGAAAAAAAATATTCTGAATCTCAGAAGCCAGAACAACAAGAGGGATCGCTGCGCAGCGAAAGCAGTGATCCCTCTTGCTGTTCTGGCTTCTGGGATAGCTGTGCAGCCTGCAATCGCTCCATAAGATGCACACACATTTCCCTTTACTTTTTAGGAGGGAAAAAGTGAGTCTTATAGAGCAAAAAATACGGTACTTCTGAGCAAATATACACAGTATTGGAGTTTAAAATTAGCTAATGACAACCAGTTTCCAGAAGCTGAAGCTATAACTGTACAACAGTTCAGCAAAGGGATATATATTTTTAAAAAGCTATTGGCTTGCATCCTACACAAGCTTTCATCGGTGTGCGCAGGACTCAAGTGTGCCAAAAGAAAGATGTTTCCTAGAAAATGTGGCTTCATCTTGCTAGATCTATCGTTTTAGAGGAGATGAAGCAAGTTACCTTGAACACTAGCTCCCGTAGTCCGTCCGAGTACCTCTGGTTCAGCAACAAAGCATAGAGGATGTCTGCATTTCCTGGCTCAAAAAGCAACAAGAAAAGCTGCTCTCGAGTTGGGCTGGTGTGGAGCAGGCTGAAAAGTACTTCCAGGATGCCACAGAGCTTGGGGGAGAACAAAACTGAATCAAAAGTGCAAAAGCCACACAGTTCTCACTATTGAATCTCACTCATTGTAAACAGCTTTTCATTTCCAGAGATGGGGGGGGGTGATTATTTGAAGCGAGGGGTTTCTCAAAAATGCCAGCGCCCCTAATGGAATTAGAATGGACCCAATTTGAGTCAGCCACAGCCCTATCTGGGATTTGCATGCTTTCTCCATGAACGTTTGTAGCTGGGGATCAGAGACTTGCCAGGAAGGGCAAAACAATAGAAAAAGGCAGAGAGGTATTGAGTTGCTTGGATATTCAAGTCAGATACTCAGGGCTCAGCCAGACTTCCACTCACCCCACCACTTTCCCTCGGGAAAACCTGCTCTTTACTGCTTAACTGGAACAAATGTCAATTGGTCGTTCCGCCGATTAATGGTTGTTCCTGTTCAATAGTAAACAGCAGGTTTTCCGGGGGAAAGTGGTGGAACAAATGAAAATCTGTGCCTAGAAGGCACAGGACAAGCAGAAAACCTCTCAAATCCGTACTTTCTAAGTGCGGAACAAGTGATGTGTGGACAAGCCCTCGGTTGCCAATCAGACATTTCTACTCCTAAGTTTCCTACTTCTGTCTTTTAGAATAAATAGATGCAGCAAACCCCAAATTGTGTGGATTTGTTATCTACTAGGGGTGGGCGGATCTATTTCTGTTCCATGCCAGTTTCATATACGGTGAGGGAAAGAAGTATTTGATCCCCTGCTAAATTTGCTCGTTTGCCCTCCGACGAAGAAATGACCAGTCCATAATTTTAATGGTAGGTTTATTGTAGCTGTGAGAGACAGAATAACAACAGGAAAACCCCCAGAAACCGAAAAGACAAAAGCCAGAGATTGATGTGCATTATAATTAGTGAAATAAGTATTGGATTCCTTATGGACTGGTCAGCGCAACGGAAACGCTGTTTACCTTCCCGCCGGAGCGGTACCTATTTATCTAATTGCCCTTTGACGTGCTTTTGAACTGCTAGGTGGCAGGAGCAGGGACCGAGCAACAGGAGCTCACCCCGTCGCGGGGATTCGAACCGCCGACCTTCTGATCGGCAAGCCCATGGCTCTGTGGTTTAGACCACAGCGCCACCCGTGTCCCTTTTTTGGCAACGGTAAAATGCACCAAATTCAAAAAGTGCCACATTAAAGCAGGGAAGGAAGAACTGAAGGCACTACCAAATTCATCCTTTGCAGACACAGCTGGAATTCAAGTTGAGGGTGCAAAGGAAGAAATGAAAAATTGAGAAAGCTCATGAGTCTTCCTTTGCAGCCATGGGTTTTCAAGTTGAACCATCTGACTTTAAACAGTATCAGGTCCCTGACAGGTGGGCAGTCAAACTGACTCATGGAGGGAGCCCCCCCCCCAGTTTTCGATCCAACGAGCTGGCCAGATCTAATTCCTCACCCCCTGGTTTAGCATAGCAACCTGCACTGAGGAAGTTCTGCTGAACCAGGTTTAGCAAAGCTACTTCAAACCCCGGTTATGAAGTGAATCCTGCTTAGTTCCAATGCAGAGATAACACTGAGCCATGATTAGATCACTGCATGGAAGGGAGGGTGGAATTCGCTCTGGAGGAAGGGGAAAGAATTGCACGAGACAGCAGTGTGCTCTGGATTTACAAACCATGGGCTGCAGCACTCCATCTGCCCACACATAGTAGGGTAAAACAAATAGAATCCCCTTTAAGAAAGAAGAGTTTGTGGAAGGGGCTCTGTTACCTTATATGAAATACTTGCACTTAGCAGACGGTTTATGCAATATGCTATATATCATTATTGGGACACGGGTGGCGCTGTGGGTTAAACCACAGAGCCTAGAACTTGCCGATCAGAAGGTCGGCAGTTCGAATCGCCGCCACAGGGGTGAGCTCCCGTTGCTCAGTCCCTGCTCCTGCCAACCTAGCAGTTCAAAAGCACATCAATGTGCAAGTAGATAAATAGGTACTGCTCCGGCAGGAAGTTAAACACATTTCCGTGCGCTGCTCTGGTTCGCCAGAAGCGGCTTAGTCATGCTGGCCACATGACCCGGAAGCTGTACGCCAGCTCCCTCGGCCAATAAAGCGAGATGAGCGCCACAACCCCAGAGTCGGTCACGAATGGACCTAACGGTCAGGGGTCCCTTTAACTTTTATATATCATTATTTACATGCATTACATCTCTTCCCCCGCCCCCACTCCCATCTTTTTGAAGATGGAATAGAGAATGATCCCAAAAAAAGAAACCGTAGTTTAACACAGGCATGCTAAATACCTGCTCCTCATCGTTGATGGCTGCTATATAGCCCATGATGCTCTGCACTTCCTCATGAGCCCCACCTTTGCTCAGGAAGTACTTTATTAATCCATACAGAGACGTTCTTATTGTCTTAAGATCATCTGGCGCCAAGTCACTGTCTTTAGAGCTGTTTCTAACAAAAACAAGGAAAGAAGACTTCATCAAAATGATTGCATACTATGAATACAAAAGAGGCCAGACCCAGGAGAACCTTAGTTCTTCCAGTTTTCTTTTCACAAAGCATTTCTCCCTTTGTATATAATTTACCTCTTTGTATGTAACAGCTACCCCTACCCATTTCGACTCTCTGGCACCCTATCTGCATAACCTAGCAATTCTAAAATATAGACGTGCTTCTGCTCTCACAAGATTGAATGTATTGCCCTCGGCTGTACTTGAGGGACGATTCCAACAGATTCCACACGAAAAACCTTTATGTCCCTGTGGAGATGACAGTACTGAATCAGCGGCACATGTCCTTCTGGCCTGCACTCTTTATAAATCAGAAGGTCGGCAGTTTGAGAGATATATATATAAAACTCTCTCTCTCTCTCTCTCTCTCTCTCTCTCTCTCTCATCAGAGCAGTTAAGACAAAACAATAAAATCGAGAAAAATTCACTGCCAGACGTCAAAGCATACAAAAGTTAAAATGCACAGCAAGCTAAGGAAAGATTGCATACCCATAATAGATCCTCAGTGTATCCAGTAAAAACTGCACGCCATACTTTTTTCGGAAGAGCCTCCGACTGTCTTTGATGATTGTAGAAAGGTACTGGATGTGACCTACAAACATAACATTTCCCATCAGGGCAGGTCAGTCTAGCCTTTCATATATATGGCGAGTGCATTATGATACGTGCAGCAAACCAAGTTATGTTTCAGTGTTAATTTTAACAGCGCCTCGCCTCACCGATTCGGAATGGGAAGTCTCCCCGATTCCAGATGCTGAAGTCAAAAAGCAAGTGTTGATACATCTGCTGCAGAAGTGGTGCGTTTTTCGCCACAGAGACCTGTTCTATCAACAACTGGACGGCCATCAAGACATTCACATCCATGAAGCTGCTTGGCACCTAAGAAACAGCTGTATAAATTTAGGTCTATCCCTTTATGTTCTACAAACTATAAAACAAAACAAATATTGCGACTGAGTATTTAAGCAAGTAGTCTTCGTGACAAATACGTTCTTAGTAAGAAAAACCAACCAGTTTTGTTTGCATGGAATAAGTCAACTTGAGACTTGAAAGAAGAGGCGTGCACAAGCTGAATTTACACTTTTTCTCACAGACTTGCAATTTTATTACAATAGACTATAACAGCTTTAGTTTAATAAATCAAATTTAAGTCTCTAATGCAAATATATGCATCCTTAATGTTAATGAATGACAGGGAGCTACAATCCTGTAGCATTTCAGGGGATAATTTAGAATGAAATTCCCAGGTGTCAAAAAAGGTCATTTATGTATGCCACAACTGCGGCCTGTGTTTGTTAGCCCCAAAATGGAAAACGAGCAAAGTCCCAACCAAAGAAGATTGGCAACTTAAGTTGATAGAATATGCGCAGCTTGCAGACTTAACATATAGAATAAGAGAACAAGAAGAACATACGTTTAAAGAAGATTGGAAAACGTTTATTGAATATATGGGAAATAACTGTGTACAGCTAAAAACGCTGGCAGCATTAAGATAGATTCAGCAGTGTAAATAAGCTATGATAGATGTTATAATGAATTACTGAATGGTATAGTTTCTGTAAAATATGCAGGGATTTATGATATGTAAAATGAACCATGGAAAGAGGAGAAGGGAAGTCACTGATATCTTAAGGGTGTAAAAATGAGAACTTGAAATTCTAAAACAGAAAATTTGATAAAAAATTATATACAATTATGTAGCATTTTCTTTTTTTAAAAAAATGATATTTATTAAAGGTTTAATAGTTACAGAAAAAAGAAAGAAGAAAAAAAGAAACAATAAAAAGTTAAACAAAACAAAACAATACCTTACAATACATTAAAAATGAAAAGAAAAACAAAAAAACAGTACAACAAAACTGCAAAAAAAGCAAAAACATTTTAAAAACACATCCAATATTTCCGTATCTTTATCTTTCATTTACTTGTTTCATTGACCTCCTCGCACCTCCCTTTTTTGTATTCTAGTTCAATTATTGATTTCAGCAAATCCTTCCCATCCTTCACAATTTTTGTTCTATAATTTATCTTACCACAATCTGACCTTAAATTTTTCACTTTGGCCCATTAACAATCTGTTTTTACTTAATTCTTTATAACATTTCTGCTAAAACCATATAACTTCATTCCAGCATCCTTCTAACATTCATTAATTTTACAATATTTCTGTAAATATACTTTAAATTTTTTCCAATTTTCTTCCACCAATTATGTAGCATTTTCATTGCACTGATCTACGCTGGAGTTCTTTGATATGGATCAATGGAAAAATATATCTGGTTTGGATATACAGGGTGAGTCCTTTAAAAATGGCCCCATAGATACAGAGTACACATGTTCCACAGGACCGCTTTTAAAAGACTCACCCTGTACAACAATAGATTCACTGTAGTTCACAATGCACATATTTGTGAACAGAGAATCTGACACGGCAACACTTGTCTACCAAAAATGAAAACATATACAAACTATGGTTTAACTATCCTACTCAGTACAATTGCTGGTATTAAATGTTGGTAGTTGCTGCGTACCTTCTGCAACAGGGCTCCTAAGGTTGCGACTCCATGCGAGTGAACAAGATTATCCTGGTTGATTGGGTGCCTTTGAATAAAGTGCTTTATCATCAGGATGAAAGTTGCAACAATGTTCTTCTCTAAACGAGCCTCTGGAAGAAGGAATATAGGCCTTTAGCTAAAAATGTTAGCTCTGCTAAGCAATTGTGGAAGTAGAAAAGAAAATGATCAAGAGAGGTTTTGTTGTTGTTTGGGTGGATTGCTTTTGCCTGGGCTCATAAAAAAGGCTATTTAAAATGCATACAGTTCTCGCCTTACCCGAAGCCTTGGTGGAGGTTAACACCACCCAATCTCCTTCTACAGGTGTCTGCAATTCAGGAGCAACCGATTCCACATCAAGCCTCTCAGGTTGCTGCCCATCGAGGTAGCTGATCTGTTCTAGCAGTGGAAACAGCACATTCAATCCACCAACACAGTTGATCATATCCTTAAGGAAGAGATGGGAGAGAGAAGGGATGGGAAGAGGAATATATAGTCAGTGTTTGGAAATCAACAACCAAAGAGCTTTGGTAAAGATCTGCGACTGTAAGTGAATTGGGATTCTTGTGAGCTAATGAAACAAGCTGCAAATACTATATAGATGCGGAGGTTAATAGCAAATCGCAGTGCACCCTGCTTTCTGTCTGCACCCTAAACGGCCTCAGTCCTGTATTCCTGAAGGAGCGTCTCCACCCCTATCGTTCAGCCCAGACACTGAGATCCAGCGCCCAGGGCCTTCTGGCGGTTCCCTCATTGCGAGAAGTAAGGTTACAGGGAACCAGGCAGAGGGCCTTCTCGGTAGTGGCACACGCCCTGTGGAATGCCCTCTCATTAGATGTCAAGGAAAAAGCAGCTATCTTACTTTTAAAAGACATCTGAAGGCAGCCCTGTTTAGGGAAGTTTTTAATATTTAATACTGTATTGTTTTTAACACTCGATTGGGAGCTGCCCAGAATGGCTGGGGAAACTCAGCCAGATGGGCGGGGTATAAATAATAATTATTATTATTATTATTATTATTATTATTATTATTATTATTATTCCAAAAGCATTGGATTTATTTGTGGGAAATGTATGGGGCTGCAAGTGGGGATGCCATGGAAGCAGAGGCAAAAACTTTTCCCCCTTCTCATGCCACTTTGGTCCCTGTAATCTAGAGTGAGAGGACAGGTTTTGTCTCCTCCTCAACTGTGTCCCTTTCAGTTTCTCTCATATAATAACCTACTTCCAGAAGAGAAAGTAAGCAGAGATGCTGAAACTACCATGCACTTTACAGGTTAATGAATTAACTTCTTAACTCTCCATTGGGCTATATGCAGGTCTGATGCTACAACAATCCTCTGAACATTGGTAGAATCTAGGTAAGGTAAAAAGGTAAAGGACCCCTGGACAGTTAAGTCCAGTCAAAGGCGCTCATCTCGCTTTCAGGCCAAGGGAGCTGCCATCTGTCCACAGACAGCCTTTTCCGGGTCATGTGGCCAGCATGACTAAACCACTTCTGGCACAACGGGACACCATGATGGAAACCAGAGTGCACGGAAACGCTGTTTACCTTCCCACCGCAGCGGCACCTATTTATCTACTCGCAATGGCGTGCTTTCGAACTGCTAGGCTGACAGAAAGCTGGGATAAAGCAATGGGAGCTCACCCCGTCACAGGGATTTGAACCGTCAACCTTCTGATTGGCAAGCCCAAAAGACTCAGTGGTTTAGACCACAGCGGCCACCTGCACCCCAATTGGGAGAATCTACAACCCAGATGTCAAGAGTCAATGCACGCTCTTCCTGCTCACTGTGACTGCAGAAAGTTGCACTGCACACTTGCCTTTAGAAACTCACAATTCTTTACACGCACAATAAGACTTATTTCTAAATAGACCTGCATAGGATTGCATTGCTATGAAAGTGTCAAGATTTTATGTACCCCTTTGTAAAGCACCTCCGAGGTATCTCTACTGACCTCCCCTGCCAGGTTTTTTGCTTTCCATCTACTCTCCCCATCCCTTCTTTGGTCTTAGAAACACACAGAGAGAGATAGAGAGGATTGAGACCATTAGCTGCACCAAAACGTTAAGTTGGGTGGTCATTTCTCATACACATAATATAATCCAAACACTTATGGAATCCCACAGTCATTACAAGCCATTGGAGATGTTTACCTTAATGTCCCAGTTCACCACTTTGTTCCCTGTTAGCCTTCCATGTAGAAGATTGGGGGAAAGGTCAAGGCATATTGGGCTTCTGCAAGCCTGTCCGAAAAATAGGAGAAAATGAGCTAAGCACTCTTTAACAAATCAGCTCAGGCACAGTACAGTGGTACCTTGGTTCTCAAATTTAATCCGTTTCGGAAGTCCATTCCAAAACCAAGGCGTGCTTTCCCATAGAAAGTAATGCAAAGTGAATTAATCCGTTCTAGACTTTTAAAAGCAACCCCTAAAACAGCAATTTAACATGAATTTTACTATCTAACGAGACCGTTGATCCATAAAATGAAAGCAATAAACCATGTACTGCAGTGACACAATCAATCAATCAATCAATCAGCTGAACTGGGCTCCACACAGTCACAAAAACAAACACAAAAAAGAGCCGCAAAAACAGAAATGCAAAATAAATAGCAAAACCAGACAGACCTCAGCGTAACACTTAAAAAGTGTGGCACTCAAATCAGAAGCGTAACCCTCAAAACGGAAGTGTGGCACTCAAAACGGAGCACGTTCGGCTTCTGAAAAAAGTTCGCAAACCAGAACACTTACTTCCGGGTTTGCAGTGTTTGGGTTCCAAGTCGTTTGAGTACCAAGGCATTTGAGAACCAAGGTACCACTGTACAGAAATTCTGCTTAATTATCATGGCTAAAGCTGGTGGTATCCTCACCATATTTGTATAATCCTCTTCTAAAGCCATCAAAGCAAAACTACAAGAAAATGGAGTTCCTACCTTGGGAGTGTAATGAAGAAGCATTTTACTGGGCAAATCGGCTGCTTCGGAGTCTTGAGATTTCCATGGAGTTAAGCAGTTTGGACCTTCAAAATATTGGGTAGGGGGAGAGAGAGAGAGAGAGACAAAAAGCCACAATAGGTTTAACATTGGTGTTGACAGCCTGACTTAACACCTACTCCCCAATCTAGCAAGAGAGATCCATGTGAAAAAGCAAAGCTGTCATGCAGACTGCCTATCGAGAGAGCTGAAGGTGCATCTCAATGCGTCTCACATCTCATGACCATTTCCACACACACCCTTCCTGTTCCTCCGGCCTGGCTGGATGTTTCTTTTGAAGCAAATGTGGAAGTTCATCTCTCTCTCTGGGGCCACGGGCCCCATAGTATGTATCTAACAAGTGGTATGAAGCTAGGCAGACAAAATACCGTATTTTTCGCTCTACAAGACGCACCAGACCACAAGACGCACCTAGTTTTTGGAGGAGGAAAACAAGAAAAAGAATATTCTGAATCCCAGAAGCCAGAACAGCAAGAGGGATAGCTGCGCAGTGAAAGCAGTAATCCCTCTTGCTTTTCTGGCTTCTGGGATAGCTGCGCAGCCTGCATTCGCTCCATAAGACGCACACACATTTCCCCTTACTTTTTAGGAAGGAAAAAGTGAGTCTTATAGAGCAAAAAATACGGTATATAACAGCCCAGATGCAGATGAAAATGGAAGAAAGGGGGGGGGAATGACATGTGTGGTTTTGAAATAAATAAATAACCGTTCCCCTCTTTATTTTCAACTTTCTTGGGAACATGAAACTAACCATAACTACCTTGAATTTCTGCTTAACCCTCAAGAAAGAAGGGCATTTTCGCTGGCCAGGTTTAATTCAAATCCATCAAACCTCCTTTGGGGAAGGTTCTCAGGCAGGGTGGAAGGAGAAAGAACTTGCCCATGCGAAGACCACCTGGTGGAAACCCTTACACATACGGTTCTCAATTGTAAACTATATGCTGATCTCCGCCAGCAATTTCTAGATTAACTCTGTATCCCCAAATGGAAACCTGAGTCAGAGGTCATACATTTTCTATTACTGGGGAATGATCAGGAGCTCACCAAGTTAGTGGCTAAATATCTCTATTTGGTTTTTTGTTGTCAAAATACACTGCAGACGTCTGATCTCCCTGAAGACCATGAGATGTGACAATAGACTGCTCCGCCTCCTTTCTTTCAGCAAATGTTTCGTGTCACTGGGGAAGTGGTAATTCTGTATTGATTTGTTTTGTTTCGGATGTTGTGTGTGATGCCAATAAAAGGTTTTACGAGTTCTCTAAATGGAAGCAACTATTTCGTTCATAATATTTGTCACCAATGTGGTTCACACCTAAGTAAAAAGGGAAAGGGAAAGGACCCCTGGACGGTTAGGTCCAGTCAAAGGCGACTATGGGGTTGCAGCGCACATCTCACTTTCAGGCCAAGGGAGCCGGCATTTGTCCGCAGACAGCTTTCTGGGTCATGTGGCCAGCAGGACTAAACTTCTGGCACAACAGAACACCGTGACGGAAACCAAAGTGCACAGAAATGCCATTTACCGTCCCGTCGCAGCGGTACCTATTTATCTACTTGCACTGGCGTGCTTTCAAACTGCTAGGTTGGCAGGAGCTGGGACAGAGGAACAGGAGCTCACCCCATTGCAGGGATTCGAACTGCCGACCTTCTGATCGGCAAGCCCAAGAGGCTCAGTGGTTACTTAAAGGTAAAGGTACCCCTGCCCGTATGGGCCAGTCTTGACAGACTCTAGGGTTGTGCGCCCATCTCACTTAAGAGGCCGGGGGCCAGCGCTGTCCGGAGACACTTCCGGGTCACGTGGCCAGCGTGACAAAGCTGCATCTGGCGAGCCAGCACAGCACACGGAAACGCCGTCTACCTTCCTGCCAGTAAGCGGTCCCTATTTATCTACTTGCACCCGGGGGTGCTTTCGAACTGCTAGGTTGGCAGGCGCTGGGACCGAGCAACGGGAGCGCACCCCGCTGCAGGGATTCGAACCGCCGACCTTTCGATCGGCAAGCCCTAGGCGCTGAGGCTTTTACCCACAGCGCCACCCGCGTCCTCAGTGGTTACTTAATGGGATACTAATACAGATGCCCATTCCATTTGCCAACTTTACTGTTCTATTGGCACAGATGACACACACGGCTAAAGCGTAACCAGAGTTCCATTTGTAATATGAGTGTGAAGCTTGTTATGAAGCACGGGAGAAAATCAAGGGCAAATCACAGAACTGTGCGCGTGTGTTTATGAACACACATTTCCGTGAGAGATAAAGTTAGCAAAAAATAAGAAGGTAGAGAAAACAAATGAGACTAAATTGGGGCAAATTAACCTTTATAAAAGCAGGGACTAGACAGGGGAAGCAACTATGTCAGTTCAGAGCCTTGGAAAGCGCCCTGTGATCCTCAGGTGAAGGGCAGTACAGAAATTTAATTAGGTACTATTAATAATAATAATAGACCATAACAAAAGAGATTCCTAGGCAGACTAAAACTTAAGAACAACAGAAGAGGGGTCGAAATACCCAAAGTAAACTGCACTTTCCAGAGATGGAAAGCAGCTAAAGTCCCTACCAGAGAAGAATGGCGGATGAAGTTGATGGACTATGCTGAAATGGCTAAAATACCAGAAGAATCAAAAATCAGGAAGAACATAATTTTAATAAGGATTGGGGGAAATTTATAACTTATCTTAAAGACCATTGTGAACATTGTGTTAGTAGGATTGGAATATCACTTGTAGTTTAAGGGTGAATTATGGATACAATGGAGATGTAAAAGATTTGGACTATTGTAAAAGATGCAGAAAGGGACACGGGTGGCGCTGTGGGTTAAACCACAGAGCCTAGGACTTGCTGATCAGAAGGTCGCGGTTCCAATCCCTGTGACGGAGTGAGCTCCTGTTGCTCAGTCCTAGCTCCTGCCAACCTAGCAGTTCGAAAGCACGTCAAAGTGCAAGTAGATAAATAGGTACCGCTCCGGCGGGAAGGTAAACGGCGTTTCCGTGCGCTGCTCTGGTTCGCCAGAAGTGGCTTAGTCATGCTGGCCACATGACCCAGAAGCTGTAAGCCAGCTCCCTTGGCCAATAAAGTGAGATGAGCGCCGCAACCCCAGAGTTGGTCACAACTGGACCTAATGTTCAGGGGTCCCTTTACTTTACCTTAAAAGATGCAGAAGGAAATGATTAATAACAGGACCCACAAAGAGAGGAAGTCCAGCAGATTCCTTGGAATCTTTATTATTATTATTATTATTATTATTATTATTATTATTATTATTAGAGTTTGGATTTGATATCCCGCCTTTCACTCCCTTCAGGAGTCTCAAAGCGGCTAACATTCTCCTTTCCCTTCCTCCCCCACAACAAACACTCTGTGAGGTGAGTGGGGCTGAGAGACTTCAAAGAAGTGTGACTGACCCAAGGTCACCCAGCAGCTGCATGTGGAGGAGCAGGGAATCAAACCCGGTTCCCCAGATTACGAGTCTACCACTCTTAACCACTAAACCACACTGGCTCTATTATTATTGCTTGATAGATCTCTGTAAAATTTTAATGTGAAAAACCAAACTGCACTTTGGCATGCTCACCTGCCAAATACAACGCTTTCACATGAGTAGGCTGCAACGCTTCGTGAAATATGATGACTGATCCGAGCTGGCCTTCGAGAGAGGTAGGGCATCCCCACTCGCTGTCCTGCGTTCCTGCCGAGATCAGCTTAGTGATGTGTTCCGGCTTGCCCAGCAGCCCGCTCCAGCTGCCTGGGCTAAGAATACCACCCAGCGACGTCCGATGGGGAAGAGCAGGAGATGAAAAGGGCGGATCTGGGATCTGGGATGGCGGTGGAGTAGTTGTCCTTTGGCCAGCAGAACCAATGCAGCAAGAAGTAAAAGACTGGAGAATTTCACCCATGTGGCAAAAAACAACAACACCACACACCACAAATTAGTAAATTGAATGCAGTTTGGCACATACAGATAGCCATAAAGGGCCAAAATTATCACTGTGTGAAGATCTCGGTCTTTTGACAAACATTTGGCCTCTCAAGTGTTACCTTTAATCTCCTTAGCATGCTAATTTCAAATAGTTTTATCTCCTGTCTCTTGCCACTGGTTATGAGCTACGGCTTTTGTTTCTTGTTTTTTTAAGTTGTCTTTTAAATGACTGTAAGCTGCCTTAAGCATTTTAATACAGAGGCAGGGTAAAATATCTTTAATAAAATTTCATATAGGTATATGTATTCATACAAGCACATATCTATTATGTGCGGTGCTTTTTTTCTAAAAAAATGTTTAGGGGTACTCTCATTTTCCTACTCCTACTGAAATACTGCCCCCCAACGAGGCCTAACTTAAGATTCACAAAATGCGCACCCCCAGGAAAAAAAGCACTGATTATGTGTGAATTTTACGTCAAAGGCCATAAAAAACTTTACACTGGTCTTTAGTGTGACCAAACTCTCAAAAAAAAAAAATTGGATCGAAGGGGGAAAGTGAGGTGTGACATAAGCACAGACGTACTTCATTCATGGCAGGAAATCTGAGGGGCGCCGAGATCTTCTGCTGTCCATTCACATAAATATATACAAGGCTTTGACCAAAGGGCCTCTTCCCGGGCATATGAACAATGCTTATGTTGTGCTGTTGAAAAAATAGATAATATTGTTCAGTCATCATCACTAATTCTATGGAAGAGTTACAAGTGGCTAATTGTTGCTAGATTTTGCATCCAGGAACATTATCTATCTATATGCATCCATCTCCAAACACCATGAAAGAAATAAAATACCGTAATTTTTGCTCTATAGGATGCACCTGACCATAGCACACACCTTGTTTTAGAGGGGGAGAACAAGGGAAAAAATAATAATCTCCCCCTCTCTGCTCAGCGCCCCTTCAGTGAAGCGGCAGGAGAAATGGAGCCCCTTCCATTTCTCCTCCCGCTTGGCTGAAGGGGTGCTGCGCAGCTCTCCCTCTCTGCTGAAGCCAGGAGAGTCTTGCTCTCCCGGCTTCAGCAAAAGGAACCCGAAGCCTTCGGAGCGCAGCGCAAGTTCCCGCTGCGCTCCGGAGGCTTCAGGCAGCTATCCCTGAAGCCTGGAGAGCGAGAGGGGTTGGTGCACAACGACCCCTCTCGCTCTCCAGGCTTCAGCGAAAGCAACACAAAGCCTCCGGAGCGCGGAGGGAGCGCTCCCTCTGCGCTTCGGAGGCTTCGCGTTGCTATCGCTGAAGCCAAGGAGCCTGCATTCGCTCCATAGGACACACAGACATTTCCCCTTAATTTTTGGAGGGGGAAAAGTGCGTCCCATAGAGCGAAAAATACGGTAAACAATTGCAGTAGATTACTTATTAGATCACTAGGAACAGACCTAGATTTTCTCATTGGTCTGAGAGAGACATAATGCTCGCTGAGGAGCAAGTCTTGCGTCTCTATCCTATCACGCTCAAATTCCTCTCACCTTTCCTATACCCGGGAATGTTGCTCCATCCGAGCATTGTAAATCATTGGTACAACGCATGCGGAGACACTCCTAAGCACCCTTTAGAGAACTGATTAAACCTAAGAAATGCAATAAAGTTTAGAAGCCTCCATGGGTTCATCTTAATCTGATTTAACAACAGTCAGACACCCCAAATTGTGACCTACACAGACCAGATTAGCGAGACCTGGGGATCACAAGGACGTGGTTACATCTTTACATCATGACTGCCTTCAGATGATAATATCTTTGCTTAAGAAGGCAAGGTATGAATGAGTTTTGTGTCCGTACATGCAGTCTTCGACTACAACGGAATAAACAAAAAAAGGGCACGCTATAATAAACCATGGTTTCCTGTTACATCTGAGCCAAGTCTGGAGCAAGTCAGCATCTCAAAACATGGTCTGAAGCCAGTTTATGTCACTCCAAACCCAATGATCATAGTTTTCCATCGTTGGGAACTATGGTTAATTGAAGACTTATGGGTTTAATTGCACTATGCCAAGAACATAGGAAGGAAGGGATGACATGAGGATGGAGAATCCGGGGAAAGGTTTTGTGCCTTAACCCGAAAGCCGGTCATTTGAACTTGGTCAATCATCTTATCCTGACAGGGAATTCCCAGTGCCTACCAACAGAGAGCCAAGTCCACTTTTAAAAGCGTCCTATTGCATTACAGGGATGCGGGTGGCGCTGTGGGTTAAACCACAGAGCCTAGGACTTGCCAATCAGAAGGTTGGCAGTTCAAATCCCCGTAATGGGGTGAGCTCCCGTTGCTCGGTCCCTGCTCCTGCCCACCTAGCAGTTCAAAAGCATGTCAATTGCAATAGATAAATAGGTATCACTCTGGCGGGAAGGTAAAAGGCGTTTCCGTGCGCTGCTCTGGTTCGCCAGAAGCGGCTTAGTCATGCTGGCCACATGACCCAGAAGCTGTACGCCGGCTCCCTCGGCCAATAAAGCGAGATGAGCGCCGCAACCCCAGAGTCGGCCACGACTGGACCTAATGGTCAGGGGTCCCTTTACCTTTTTATTGCATTACAACAAGGTCAGCTGAAACAGTCTCTCTTACCCAAAGAGAATCACAGAAGCAATGATCTGACAGCATCACGGTCGCATATTCCTTCTTCGTACACACAGCAACCACTAGCATCCCTGAACACGTAATAAAGGCCTCAAACCCTGTTCCATTGCCTGTAAAAAAGCTACAGATATATATATATTTAATGAATATGGTCAGCTCTTCAGAGGCACACATTGGCAGATAATAATAAACATTTATTTTGCAATGAGTTATAATTGTCTCCACAAGGGTGGTGGGCCCCCAGGCTCATTTGAAGCTAGTCTGATTATTTCAGACGGAAGGGCAATCTTAGACCTGGGCGTACTTATCTTTCCAGGCAGATCATTTTTATATCTCTCAGATTCTACCAATTTCAGCATAGAACCACTTCTGAGAGAAGCTCTCTCCTAGCAGAGCTACGCAAATTGCTGTTTAACTGAGGCCGTCTGAAATTCTATAGGTAGCTTAGTTTACGTGTTCTACGGACCATAAACATCATATAAAGGTTATCAAGACAGCCGCAGAAGAGGGGGGAAATACAAGATACATCCCCAAAGATTGCGCCTTTTAAATAAAAGGATAAGAAAATCTACGATCAAAAATCATTTGAGAATACAGATAGTCTTGACTCAGAACTTATCCTCCCTTTTTAAATACACAGTGAACTGAGTACAGTATGTATTTCAATAGGTGGCAATCTTCACCAACACTATGTTAAATCCCAGGCACAGACAACAGTAGCGTTGTTAGAGAAAACATGAAAATGGGTCACTAATCTATTCCAGTCAGTTTTTTTGTTGTGACTTTTTAAAAAGATTTACTATCTACAGTAGTACTTCACACTGAAATGAAATAGCCAGTGAAGTTTTGTTGTTGTTGTTTTTTAAAAATATTACTATCTACAGATGTACTTAACACAATCAATCACTGGCTATTTCATTTCAGTGTAATCAAAAAGGAAGTTCCCTTTACATTTCAAGCTGGAATTATATGTTTTTTGGAAGTTATTATATTATATACTAGTTTCAGTGACTTTTTAGGACTCAGGTATGTCGTTATCGGACCTTGCACAACCCCCATGCAAACTGGCCAGACCCCAAGACCAAAAATACAGAAAACCTCCCAGCTTACCTTGCTTCCAAAAGCAGGGATTTTGGCTGCATTAGGAGCACAGTGGCAGGGAAGGAGGTTCAAATGACCTTGCTCCTATTGGCCCTGCAATCTAAGAGATGGCGCTGTGGTCTAAACCACTGAGCCTCTTGGGCTTCCCAATCAGAAGGTCAGCGGTTCGAATCTCTACAACGGGGTGAGCTCCTGTTGCTCTGTCCCAGCTCCTGCCAACCTAGCAGTTCGAAAGCACGCCAGTGCTAGTAGAAAAATAGGTACCACTGCGGCGGGAAGGAAAACGGCATTTCCATGCGCTCTGGCTTCCATTCCGCCAGAAGTGGTTTAGTCATGCTGGTCACATGCCCTGGAAAAGCTGTCTGTGGACAAACTCCGGCTCCCTCGGCCTGAAAGCGAGATGGGTGCCGCAACCCCATAGTCCCCTTTGACTGGACTTAACCATACCGGGGTCCTTTACCTTTTCTTTTACCTAAGAGATCTCCACAGAGAGACCAAGTCACTGTCACTCTCCGCGGCCTGCCCTATAAAAACGATGCATGAGAGCCAGCAAAAACTACGTCCTGAATAGATGGATTCCAAGTGCTGATCATAACACCCTTCTTTATGCAGACAATGGCATTCTGACTGGCTGGCTGGCCATTGCCAGACAGAAGAACGAAGGCTCATTCGAAGGCTGACGGATGCCCTCACCCTTCCAGTATGTTACTGATAATTGGAACTGCTTGGAAAGGAAGTATTTTTCTGCAGGTGAAGCCACAGTGGTGCCACCTAAAAAAAATAGACTGACACACTGTGCTCCTATCGACCTCCCCTAAAGGACCTTAAAAAAAATAAATATTTGTGTACTTTGAAGAAACTCTGGTAATTTACAGAAGGTTTGGCTGCTGATAAACTATCTTAAACTATAAGATAATAATAATAATAATAATAATAATAATAATAATAATAATAATAATAATAATAATAATTTATTTATACCCCGCCCATCTGGCTGAGTTTCCCCAGCCACTCTGGGCAGCTCCGAATCAAATGTTAAAAACAGTACAGCATTAAATATTATGCTGCAAAAGAGATCAGCTTTGTTGATAAGTGTCTTGAGAGCCCTCTTCTACCTGCTTCTGAAATCCCCTGGAGCAGAGAAATCATTTCCCAGCGCTATTTCACTGAGGCTGCATAAGCACCATCCGTCAAAAGCACATTTAAAGCTTATTTTCTCTCCCAAAAAGATTCCCCTGGACTATAGTTTGCTAACTCTGTGAGGGGTAAACTATAATTCCCATGGTTTTCTTGGGGGGGGGCCACAGTGATGCCACCCACAAACAAAAAGACCGACACAGAGAGCAGAGAGGGAATCTGCATGGAGGAAGGGGAGAGGGAGGGAAGGTTGAGGTTCGGTGGCCCTAGCTCCTTTCTGAAACAGCAGTTTCAAATCGTGCAAATGTGCACATGCACACCAGTCATGTCCACCTTTTCCTCCATCTCACCCAAGCATACACTCTTCCCTAAACATTCTTCCTCTTAGTACCCACCTCGGCCCAGTACGTATGCCTGAAGGAGTGTCTCCACCCCCATCATTCAGCCCAGACACTGAGGTCCAGCACCGAGGGCCTTCTGGCAGTTCCCTCACTGCGAGAAGTGAGGTTACAGGGAACCAGGCAGAGGGCCTTCTTGGTGGTGCCCTCTTTGTGGAACACCCTCCCATCAGATGTCAAGGAAATAAACAATTATCTGACTTTTAGAAGACATCTGAAGGGAGCCCTATTTAGGGAAGTTTTTAATGTCTGGTGTTTTATTCTGCTTTTACTGCTCTGCCCAGAGTGGCTGGGGAAACCCAGCCAGATGCGTAGGGTATAAATAATAAAATGATGATGATGATGATGCCCTGGGTACAGTGGTACCTCAGGTTACAGATGCTTCAGGTTACAGAATCCGCTAACCCAGAAATAGTACCTCGGGTTAAGAACTTTGCTTCAGGATGAGAACAGAAATCGTGCTCTGGCAGCGCAGCAGCAGTGGGAGGCCCCATTAGCTAAAGTGGTGCTTCAGGTTAAGAACAGTTTCAGGTTAAGAACGGACCTCCGGAACGAATTAAGTTCTTAACCCAAGGTACCACTGTACACAGCCGGCCTCGGCCCAGTATATCTGAAGGAGCATCTCCACCCCCATCGTTCTGCCCGGACACTGAGGTCCAGTTCCAAGGGCCTTCTGGCGGTTCCCTCATGGCGAGAAGCAAAGCTATAAGCAACCAGGCAGAGGGCCTTCTCGGTAGTGGCACCCGCCCTGTGGAACGCCCTCCCATCAGATGTCAAAGCGATAAACAACTACCTGACATTCAGAAGACATCTTAAGGCAGCCCTGTTCAGGGAAGTTTTTAATGTGTGACATTTTAGTGTATTTTTGGTCTCTGTGGAAGCCGCCCAGAGTGGCTGGGGAAACCCATCCAGATGGGCGGGGGTACAAATAATAAATTATTATTAATTATTATTATTATTATTATTACTATTATTTACAAATCTTTCCCACTCTCCCCCGCCTTCCAAAACCCACAACAGGCTTCCTCCTTAACGTTAATCAGCTGTGCAAAGGGGCTGTTTGAAACTAAGGTCGGCTATGCTGCCATGTAGAAGAAGTCAAGCAAGCGGCTGTGCAAAAGGGCATCAAAAAAGCTCGTGAACCTCAGCTTGCTTGCCAATTGCCACAGATCTGGGGATTCCCCCTCTTTCCTGCCATGGCAGTCGCCATACCTGTAGAGCTGTTTCCTCTTGGGCCCCTTGCCGCTGGCACCAGGAGTCGTTTGTTCTTGGTCCAGGCACAGCCAAGCGCTAAAAGCAAACGCGGAGCCCGGCCACTTGTGAATAGGTGGGACGGCAATGCCCGCCATGCTGTGGGAGAGGTCGAAATACTGCAAGGCGCTATCCAGGCCCTGCTTCCGAGCCATCGTCAGAATTGCGCGCATCACCGGGACAACGTAAGGGTGCGTCTGTTTGGGGTCCTTAGTCCTCAGCAGCCGAATGAGCTGGTGGAGTTCTTCGGAGCTCATCGACTGGCTCCCCAGGGAGCCCAAGAGGACAATCAGGTTCTCGGCGCAGGCTCCGTGGAGCAGGGTGTGTTGGCCGAGGGTCTCCACGATGCGGAGGACCATGTTCGTATTGACACAGACGGCCCGGCTCTGCCGGTTGATGCAGCAAATTCGCTTCAGCAAGCTTGAGATGAAGACCTGGAGATCGTGCGACTCGAGATCTGGGAGCCACTGAATCAACAACAACAAGGGCTGGACGTTGCTTATGCCCAGCATCCCAACAGACGCGTGCTCACCTTCAACGGCCTTTGTGGAAAGGAAACGGAATGGTTACCAGAAGCTAACAGGAACAGCGGCAACAGCAGCAACAGGAGAGTTTGTGGCACCTGAAAGACCAGCAGATTTTTGCGTGGCATAAGGCTGCCACTGACTTTCATGGAGGCCACGAGCGGATGGCACTAGACAAGAGCTTATGCTAACATAAAGCCGGCGTCTCTTTCACGTGCCGCATAGATTTCTGCTGAAACAGAGTAACTTGGGCTCTAGAAATTATTGGATAGTAATTTATTTGCAAATTAAAGCTCATTTCCACAATATACTGTATTTTTCGCTCTATAAGACGCACCAGACCACAAGACGCACCTAGTTTTTGGAGGAGGAAAACAAGAAAAAGAATATTCTGAATCTCAGAAGCCAGAACAGCAAGAGGGATTGCTGCACAGTGAAAGCAGCAATCCCTCTTGCTGTTCTGGCTTCTGGGATAGCTGCGCAGCCTGCATTCGCTCCATAAGACGCGCACACATTTCCCCGTACTTTTTAGGAGGGAAAAAGTGAGTCTTATAGAGCAAAAAATACTGTATATGTGGGCGTGTATTACACACACACACACACACAGAGAGAGAGAGAGAGAGAGAGAGAGAGAGAGAGAGAGAGAGAGAATATTAAGTATAAATGAAATCAAAAGGATCTGGGGCATTTCTATCTACAGCCATATGTATACACGATAAGAAACAAGAATTGGTCACTGTTTCCTTTTGTGTGCATTTTGACTTTGCAAAGAAACACCATGAACCTAACACTGCCTTGTTTTCTCTACACTCACATGTGTACAGTGGTACCTCAGGTTACATACGCTTCAGGTTACATACGCGTTTCAGGTTACAGACTCCACTAACCCAGAAATAGTGCTTCAGGTTAAGAACTTTGCTTCAGGATAAGAACAGAAATTGTGCTCTGGCTGGCGCGGCAGCAGCAGGAGGCCCCATTAGCTAAAGTGGTGCTTCAGGTTAAGAACAGTTTCAGGTTAAGTACGGACCTCCGGAACGAATTAAGTATTTAACCCAAGGTACCACTGTATATGCATGTGTGTAGCAAGTGTGTGGCAAATGGTTTCAAGCATAGGACAAAATGGACTTTAGGTCATAAAAAGCTTATGGTACAGTAAATCTGTTAGGCTCTGCCACCAAGAATCTTCTGTTGCTTTGGCTGCAACCGACTTCACAGCCTGAGCCTATTTTAGAAATTTCCATAACAAGCAGATGTCTCACCATGTTCAAAAGTTCTTCAAGCAGTTCCCGTGACGGCTGACCCATAGATTTTAGGACCTCAAATATATGGGCATAACCGATCCGCTCCTTAAACACCTCCTGAGGGGGTAAAATTAACATTGCATATAAGCAGCGTACTGCTCGCAAAGATATGGACATTTCTTTAAGCTGAAGATCATCCTACCAAACAATACAAATTGCAAGGTAACTGTATGCTCCCCCCCCCAAAAAAAAAAATCTGGCGCAAAACAGGCCACAATATCTAGGTAGCAACCCCCAGTATGAAAACCAAGAGCAATGAGTTGATGTTCCACAATCCTCAAATAAAATTCAGCCCACATAGTGAACCAACAGCCTTCTCCTCCGTGAAATGAACGGTTGCACAAGTGGTTCTATTGACTGCTAAATGCTGGCTAAGGCTGGGCCTACAGGTTTCGGCAGAAAAAGGCAGGAATTTGAACTGAATCCCTCGTGACTACAAGTGAGCAACACTACAGGGGTACCTCAGGTTACATACGCTTCAGGTTACAGACTCCGCTCACCAAGAAATAGTGCTTCAGGTTAAGAACTTTGCTTCAGGATGAGAACAGAAATCGTACTCTGGCGGCGTGGCAGCAGCAGGAGGCCCCATTAGCTAAAGTGGTGCTTCAGGTTAAAAACGGTTTCAGGTTAAGTACAGACCTCCGGAACGAATTAAGTACTTAACCCGAGGTACCACTGTGCTTCGAAAAACACGTGAAAACAACAGAAATCCCTGCAAAGATAACACTCCAATATTGGGGAGAAATATTCTAACCATGCCCCCTTTTGCCTCTGCAATGGTGTTTCAACTGTATAGAGTTTTTAAGGTGGGGGGGGCATTTAAAAAAGGTCAATTCTGTATCCAGGGCAGCTGTCTACCAACTCCACCTGGTACGCAGGCTGAGACCCTACCTGCCCGCGGACTGTCTCGCCAGAGTGGTGCATGCTCTAGTTATCTCCCGCTTGGACTACTGCAATGTGCTCTACGTGGGGCTACCTTTGAAGGTGACTCGGAAACTACAACTAATCCAGAATGCGGCAGCTAGACTGGTGACTGGGGGTGGCCGCCAAGACCACATAACACCGGTCTTGAAAGACCTACATTGGCTCCCAGTACGTTTCCGAGCACAATTCAAAGTGCTGGTGTTGACCTTTAAAGCCCTAAATGGCCTCGGCCCAGTATACCTGAAGGAGCGTCTCCACCCCCATCATTCTGCCGGACGCTGAGGTCCAGTGCCGAGGGCCTTCTGGCAGTTCCCTCATTCCGGGAAGCAAAGCTACAGGGAACCAGGCAGAGGGCCTTCTCGGTAGTGGCGCCCGCCCTGTGGAACGCCCTCCCACCAGATGTCAAAGAGAGAAACAACTACCTGACATTTAATTTATTTTAATTTATTTTAATTTTTTAAATTAATTTTAGCATACAAAAATTTTAAGACATACCACACAAATTATTATACATATATCCTTATTTGTACTTCCTTCAGCATCTCTGATAGCCTTCCGTCTTCATTATTTCTCCTGCAATTCTTAACTTAATATTGCCTTTCCATTTTCTAACAAATCATTTCTTCCTTTCCATTTTTACAATATTTCTTAAATTACTCCTCACAGAACTTCTTGTAGTCCTACAAACGTAATTTGATCATCGCAAATACTTTTCAGAACAACTACCTGCCATTTAGATTAGAAGACATCTGAAGGCAGCCCTGTTCAGGGAAGTTTTTAATGTGTGACGTCTTAGTTTATTTTTGGTCTTTGTGGAAGCCGCCCAGAGTGGCTGGGGAAACCCAGCCAGATGGGTGGGGTACAAATAATATATTATTATTATTATTATTATTATTATTATTATTATTATTATTATTGGGGCGGCAACTGCTCCGAGGAAAAAGCCAATGCAATTCTGGGCTGCATCAATAGGAGTATAGCATCTAGATCAAGGGAAGTAATAGTGCCACTGTATTCTGCTCTGGTCAGACCTCACCTGGAGTACTGTGTCCAGTTCTGGGCACCACAGTTCAAGAAGGACACTGACAAACTGGAACGTGTCCAGAGGAGGGCAACCAAAATGGTCAAAGGCCTGGAAACGATGCCTTATGAGGAACGGCTGAGGGAGCTGGGCATGTTTAGCCTGGAGAAGAGGAGGTTAAGGGGTGATATGATAGCCATGTTCAAATATATAAAAGGATGTCGTATAGAGGAGGGAGAAAGGTTGTTTTCTGCTGCTCCAGAGAAGCGGACACAGAGCAATGGATCCAAACTACAAGAAAGAAGATTCCACCTAAACATTAGGAAGAACTTCCTGACAGTAAGAGCTGTTTGACAGTGGAATTTGCTGCCAAGGAGTGTGGTGGAGTCTCCTTCTTTGGAGGTCTTTAAGCAGAGGCTTGACAACCATATGTCAGGAGTGCTCTGATGGTGTTTCCTGCTTGGCAGGGGGTTGGACTCGATGGCCCTTGTGGTCTCTTCCAACTCTATGATTCTAAGTTTTGCTTACCTTAGCAGCGGGAGATTTGTGCATCACTGCAGTAAGGGCTCGAATGGCTGATACCGCCAAGCAGTCTAGCTGTCCCTGAAATACCTACAAGCCGCAAAAAGACACAAGGCGTTACGGACAGTCGAGTCAACCACTGGCACCTTGGAGGCCAACAAGCCACCCCGTTCTTTCGTGTTAGCGTGAACAAACAATTTCATTCGCATGCTTCCCAATCATCTCCCCTGCCCCCCCCCAAAACCCTCAAAGGCATGGATTTTATGACACCACAACCTACAAGAGAGAGGACGCAAGAGAAGGGTAGGCAGATATCTCAAGAGAAAGGAGGAGGAGGAAAGAAGGATTCACACATACCCAGGAAGATGCTTGGACTGACATTTTCTCCATGCTTTTAATGGACAATCTCAAGAGGGAGGAACGAACAAGGCTAGCCTATGCATATCTAGCCAGCTTCCTGGCCATGCGGGTAATCAATAGTTAGTCATAGTCCATGCTCCAGCACATGACATCTTCTCAAACAGATTCTTAATTGCGCCTGCACAGTTTCACGATAATTTGATAATTTGTTAACCCCATAGCGCTTTCCATGCAAGGGGCATCACTAGTCTCTCGTCTTGAAAGAGTCACAATGCTTTTTTGTTCTGTCAAATGGGGGGGGGCATTTTTTTCTGTTTGAGAAACTAGAAATATTTTGTCACCCAAATCCGCTTGTGAATCTGCACAGTAAGACTGTGTGTATAAACGGCATTTCATCTGGAGCGCACAAAAACAAACAGGAGTTTTTAAAAATAAACAAAGGTTGTTAGCTGAATTAGCTCTTAGGCAGTGATCACCATGCTGACTTATTAGCAGATTAATTTAGACAGAATCGGGGTCCAGGCAAGTGCATTGTTTTCACCTGTTTCGGTCGTTCTGCACAAGAACCTATTTGTTACCAAAGCTCCTACCATTTCTAAAGAAGTCATGAGGTAAGATCTGGCATTTTGCATTCCCTCATGATGGAAAACATTTAAAAAAATTAAGCCACCAATTGCTCCCCACCTCCCAAATTCAGTCTGTCCATTGTACCGCGAACAATGATTGGTTTCATTTTCATTTCATTTCATTATTATTTTTTGCAACAGAATCAAGACATCACATCCAATCACACAGGTTTGACAAAACCCCAAAAGCCCAAATACACCACAGCGCCGCTTAGGAAGATGAGTGGACGAAGGTGGGGGAAGAAGAGAAAGAAAGAAAGAAAGAAAGAAAGAAAGAAAGAAAGAAAGAAAGAAAGAAAAAAGAAAGAAAGAAAGAACTAAAATAAAACGAAATCACCAAGTTGGTAGTTTTGAAACTGGAGTTCTATTCCTGGACTTCACCTTCCTCCATTTAAAAAATAAAACGCGACAAATATTGTACGTATCAAATGCTTTGACATTTTTGTTGGCCTAATAACGGCACCACCTTAATACGGATTTTGGAATGCTTAAGCCTTGAAGCGCCTTTAAACCTAGCTTGTGTTTTTCGGTTGGTTAAGACAAACTAAATCTTAGGGACAAGGAAGGTGTTTCAGAGGTGAAGTACAGGAAAGGTCTCGTTCCACCGATTGCCACTGCGCCTCAGCTTCAACTCAAAGATACCTGTTCCTGATTCATTTCTGTCAGTAATTTGTTGGCAAGGTCTTTCTCAGTCTTGTCTGCCACCTGACTGTTAGCATTTAAAAACAGCTGTTAAAAACGGGAGATAAGAATAAATGGGAACAGGCGTGTTAAACAGTCAATCTGTAGGCCGGAGACAATAAAGGCTGGAGCAAACATCTCACTAACCAGCAAGTTAACACAATGGCTGTAACAAATAAAGGGTCCCTTTTTTCCAGAAGGAAATAACTAGGATTGGGGGATATTTTTCCTCCTTTCCAAATGTCGTCTCAAGAAATGCAAAATGTGGAAATAGGAAACTGTCACTGTCCACTGAAACATAGAGGAGAATGGCAAGATCTGGCAATTATGGTTTGTACTAAACTGGTTCACTCTTAACCAGAATTTGCAAGTGCACTTTGAACCGTATTTTCAAATCCTAGTCTAGAGGGGAACCAGGTTACTTGGTTACCTTATTTCCTTGGGGTGTAATAAGGTAAAAGGTAAGGGACCCCAGGACGCTTAAGTTCAGTGAAAGGAAATTATGGGGTGCGGCGCTCATCTCGCTTTCAGATCAAGGGGGCCAGTGTTTGTCCACAGACAGCTTTCCGGGTCATTTGGCCAGCAGGACTAAATCGCTTCATCAACACCGTGATGGAAACCACAGGGCACAGAAATGCTGTTCACCTTCCTGCCGCAGCAGTACCTATTTATCTACTTGCACTGGTGTGCTTTCAAACTGCTAGGTTGGCAGGAGTTGGGACAGAGCAACAGGAGCTCACCCCGTCACACGGATTCGAACCGCCGACCTTTTGATCTGCAAGCCCAAGAGGCTCAGTGGTTTAGACCACAGCACCACCCACATCCCTCATACCTTGGGGTGTATGGGGTAGTGACTCTGTGGTGGGGGGCATGTTGTGCTCCTTCTGTGGAAGTTTTTCCAGCTTTGGTCCCCACCCTGCACTCAGCTCTCACCTGTGGTTTCTAGAAGCTGTCAGCACATGACAGCAGCCGCACCCAGGAAACGGCTTCAACCAGCCAGCTAAACCAAGTGAAGGCAGCCGATGGGTCTAGAAGGTGGGCTACTCAACCTGGGAAGGGAGCCCACTGAGGAGAAGGAAAACTCGATCCTAAACCTCAGCTGCCTTGCGGGATATCTTCGGGAAAAGGAAAGGCTAAGGCTCCAGGGGTCAGCAAACTTTTTCAGCAGGGGGCCGGTCCACTGTCCCTCAGACCTTGTGGTGGGCTGGACTATACAGTGGTGCCTCGCAAGACGAAATTAATCCGTTCCGCGAGTCTCTTCGTCTTGCGGTTTTTTCGTCTTGCAAAGCACGGCTATTAACGGCTTAGCGGCTATTAATGGCTTAGCGGCTTTAAGAAAAAGGAAACAAACTCGCAAGAACTCGCAAGACGTTTCGTCTTGCGAAGCAAGCCCATAGGGAAATTTGTCTTGCGGAACGACTCAAAAAACGGAAAACTCTTTCGTCTTGCGAGGCATTCGTCTTGCGAGGCATTCGTCTTGCGGGGCACCACTGTATTTTGGAAAAAAATATGAACGAATTCCTATGCCCCACAAATAACGCAGAGATGCATTTTAAATAAAAGGACACATTCTACTCATGTAAAAACACCAGGCAGGCCCAAATCAACGAGGCCGAAAGGTGGGTCTTATCTGGGCATCCCAGGACCTCCATATACGCTGCCCAGGCTTGCACCCCAAGAAAGTCACTTTGGTGCTGCTAACGGTGTGGTTTGACTTCACCCCTGCACGTGCAAACTCCATTGTCTCTTGAGGCAGACGGATATCAACAAGTAGTTATTTCCTTATGCTTATTTCATTTATACAGTGGCACCTCGGGTTACATACGCTTCAGGTTACAGACTCCGCTAACCCAGAAATATTACCTCGGGTTAAGAACTTTGCTTCAGGATGAGAACAGAAATCGTGCTCTGGCGGCGCAGAAGCAGCAGGAGGCCCCATTAGCTAAAGTGGTGCTTCAGGTTAAGAACAGTTTCAGGTTAAGAACGGACCTCCGGCACAAATTAAGTAGGTAAGCAGAGGTACCACTGTATTCCGCTTTTCCTCCAAGCTGCTCAAGCATCACACTGACTCTCTGGTTAAGGCCAGGGTGGGGGGCCAGGGGGAGGATGGAAGGATGGAGAACATCTGTACCCGATATGCGAAGGCTTGAGGGAGAGGGAACACTTTTATCCTGATGGTGTGATCGCACTCTCTTAAATCACAACTGAAATCTGGAGAGTTAGGTCTTCCCTAGCCAAGCTGGGACATGGACACCTCCCCAATTCTATCCTCACAACGACCCAGCTAGCCCTGGGGATTATTTAACTGAATTTTTGATTTTTGAATTTTATTGTTATTCATGTTTTTATACTGTATTTTATGCTGCTTTTATAATTAAGTGTTTTAAAGTGTTTTAAATTTGTTGTTAGCCGCCCTGAGCCTGGTTTTTGAACCGGGAAGGGCGGGGTATAAATAAATTTTATTATTATTACTCCAAACCACGCCTTGGGACCATTATAAGGGTCTGCTTCTTCAAGCGCAAGAGGCTTTCCCTCTGCATATGTGAGGGAAAAACATACCTAACATAATTTATGGAAGTACAAGAAAAAGAACATTATAAAGTAACCTACGTGAGTTCAACATGACCCAAAAAGGGGAGGGGGAGCCCAAAACTAGCACAAAACACACAAATGTTTAATTATTTAATTATTATTTTAATCATTTCCCTGCGCCTATGTTTTTAGCTGTTCTTATTTTATCAGTAAGCTGCCTTGAAACCCTGCCCAGGGAAAAAGCCAGAGTATAAATGTAAGAACAGTAATTAATAATAATAATAACAATGATGATGATGTTAGCCATTATAGATTGTTCAAGTTGCCCAACACATACCCACACATGCCGTGCCCATCGCTCAAACACCCATGAATGCCAAACATAACCCTAAAAAATGCTCTCAAGGATGAGGGGCACTATTCAGAATGTAATCCAACGCGCTGCATGGGGATGTATCATGAAGAGAAAAATTGGCAAAACCCAGAAGCAATTAATAATAATAATAATAATTATTATTATTATTATTATTTATTATTTATACCCTGCCCATCTGGCTGAGTTTCCCCAGCAACTCTGGGCGGCTTCCAATCAAGTATTAAAAACAGTACAACATTAAATATTTAAAACTTCCCTGAACAGGGCTGCCTTCAGATGTCTTCTAAAAATAAGATAGCTGCTTATTTCCTTGACATCTGAAGGGAGGGTGTTCCACAGGGTGGGTGCCACTACCGAGAAGGCCCTCTGCCTGGTTCCCTGTAACCTCACTTATCGCAATGAGGGAGCCGGCAGAAGGCCCTTGGCACTGGATCTCAGTGTCCAGGCTGAACGATGGGGGTGGAGACTCCTTGGATCGGAAACTTCCACAGAGTCAGATCACTGGTCCATCAAACACAGTACAGTGGTACCTCTGGTTACATACGCTTCAGGTTACAGACTCCGCTAACCCAGAAATATTACCTCAGGTTAAGAACTTTGCTTCAGGATAAGAACAGAAATTGTGCTCCGGCGGCGCAGCAGGAGGCTCCATTAGCTAAAGTGGTGCTTCAGGTTAAGAACAGACCTCCAGAACGAATTAAGTTCTTAAACCGAGGTACCACTGTAGTGGCTAGAAATGTGTGCTGCAGTTTATCAGCTCAGCCAAACCTAGGAGCTGGGAAACCTAGAGGGACCTGGGATGGCCTTATAGGGTTCCCATATGTCCAGATTCAAACAGCGAAATTAATTTATGGTGGAAATTCAAAAAATCAGCAAAACGTCCAGGTTTTTGCCAAGAGAACCAGGAGGTTTGTGTTTGAATATCACTTTTTTGAAAGCGAATTGAAAAATCGGCAAAATGTCCAGGTTTTTGCCAAGAGAACCAGGAGGTGTGTGTTTGAATATCACTTTTTTGCCTTTGGGGGCGAATCCCCTGGGGGAAAAAACTCAACAACTTTGAGGTTCATTTCCCCAAAAGAAAAGCTCACAACCTTTTGGGGAGATTTCTCCCCCAAAAAATGCTCAAGAACATTTTACTTCTTGAAACACGGCAACCCTACCTTACAGAACTACTGCCTGATACGAAGTAAATACACAGCCTTGCCCCCCCCCCCAAAAACCCCAAACATCCTCTGTTCTGTGCATCATAGCACATGCTGGAAACCTATCCACAAGAAGGACGCTGTTGCCTTCCATGATTTTTTCCATGCTGCCTGTCCCCCCAAGAAGAAGAAGAAGTTTGGATTTGATATCCCGCTTTATCACTACCCAAAGGAGTCTCAAAGCAGCTAACATTCTCCTTTCCCTTCCTCCCCCACAACAAACACTCTGTGAGGTGAGTGGGGCTGAGAGACTTCAGAGAAGTGTGACTGGCCCAAGGTCACCCAGCAGCTGCATGTGGAGGAGCAGAGAAGCGAACCCGGTTCACCAGATTACGAGTCTACCGCTCTTAACCACTAGGGAGGGGGACAGGGCAAGTACTGCAGCTACATAATGCGCTTCGGTGATAAACAGCACAGAAAGGAAACATAGCCATGACCTGAGCTAATTGATGGGGTTAAACAACCCAACCTTAAGATTCCCTCTGCACGTAAGACCAACACTGACATCTCAGGAATTAACAACTACTGGATCATTGATTTTGCAAGGCTATTAGGCATTCAGCATGGAACTATATTGAATGTTGTTTGACAGTCCACACACCGGGACTAGTATCACAATCCTATCCAGGTTTACTCAGAAGTAAGTCCCGCTGATTTCAAAAGAGCATAGTAAATATCTTGTTGGCAAGATGCAATTCCACACACAAAGGTATTGCATAGGCATATAAGGTGGCGTTCTTCAATAATTTGCAGACTAGGATCCAGCGTTTGGGAAACGTTCTCTCTCTCTCTCACCTTCCCCTCTCCAGAGTGAATCCTCCCTTCCATGTTTGTTAGCCATGCTTCAGAGTGCTAGACATGTACAGTGGTACCTCGGGTTACATATGCTTCAGGTTACAGACTCCGCAAACCCAGAAATAGTACCTCGGGTTAAGAAGTTTGCTTCAGGATGAGAACAGAAACCGTGCTCTGGCAGTGCCGCGGCAGCTGGAGGCCCCATTAGTTAAAGTGGTGCTTCAGGTTAAGAACAGTTTCAGGTTAAGAACGGACCTCCGGAACGAATTAAGTACCCCAGGTACCACTGTATCAGCACTAAAATGGTTAATGCCAGCCAGGGTTCTCTTAACAAGGGTCTGCAAACCTTCTAATAAACCAGTCCTAGTTTGCAAGGGAACCACGGTTAACGTTAACCATCTTTTGTGAAAGTGGACATGCAAGAGCAATTCTATGCCTGTCTACTCAGAAGCAAGTCCCATTGTGTTCTGTAGGATTTACTCCCAGGTGTATAGGATTGAAGCCCAAACCATATGGTAACAAGAGAGGAAGAGGGAAAGAAATCACTCTGGAGCAGGCGGGAAGGATAAAAAGGTAAAGGTAAAGGGACCCCTGACCATTAGGTCCAGTCGTGGCTGACTCTGGGGTTGCGGTGCTCATCTCGCTTTACTGGCCGAGGGAGCCGGCGTACAGCTTCCGGGTCATGTGGCCAGCATGACTAAGCCGCTTCTGGCGAACCAGAGCAGCACACGGAAACGCCGTTTACCTTCCCGCTGGAGCGGTACCTATTTATCTACTTGCACCTTGACGTGCTTTCGAACTGCTAGGTTGGCAGTTCTAGGGGGCAGGAAGGATAGAAAGCGCTTAACGTCAGGGATGACTCCCAGTTTGCCAATTGTTTGCTAATTCTGCTGCACTGAAAGAAAGAGCACACCCAATATGACTAGGAGAAAGCACTTTTCTGAAGCATTCCGCTACTTCTGTACAAAAAGAGGCTTGCCACATGATTCACTGCTATCTAGATTAACAAAGAACTATAGGAAACTAAAAAGAAAACTTGTGGATTGTGCGCTTGGCGAGAGAAACGTAATATTAATTTACTTTTCACGGCCTGCCCCTGACACCAACATAACAATTTTAAGGGCATCTGGAGTAAAAGATGCGTATCTGCATAACAATCCAAAAACACACACACGCCCCCGCTGCCGCCTCAAAGGCTCTTGAAGCATTCAGAGTATTAAGTACATGGAGGAAGTACAAGTTGTTCCTTGGCAAGTTAACATTGCTGCTCGCATCGAGTTATTTTGTACACAGTCATGGTGAAGATTTTATCTAATGTATGGACAAGGTATTAGGAACAACTGAGCTCTTACAAAAGCTGGATAGTATTTTTAAGAAATAAAGATTAGCTCTTATACAACCTTCTGTTTACCTTGCAATTTTGCAGCAGGCGAATCAGATGTTCAAAGCAGTTGCTGTTAAGGAAAATGGCTTGCAGAACAGGCCTGTCTGTGCAGTCTAACATGGCGGTGATGGTATCTAAGGAGGTGAAAGTGAAAATCAAAGAGAAATACAGTATATAATTTGACATTTTGCTCTAGGGGGCTTAGTTTGGTCAGAATCAAGGACACACTTCCAGAATTAATGCTAAATACATGACTTCTGGTAAATAGGCCACTATAGCTGCCAGAGGGCTGTGAAGATTTGTGTTCCAGACTTTTTTGACTCATCTACCCATCTACTATCTGAAACCAAAGGGGCACATATGTTGCAAGATGTGAAATTATTAGCTACTACTACCTAAGAAGGGGACGCGGGTGGCGCTGTGGGTTAAACCACAGATCCTAGGACTTGGCGATCAGAAGGTCAGTTGTTCGAATCCCCGCAACAGGGTGAGTTTCTGTTGCTTGGTCCCTGCTCCTGCCCACCTAGCAGTTCGAAAGCATGTCAAAGTGCAAGTAGATAAATAGGTACCACTCTGGCGGGAAGGTATATGGTGTTTTCGTGCGCTGCTCTGGTTCGCCAGAAGTGGCTTAGTCATGCTGGCCACATGACCTGGAAGCTGTACGCAGGCTCCCTTGGCCAATAAAGCGAGATGAGCGCCGCAACCCCAGAGTGGCCACGACTGGACCTAATGGTCAGAGGTCCCTTTACCTTTAGCTTTACATTACTTCTGGTAAATAGGCCACTATAGCCGCTAGAGGGCGGTGAAGATTTGTGTTCCAGACTTTTTTGACTCCTCTACCCATGTACTATCTGAAACCAAAAGGGCAAATTTGTTGCAAGGGACTCTAGCGGGACTCATTGCACTGGCTTCCAAGAGTGCAAAAACTTAGCCCATTTACAGGTACACTTGGAAGTGTGGGAACAGGATGGTTATGTTCTTACAGGTGAGGTGTGGCAGAGAAGGACACATTCTTTTGTCCGCTTCTGGGAGAACTGAATAGACACATCCGAAATGGTTGTGTGTTTTTTAGCTGACCGATTTTTTTTAATACTTGCAATTGGCTTAACGCGAGCTCCCCTAAATAAATAAATACCACGCGTACACAAACACTGGCCAGGTGAAACTGAAGACTATGAAAGATGTGTTTGTTTTCTTTTTCCAGGAAACGCGCAGAGGAAACACAGGTGATTTTATATATTCTCTCCCACCACTGTGAATCAGTGATAAAGTTATTATAATTTGAAAGAGTATTTCAGATGCTGGGTGCTGCCCGTAGTTTTTGTGTATGTTTAGAATCTACTGCACTTAGGAGGCAACTAAGTATATACGGTATTTTTCGCTCTATAGGATGCACTTCCCCCCTCCAAAAATTAAAGGGAAATGTGTGTGCGTCCTATGGAGCGAGTGCAGGCTCCGTGGCTTCAGCGATAGCAACGCAAAGCCTCCGAAGCGCAGAGGGAGCGCTCCCTCCGCGCTCCAGAGGCTTCGCGTTGCTTTCGCTGAACCCTGGAGAGCAAGAGGGGTCGGTGCGCACCGACCCCTCTCGCTCTCCAGGCTTCAGGGATAGCCGCCTGAAGCCTTTGGAGCGCAGCGGGAACTCGCGCTGCGCTCCAAAGGCTTTAGGTTCTTTTTGCTGAAGCCGGGAGAGCAAGACTCTCCCGGCTTCAGCAGAGAGGGAGAGCTGCGCAGCGCCCCTTCAGCCAAGTGGGAGGAGAAATGGAAGGGGCTCCATTTCTCCTGCCGCTTCGCTGAAGGGGCGCTGAGCAAAGAGGGGGAGAATTTTATTTTTTTCCTGTTCTCCCCTTCCTATGGTCCGGTGCGTATACGGTATCTCGATTGTGTTAGTCTTCTGAAGCAGTTTCATTTGGAAGCCATCATTACACACCAGTCACAAAAAGTGACTCAACAGAAAGGGCATGAGGCAGCGCGGTCAGCACTCCCTAAAGCGAGGATGGGGAATGTTGTTGAAACTCCCAACCAACTCAGATGGCATAGCCAATGGTCAAGGATGATGGGAGTCCAGCAACATCTGAAGGAGCATAGATGTTCCAGGGAGCAAATGGTTCCAGGAAGAAACCTCAACCCTGCCCCCCCCTTTTTCCAACTCCCAGAAGGGGCGTCACACTCACTCAGCATTTGAATCTGTAGCGCTATGAATCGGCTCTCCCACTGCCGGGACCTCCGCGAGTTCGGCAAAGCCGTGTGGTCCGAGTTGAGCAGCTTGAAGTAGTTCTCCAATATGGTGCTGGTCTCCACTTGCCGCTGGTCCGAGCTGCTGGTCAGAAGGATGTGAACCACTTCCGTCAGGCACTTCAGCGTCAGCTCGGCCTTCCTGCTCACTTCGTCGGGGTCTCGGCTGTCCCACGCGTCGCAGTCTGCCAGTACGCGCATCAAGACTTCCATGGTGGCAGGAGATATGGCTTGGAGAGCGTTTCTCTAAAGTCAACAATAGAATTCTCTCAATACCAGGACATTAGATCAGCAAACCTTGAAACAAACAAACAGCAAAAAACAACAACACCCAGTTTGGTACAGTGGTACCTTGGTTCTCAAAAGCCGAAAAGTCGGAAGTAAGTGTTCCGGTTTTCGAGTGTTTTTCAGAAGCCAAACGTCCGAAGCGGCTGTTGTTTCCGGGGCACCTGCACCTATCAGAAGCTGCACCTTGGTTTTCAAACATTTCAGAAGTCAAACGGACTTCCGGAACGGATTACGTTTGGCGCTTTTGTTTTTGCTATTTATTTTGCATTTTTGTTTTTGAGGTTTATTCGGTTAATTTGTTTTTGTGGCTGTGTGGAACCCAGTTCAGCTATTGATTGATTGATTGATTGATTGTGTGACTGTGGAAATGGATAAAAGCCCCCCATCCAAACAATGACTATCATCGGTGCAGGTAAGAAAAATATGTAATTTTAATTTTTATCATCTATAATACTGTCTTAAAGGTAAAGGGACCCCTGACCATTAGGTCCAGTCGTGGCCGACTCTGGGGTTGCGGCGCTCATCTCGCTTTATTGGCCGAGGAAGCCGGCATACAGCTTCCGGGTCATGTAGCCAGCATGACTAAGCCACTTCTGGTGAACTAGAGCAGCACACGGAAACACCATTTACATTCCCGCCGGAGTGGTACCTATTTATCTGCTTGCACTTGACATGCTTTCGAACTGCTGGGGGGGGGCAGGAGCTGGGACCAAACAATGGGAGCTCACCCCGTCATGGGGATTCGAACTGCTGACCTTCCGATTGGCAAGCCCTAGGCTCTGTGGTTTAGACCACAGCGCCAAATAAGACAATACTAAAATAGTACATTGTTTATTGCTTTTATTTTATGGATCAATGGTCTTGTTAGATAGTAAAATTCATGTTAAATTGCTGTTTTGGGGGGTGGTTTTTAAAAGTCTGGAATGGATTAATCCATTTTGCACTACTTTCTATGGGAAAGCGCGCCTTGGTTTTGGAACACTTTGGTTTTGGAACGGACTTCTGGAATGGATTAAGTTTGAGAACCAAGGTACCACTGTATATCGAATTATTTTTAAAACCTTATCATTTTATCTGGACAAAGTTGATGAGTGATTTCTATGTGCAGAATCCGAATATCTTCTTTCCGCTTACAGGAAGTGTCATGGCAGGAGGATACTTCACTATCATAGCACCGTGCAAACTCTTAAGCATGTACAAAATAGTGGCAATGAGCATTTTCCTTCCACTCCTGCCTATCTGGTCTCCACATATCTGTTTCTTGCTAAGATTTGAGGAGCCAGGAGGGGCTGCAACAATCATGCTGAAGTTCAAGGTCTTTCTGGCATCAGGGATGCGTCCTTCAGTCAATAAAATGACGCCAATATTTCTTGGGATTCTCACCTGCCCACCAGCCACAATCGCTCCAAAGAGGTGTAGCAAACAACACTTCAGGCTCTCCTTGAGGTGCTCACTTTCTTGAAAACACTCTGAAAGAAGAGAACAAGTTGCAGGCACGTTAACCTCGAGCCTAAAGATTTGTAGGCACGTGGTCAAATAATATATCTCAAAAACAATTACTGTACAAATACGTAGCTCCCATTTTTCTTTTCATAATGAAGTCAACCCTCGAATCTATAAACAAATCTGCCTTTTTTTAAGACATAAAAACAGTTGATTTAAAACAAGCCCAATTAAAACTAAATTAAAACTGCATTAACTCCAGGACCAGCTGCCTAGCTCAAAGCCATCTTGACCAGAAGGCCTATAATCAATGTTTAGTTATATAGTGATACCTCAGGTTAAGTATTTAATTCGTTCCGGAGGTCTGTTTTTAACCTGAAACTGTTCTTAACCTGAAGCACCACTTTAGCTAATGGGGCCTCCTGCTGCCGCCGCGCCACCGGAGCACGATTTCTGTTCTTATCCTGAAGCAAAGTTCTTAACCTGAAGCACTATTTCTGGGTTAGCGGAGTGTGTAACCTGAAGCCGAGGTACCACTGTAGTGGAATGCAGGTGGCACTGTGGGTTAAACCACAGAGCCTAGGACTTGCTGATCAGAAGGTCGGAGCTTCGAATCCCCGTGACGGGGTGAGTGCCCGTTGCTCGGTCCCTGCTCCTGCCAACCTAACAGTTCGAAGGCACAAAGTGCAAGTAGATAAATATGTACCACTCCAGCGGGAAGGTAAACGGCGTTTCCGTGCGCTGCTCTGGTTTCGCCAGAAGCGGTTTAGTCATGCTGGCCACATGACCCGGAAGCTGTATGCCAGCTCCCTCGGACAATAAAGCGAGATGAGCGCCGCAACCCCAGAGTCGGTCACGACTGGACCTAATGGTCAGGGGTCCCTTTACCTTTACCACTGTAGTGGTAAAATTAAGCCACCGTTTCAGTTAAATCCACCTTTCCAAATTGTCACATTTAACTATGTAGTGGTAAAGCATCCTTCAGAGAAACATAGCAGTGCAGCTGGGATGGGGAAATCCAGGCTTTTTTGCTTGAACTTTTAGTAAAAACTGTAGTTTGTTTTGTTCTCCCAGCATACAAACTGTGGCTCATTTTAACTACAGTTGGTTCCAAACCATGGTTTCAGAAGCTCGCTTGTTTAAACTAGCCCCAGTTAAGATTAAGTAAAGGGACCCCTGACCATTAGGTCAAGCCGTGGCCGACTCCGGGGTTGCGGCACTCATCTTGCTTTATTGGCTGAGGGAGCCGGTGAACAGCTTCCACGTCATGGGGCCAACATGACTAAGCCAGCGTACAGCTTCCGGGTCATGTGGCCAGCATGACTAAGCCGCTTCTGGCGAACCAGAGCAGCGCACGGAAACGCCGTTTACCTTCCCGCCGGAGCGGTACCTATTTATCTACTTGCACTTTGACGTGCTTTCGAACTGCTAGGTTGGCAGGAGCAGGGACCGAGCAATGGGAGCTCACCCCGTTGCGGGGATTCGAACCGCTGACCTTCTGATCGGCAAGTCCTAGGCTCTGTGGTTTAACCGACAGCGCCACCCGCGTCCCCAGTTAAGATTAAGCACAGGTTAAAAGGTACAAAGAATACCGCAAAGTACGATTAATCAAATGCAGAAGCAAAACTACCAAACGCCTCCTCCTAGAAATGTTGGCGAAGGAAAGGAGAGAGACAACAGATGAACTGAGGAGGAGGTTAGGTGTGTTCACATCTCACTAAACCAACCTTCCTCAACTTTCGGTCTTCAGATGCTAGATTAGCTAATGTTAAAGAATGACGTTGAGTTTAAGTCCAACAACATCTGAGAACCCCAAGTTGCAAAAGGATGCACTAAAACACATCGAAACATAGTCATTTTCTCTTCTCTATTTTGTCAATAAGGTCCGTATAGTAAAAGCTATCGTTTTCCCAGTAGTGATGTATGGATGTGAAAGCTGGACCATAAAGAAGGCTGATCGCCGAAGAATTGATGCTTTTGAATTGTGGTGCTGGAGGAGACTCTTGAGAGTCCCATGGACTGCAAGAAGATCAAACCTCTCCATTCTGAAGGAAATCAGCCCTGAGTGCTCACTGGAAGGACAGATCCTGAAGCTGAGGCTCCAGTACTTTGGCCACCTCATGAGAAGAGAAGACTCCCTGGAAAAGACCCTGATGCTGGGAAAGATGGAGGGCACAAGGAGAAGGGGACGACAGAGGACGAGATGGTTGGATAGTGTTCTCGAAGCTACCAGCATGAGTTTGACCAAACTGCGGGAGGCAGTGGAAGACAGGAGTGCCTGGCATGCTCTGGTCCATGGGGTCACGAAGAGTCGGACATGACTAAACGACTAAACAACAACAACAACAATTTTGTCAATATACGATCAGTAAGGATGCACACCAACATTCCCTGAACACAGCCACAAGAACATTGGAAACTTCTGCTTTCATCTCCTATTAACCACAGTTTAGTGTCACATTTAAACCTTGACCGTGGTTAGCGAAAACAAGGCAGCTTCATAAACTATGGTTTGAAGTTGGCTTGTTTCCACAAACCACTGTCAAAACTAACCAACGTTTGTCCCGGTTCAGACTTTGTGATAAGCTGTAGTTAGCCTGAAACAGAAATGGACATTTCTGGACATCTCTTCCAGGCTATGTCAGAGGAGAGAAGTGGAGATGAGGCAGGGAGCATGAAAGTCTGAGGCTCACCGCATTTTTTTTCACATAATGCTAAATTGTAGTTTAGTATTATGTGAAAATGCAGCCATTTAAAAGGTGCTATTAAGTGCACAGAAATTTTATATACTGACATAAGATCCAATAAAATTTTATGTAGCAAAAAACTCTTAAACATTCACAGTGCCCAAAACACCCAAAAAAACCCCTCCTATTGGCAAAAACTAGAACAGGTCCAAAATCTTCCCCTTCCATTGAAAAATCATTACACTGTATTCTTTGCTCAAAGCATACCCGGCAGAAGGGAATTACAAGTAGCCTAAGGAATTTTTCTCAGCAATAAACATTAACCTGGAAGCTGTTACCATGGCAATAACTTTACGCAGATGAACGAGCCGCTGCCAAAGCCACAAGATTATTTCGTTTGAAATTAGCACCATAAAAATCTCTGAGTAATGTCACCAACCAGCACTGTTAAAATGTCACCATTTTTAAATGAAGCTGGTGGTGGAGACGCCCAAGTCTCAAAACAAACTGGCTATTGAAACAAAAACTACATTTTGGAACTTTTAAAAAAACCTTTACGTAAGGGTGAATAGCTTAGGGGGAAGCGACGTTAGCTGTAATTTCCAGAGTGGTTTTTACAGTCAACCCCTGTCCCTAAGCTGGACCATAAGGAAGGCTGATCGCCGAAGAATTGATGCTTTTGAATTATGGTGCTGGAGGAGACTCTTGAGAGTCCCATGGACTGCAAGAAGATCAAACCTATCCATTCTTAAGGAAATCAGCTCTGAGTGCTCACTGGAAGGACAGATTGTGAAGCTGAGGCTCCAATACTTTGGCCACCTCATGAGAAGAGAAGACTCCCTGGAAAAGACCCTGATGTTGGGAAAGATGGAGGGCACAAGGAGAAGGGGACGACAGAGGACAAGATGGTGGGACAGTGTTCTCGAAGCTACCAGCATGAGTTTAACCAAACTGCGGGAGGCAGTGGAAGACAGGAGTGACTGGCGTGCTCTGGTCCATGGGGTCACAAAGAGTCGGACACGACTAAACGACTAAACAACAACAACAACCTGTCCCTAGGGAACTTTGAGAACGCTAGATCGCGGATCAGGGGTCACTTATCAACCCATGCCATTCTTAACAAACTAGTTCCCATGATTCTTTGGGGGAAGTCGTGACTGTACAAAGTGGTCTGAAACTGCCTGAATTGTGTAGTTGCAGGGTTTTTTAAAATTTAAATAGTTTTTTTTAATCAGATTTTTAAAATAAAATGCTTTCGGAGGAAAAATCTTTTTCAAGTTAGTTTTCTATTTAAGTTACATTATAGTCCAAAGGCTATTCATTAGGAAATAAGGATTTGTTTTAAGTTTTTCATGTGTGCTAAAACTCAGTCAAAGTTGTTGTTGTTTTAAAATTGTTTAACCACATCAGTTAACAAACATGGATACACATGCTATAATGTTATCGTTTTAGTTAAATAAATTGTTTTTAAGGAAATGATTATTTTTCTCCTTCCCATAAAGCATAGCAGAAAAGTCGTCCAAATATAAACAGTCAACTTATTAAACCTCACAATAATTTCATAAATATTGGTCTATGTATTTCTAATAGTATAACCAAATCAGTAATTTTCGATATAGCCGCAAAAACTACTCTGAAAATTTATTATTCCAAAAATGAAACCTTCCTCTGGTTGTGAATATTAAGATGATACCAGCAAGAACGAATCTTTCTGTTAAAAAATGATTTAAATCAAGTCTTACTGACTAGTGATTTAAATCGTGATTTAAATCGGTTTGATTTAAATCAAATCCACCCTGATTCAAACTAGTATTAGTACTTGCTGTAAGCTTCCAAATATGAGATCCCATGTGGGGTGGGATTGGGAGAGGGCAGTTAATGGGCTCATCTTATTTAATCACGGTTATCTTCTTGAGGTCCTGGCAAGTCAGAGCTGTTCCACCAGGCCTTTGGTCAGGGCGCAGCCTGACTCCCTCCTCTGGCAATCTGCACAGAATTTTGCTTAACGGTTGCCATCAATTTGATTTTAATTAATTTTTATAATGAAATGTTTTTAGAATGTTGGATTATTTGATTGTTGTTAGCCGTCCTGATCCCAGCTTCGGCTGGGGAGGGTGGGATATAAATAAAAATTATTATTATTATTATTATTATTATTATTAATTTGTATTTGCAGCAGCAACCTTTGACTTGTGTTAGGGTATAAGGGAAAACCGTAGAAATTAATTTTTAGTTACTTCTGACCCAGGACTCATGGTTTGTCTTGCTCCAGACAAACCAAGGTTTGTTCTTTGTTTATCACTTGTAGTTGGTCAGGGTTTGGGGGAGACAAAACATGAGCCTGGGTTCAGATACAACACTAAGCCAAACCATGGCTTAGCCCTAGATAGCATGGCAACAGCAGGGGGAATTTGCACTAAGGCATGGTTTGGCATCCAAAAACATCAAAAAAATGAAGATCATGGCCACTGGTGCCATCACCTCCTGGCAAATAGAAGGGGAAGAAATGGAGGAAGTGAGAGATTTTACTTTCTTGGACTCCACGATCACTGTAGATGGTGACAGCAGCCACGAAATTAAAAGACGACTGCTTCTTGGGAGAAAAGCAATGACAAACCTAGACAGCATCTTAAAAAGCAGAGACATCACCTTGCCGACAAAGGTCCATACAGTAAAAGCTATGGTTTTCCCAGTAGTGATGTATGGAAGTGAGAGCTGGACCATAAAGAAGGCTGATCGCCAAAGAATTGATGCTTTTGAATTATGGTGCTGGAGGAGACTCTTGAGAGTCCCATGGACTGCAAGAAGATCAAACCTCTCCATTCTGAAGGAAATCAGCCCTGAGTGCTCACTGGAAGGACAGATCCTGAAGCTGAGGCTCCAGTACTTTGGCCACCTCATGAGAAGAGAAGACTCCCTGGAAAAGACCCTGATGTTGGGAAAGATGGAGGGCACAAGGAGAAGGGGATGACAGAGGACGAGACGGTTGGATAGTGTTCTCAAAGCTACCAGATTGAGTTTGACCAGACTGCAGGAGGCATTGGAAGACAGGAGTGCCTGGCATGCTCTGGTCCATGGGGTCACGAAGAGTCGGACACGACTAAACGAGTAAACAACAACAACATGGTTTGGCTTAGCTTTACACTCATACCTTGGATCCCGAACACCTCGGTGCTCAGACATTCTGGCTCCTTAACATCGCAAACCTGGAAGTGATTGTTTCCATTTGCAAACATTCTTTGGAACCTGAACGTTTGATGGGGCTTCTGCAGCTTCCGACTGGCTGCAGGAGCTTTCTGCAGCCAATCGGAAGCTGCAGTTTGGTTTCCAAACGTTTTGGAAGCTGGACGGACTTCCGGAACGGATTCCGTTTGACTTCCGAGGTACGACTGTACATGCAAACTGGGCCAGTGACTAACTCAAGGTCACCAAGTGAGCTCCATGGCTAAGCTAATAACTGAACCTTGGCAAAATACACAAAGTCAACCACAGGCATGCATGAAAATGGTCAGATAATATGTGCCAAAAAGAATTTGTTAAGAACTTGAACTGTGCTTAATGTCCCGAAGCAGTCCTCAGCAATTATTTTGTATTCGTCACCTTGAGATTGGAAGTGTGCGGCAATAAATTTTATCCCTTAAAAAATTCCGAAGTAAACATTAGAAACATTAAGAAAACAAGGCAATGATACTCACGGTAAAAGAAAGGGACAAACTCCACTGTGAGGGAAGCTGGTTTGTACTTCTGCCTGCTTTTTTCAACACTGCTCAGAATTCGTCTATATTATTTTTTAAAAGGAGAAACCAAGAGGTAAGATTTATTTGTAGGCGGACACTGCAGAACACATTTTTTATTTATTCTAAAGCATGCTTTTCTTCAAATGCAATAAAATACCTATTCCATATTACATTAGCAGCACTTTTAAAACTACCAAGGTACTATTTTGGACTACTTTACTTCTAAGCAGTGTACTTTTAAATAAAACCAAAACCAAAACCCAGCCCATAACTGACTTTAAGGACATGCAGCTTTAACACTACAAATTTGGTAAATTAAAACAATAGGATTTATTGATAGCTCAGCTACTCAAAGTGACCCATTTTGCCATACATTTAGAAGGCTACGTCTCGCATAAGCAAGTTGGTAGGTGCCTACATATACTGTGGCCATGTTTAAGTGATCGTATCTCAGCTTAATAAGCCACGGAATGAATGAGTCTTTAGCCACAGTCCTTTTGTGGTGCAAACAATCAAATCAGGAAGTCTCAAGGGAACCACGGTTTCCTGTTTTGCCCAAACTGGGAAACAATGGCTACTGCCAGCTTCTGAACACACCAATATTTTGACCCACCGTCAAACTGTGGTTAAGTATCCTGGTCTTGTTCCAAACCTGGTAGACATGGTTTCCTGATTTAGATGACGTCCTGGCATCATCAAGACTCATGCAATGGGAGGAGTGAAGAAGCTGCTCCCGAAAGCATATGGCTTAATAAGCCAAAATCTCAATGTGACAACTTATATTGGTCCAAGCTAGGCCAGTATGCTCCTTTGTTGTGCCACATAAGCACATGTTGTGCAGACGCCTGATTATCGTCTTCCAAAGCAACTACTCTATTCCAAACTTAAAAATGGAACGCATAATGCTGGTGGTCAACAGAAGAGGTTTAAAGGCTCTCTCAAGGCAATTTTTAAAAAAATGTAGTATAAACACCAACTATTGGGAAACACTGGCCTGCAAGCGCTCCAACTGGAGAACAGCGTTTACCAAAGATGTCATGGGCTTTGAAGACACTTGAACTCAGGACGCAAGGGAGAAACGTGCTAAGAGGAAGGCACGCTTGGCAAATCCACACAGTGATCAACTCCCAAGCGGTAACCAATGTCCCCACTGTGGAAGGACGTGTGGATCCAGAATTGGCCTCCACCGTCACTTACGGACTCATTGTTAAAACCGTGTTTATGGAAGACAATCTGACTCGGCTACGAGTGATCACCAAAGATAAGGGTCAACCACGTCTTTATTTGACTGCATGTATTGACCGCAGTTTCACATTCCCATGGAATGCACACAATAAGAGTCACATTTGTCTCCCATAGCCGCTGGCCCACAAATTTCATGGGTAATGCAGTTCCCCCTGCTCCCCCCCCCATCACAAGGAAACAAACAAACAAAACTAGCCTCTCCTACTCTCTCTCTCTCTTTAAAGATGGCATTTCCTTGACTAACAAGTCATTTAGTGGATGCTATAGCGGACGCGGGTGGCGCTGTGGGTTAAACCACTGAGCCTAGGACTTGCCGATCAGAAGGTCGGCGGTTCGAATCCCCGTGACGGGGTGAGCTCCCGTTGCTTGGTCCCAGCTCCTGCCAACCTAGCAGTTCGAAAGCATATCAAAGTGCAAGTAGATAAATAGGTACCGCTCCGGCGGGAAGGTAAACGGCGTTTCCGTGCGCTGCTCTGGTTCGCCAGAAGCGGCTTAGGCATGCTGGCCACATGACCCGGAAGCTGACTGCGGTCAAACGCCGGCTCCCTCGGCCAATAAAGCAAGATGAGCGCTGCAACCCCAGAGTCAGTCACGACTGGACCTAATGGTCAGGGGTCCCTTTACCTTTTTGTATGATAAAGTTCTCTCCTTAGTTAACTGTCTGTCTGTATGTATGACTCAGATGTGACAAGTTCCAGCACTCCTTTGTTCAGTGAATATCTTGCATGTGTGATTAAAAAAGAATGCCTTTTCCAAGATGCAAAGGTTACACCGCAGGAGACGAATCTTACTATGTTTGTTTACTTTTCTAGGCTCGGTTACATCGCTCCAAAGTGAGCTTGGGCAAGCGCTAAGAATAACGCAGCAAAAGCAATGGCAGAAAACAAGTTACAGATTGTGCTTGCCAAGATGCTGGAAAGGCAGTTGTTATAATAGGCCCAATGTACTGAAAAAAAGGTGTATTTGAAGTAGAGGGTGTGTTAATGGAAAATATATATAACAGGACATTTTGAACAAAAGTACCACATTTTTCCATGTACAACACAGCCCTGTGTATAAGACGCCCCATATTTTGGGGGACTCCAAATTAAGAAAATGGGGGGAGTTGCTAAGCTTTGGGGAGTTTTTCACCTTTTTTGGGAGAAAGGCCCACAGTTGTTAGGTTTTTTTGGAGGGGGTACTGCTGAAAATTGCTCACCCGCATGCCACACACGTCAACAAAGGCACCAATCGTATGCCTGCTCGCCACCAACAGCAGCAAATCGCCCGCTCTATTGTCACAGCGGCAGCCAATACACAGCAGCCATTGTCACAGCCACCCCTCACCCGCCCCAATCGCCGCTGACAATCTCCTGATCGTGGCAGCAACCAATCGCACGTCCCACCGATGCACTGCCCATGTACATAGCTGTCAACCTTCCCTTTTTTTGAGGGAAATTCCCTTATTCCAGCGCCGTTTCCCGCTGCTTCCCGCTGCTCTCCCGGATTGTTAGATATCCCCTAGACTGTCCCCGGGACAGGTGAGGCTGCTGATCGCTTATTTTCAAATCTGAAAGTTGACAGCTATGCCCATATATAATACGAGCCCAAATTTTAAACTAATTTTTATTAGAAAAACCCCCCTCATCTGATACACGGAAAACTACGGTATATGGGTAGCGAAGCAGCAACAGAAACTACAGGAGAGAGAACAGCAAGGTGGAGGTTTGAAAGCAGGGGTAGACAACCTGTGTCCGTACCCCAACTTTGCTGAACTATGACACCCATCATCTCTGACCACAGGCTATGCTGGGTGCAGCTGATGGGAATTGGAGTCCAAAAGGATATGGAGGCCCACACATCCCCCAGCCCAGTTTTAACATGAAACTGGGCACTATGGCCCTGTTATCTAAGGTAGCACTAAGGCCCCCCTAAGGCTCGTACCTATGGGACTGCCTCTCCTGGTATGCCTGGCGGAGGACCTTAAGGTCCATAAATAACACCACTTTGGAAGTCCCGAGCCCCAAGGAGGTTAGATTGGCCTCAACCAGGGCCAGGGCCTTTTCGGCTGTGGCCCCGGCCTGGTGGAACGCCCTACCGCAGGAGATCAGGGCCCTGCGGGATTTGACATCTTTCCGCAAGGCCTGCAAGACAGAGCTGTTCCGCCTGGCCTTTGGTCTGGACTCAGTCTAACCCCCCCCATTTATTTTTTTGATGGAACCCCTCATATGGGATTTTGTATATAAATTTTCCCTCAGCTCTTTTTTGCTGGCCCATGTAGGACCAGCATAGATAGTTGGCCCCGGTGAATATTTGATGTTTTCTCCCCTTACGGCTTTGATCTATAAAGGTAAAGGGACCCCTGACCATTAGGTCCAGTCGTGGCCGACTCTGGGGTTGCGGCGCTCATCTCGCTTTACTGGCCGAGGGAGCTGGCGTACATGTGGCCAGCAGGACTAAGCCACTTCTGGCGAACCAGAGCAGTGCACGGAAACGCCGTTTACCTTCCCGCTGAGGTGGTACCTATTTGTCTACTTGCACTTTGATGTGCTTTCGAACTGCTAGGTTGGCAGGAGCTGGGACCGAGCAACGGGAGCTCACCCCGTCACAGGGATTCGAACCGCCGACCTTCTGATTGGCAAGCCCTAGGCTCAGTGGTTTAACCCACAGCGCCACCCGCGTCCCCATATATATAGGCTTTGATCTATAGGCGACCACAAAAACGAGGCTGCATTTTAAGCTGCATTTTAAACTGTATTTTGACAAACTGTTTGTTTGGTATTTGTTTGGTTTTTAATGTTTTTACTGTACAGTAGTACCCCGCAAGACGAATGCCTCGCTAAACGAAAAACCCGCAAGACGAAAGGGTTTTCCGATTTTTAGAGGCTTCGCAAGACGAATTTCCCTATGGGCTTGCTTCGCAAGACGAAAGCCCATAGGGAAATCTCCTGGGACAGCGGGGAAGCGCAGCGCACCTTCTCCTCTGTTCCCAGACCTGTCCTGAAGGCTTGTGGTGGGAGGTCCGGGAACAGAGGAGAAGGTGCGCAGCGCTTCTCCTCTGTTCCCGGGGCTTGCGGTGGGAGGAAGGTTTTTCCTCCCCACCGCCAACATTCAGAACAGCATTCTGAATGTTGGCGGTGGGGAGGAAAGCCCTCCTCCCACCGCAAGCCTTCAGGACAGGTCCGGGAACAGAGGGGAAGGCGCGCAGCGCTTCTCCTCTGTTCCCGGACCTGTTTTGAAGACTTGCGGTGGGAGGAAGGTTTTCCTCCCCACCGCCAACATTCAGAAGGCTGTTCTGAAGGCTGGCGGTGGGAAGAAAAGCCCTTCTCCCCCGCCAGCCTTCAAAAGAGTTCCCGGAGGGCTGCCTAGGCTGCGGATAGCAGCATGCTGCCCCGCACGAGGGGCGCTCTTAAGCAGAGCGCCCCTCGCGCGGGGCAGACATTCGCAGCTTGGGGAGCCCTGCAGGAGTTCCCCGCAGGGCTCTCCAAGCTGCGGATAGCAGCCTGCTGCCCCGCACGAGGGGCGCTCTTTAGCAGAGCGCCCCTTGCGCGGGGCAGACATCTGCAGCTTGGGGAGCCCTGCAGGACTTCCCCGCAGGGCTCTACAAGCTGCGGATAGCAGCCTGCTGCCCCGCACGAGGGGCGCTCTTTAGCAGAGCGCCCCTCGCGCGGGGCAGACATTCACAGCTTGGGGAGCCCTGCAGGACTCCCCCGCAGGGCTCTCCAAGCTGCGGATAGCAGCCTGCTGCCCCGCACGAGGGGCGCTCTTTAGCAGAGCGCCCCTCGCGCGGGGCAGACATTCACAGCTTGGGGAGCCCTGCAGGACTTCCCCGCAGGGCTCTGCAAGCTGCGGATAGCAGCCTGCTGCCCCTCGCGTGGGGCAGACATTCGCAGCTTGGGGAGCCCTGCAGGACTTCCCCGCAGGGCTCTCCAAGCTGCGGATAGCAGCCTGCTGCCCCGCACAAGGGGCGCTGTTAAGCAGAGCGCCCTTCGCGCGGGGCAGACATTCGCAGCTTGGGGAGCCCTGCAGGACTTCCCCGCAGGGCTCTCCAAGCTGCAGATAGCAGCCTGCTGCCCCTATCCGCAGCTTGCAGAGCCCTGCAGGGAAGTCCTGCAGGGCTCCCCAAGCTGTGAATGTCTGCCCCGCGCGAGGGGCGCTCTGCTAAAGAGCGCCCCTCGTGCGGGGCAGCAGGCTGATATCCGCAGCTTGGAGAGCCCTGCGGGGAAGTCCTGCAGGGCTCCCCAAGCTGTGAATGTCTGCCCCGCGCAAGGGGCGCTCTGCTAAAGAGCGCCCCTCGTGCGGGGCAGAAGGCTGCTATCCGCAGCTTGGAGAGCCCTGCGGGGAACTCCTGCAGGGCTCCCCAAGCTGTGAATGTCTGCCCCGCGCGAGGGGCGCTCTGCTTAAGAGCGCCCCTCGTGCGGGGCAGCAGGCTGCTATCCGCAGCTTGGAGAGCCCTGCGGGGAAGTCCTGCAGGGCTCCCCAAGCTGCAGATGTCTGCCCCGCGGGAGGGGCGCTCTGCTAAAGAGCGCCCCTCGTGCGGGGCAGCAGGCTGCTATCCGCAGCTTGGAGAGCCCTGCGGGGAAGTCCTGCAGGGCTCCCCAAGCTGCAGATGTCTGCCCCGCGCGAGGGGCGCTCTGCTAAAGAGCGCCCCTCGTGCGGGGCAGCAGGCTGCTATCCGCAGCTTGGAGAGCCCTGCGGGGAACTCCTGCAGGGCTCCCCAAGCTGTGAATGTCTGCCCCGCGCGAGGGGCGCTCTGCTAAAGAGCGCCCCTCGTGCGGGGCAGCAGGCTGCTATCTGCAGCTTGGAGAGCCCTGCGGGGAAGTCCTGCAGGGCTCCCCAAGCTGCAGGTGTCTGCCCCGCACAAGGAGCGCTCTGCTTAAGAGCGCCCCTCGTGTGGGGCAGCAGGCTGCTATCCGCAGCTTGGAGAGCCCTGCGGGGAAGTCCTGCAGGGCACCCCAAGCTGCAGATGTCTGCCTCGCACCGGGCAGCAGGCTGCTATCCGCAGCCTAGGCAGCCCTCCGGGAACTCTTCTGAAGGCTGGCGGCGGGAGAAGGGCTTTTCTTCCCCCCGCCAGCCTTCAGAAGGCTGTTCTGAAGGCTGGCGGTGGGGAGAAAAGTCCTTCTTTCCCCGCCAGCCTTCAGAAGAGGTCTGGGGACAGACTGTCCCTGGACCTGGTCTGAAGGCGGTCTCCATAGGAACGCATTAATTGATTTTCAATGAATTCCTATGGGAAACCGTGCTTCGCAAGACGAAAAACTCGCAAGAAGAAAAAACTTGCGGAACGAATTAATTTCGTCTTGCGAGGCACCACTGTATTTATATTCGGTGTTAGCCACACTGAGCCTGGTCTTGGCCTGGGAGGGCAGGGTATAAATTTATTATTATTATTATGGACGCGGGTGGCGCTGTGGGTAAAAGCCTCAGCGCCTAGGGCTTGCCGATCGAAAGGTCGGCAGTTCGAATCCCCGCTGCGGGGTGCACTCCCGTTGCTCGGTCCCAGCGCCTGCCAACCTAGCAGTTCGAAAGCACCCCCAGGTGCAAGTAGATAAATAGGGACCGCTTACTAGCGGGAAGGTAAACGGCGTTTCCGTGTGCGGCTCTGGCTCGCCAGATGCGGCTTTGTCATGCTGGCCACATGACCCGGAAGTGTCTCCGGACAGCGCTGGCCCCCGGCCTCTTGAGTGAGATGGGCGCACAACCCCAGAGTCTGTCAAGACTGGCCCGTACGGGCAGGGGTACCTTTACCTTTACCTTTATTATCATCATCATCAGTGCACAGCTCACAGCTCATAGCAGCAGTGGCCTGCCTTCTGGTGCCCCCGGGGTAGCATGCGACGCCTCTGACCGTGCCGGAGGAGTTCACACGCCCCACACAAGTGCTAACCCAGGTTTTCAAGGGGTTTTGCGGTACCCAGTGAGCAGCGGTGGAAGGAGACACACTGCAGGGGCTTCTTCATCGGCGGGGGAAGCTAAACACCAAGATCCTCTGTGCATGCAAACATTTCTTCAACAGAATGCAAAGATACACATCTACTGCCTGTCCACTGAGCTTGCAAGTCGGCACATTCCACTGACATTTGTCCTGCAAAGAGATTCGGCACAGCAATAAAACACCGCCCACTCGATTGCCACTTACCCAGCGATTCTTTGCCTCCAGTTGCGATAGGGGTCGTACAGGCTTTCACAAAAAGCCAGCGCGTGTCTTACAAACTCCTCTATGGGCGTCTGGTCGGCTACTTCTTTCTCCTTCGTTTTGCTCTTTAGCTGAAGAGACAACAAAAAAACCACAACGGTCACCAAAACACTTTCAGAACTACCAGTTTTGCACGCACCGCACCCCTGCCTGAAATGCTGGACAGCTGTTGCCGGTTGAGAGGAATCAACAGCCTGACTCTGTGGAAAGCAGCTAGCTACCCGTGGTTTCCAGGAAACGAAATGAAATGTACCATACTTTTCGCTCTATAAGACGCACCAGACCACAAGACGCACCTAGTTTTTGGAGGAGGAAAACAAGAAAAAAAATATTCTGAATCTCAGAAGCCAGAACAGCAAGAGGGATCGCTGCGCAGTGAAAGCAGGAATCCCTCTTGCTGTTCTGGCTTCTGGGATAGCTGCACAGCCTGCATTCGCCCCATAAGACACACACACAGTTCCCTTTACTTTTTAGGAGGGAAAGAGTGAGTCATAGAGCAAAAAATACGGTAGGGTTTTCAAAGAGAGCTGCGCAGAAGTGAAATACCACGTTCATCAGGCTCAGAGGCACAAGGAAGACGGGGGTTTCGGGATCGAGGACAAAATCATGCATGCCCTCCGACCAGGTCTTCTTTCCTCTCCTACCCTTTCCATACAGATGTGAGAGCATTGCCAAACGCACCGACTTTTCTGTTGTTGTTCTGTTTAACTGTAAAGGTTTTCGATTCTACAGTGAAATCTAACCCCCTTCCCAGTCCCTATGTAATTATCAGCACCAATTGGAGCAGTTAAACCGAAGCACATGCAAAAATGGAAACAAATGCTCCAATATTGCTTTTGTCTCGAATAAGGGATATTGAGGTTTTATCTCCCATGTCCTTGCCTCTTCCCATAGGCCTCCCTACTGGCCAGTCCCAAGATGATGATGATGATGATGATGATGATGATAAATAAATATTTTTATTATTTGTGGCCAACCCATCTGACAGGGTTTCCAGGCGGCCATAATCAGAAGAGGCCCAAAAAGCAAATTTGAAATAGGATGTGAGAGCTCCCGTAATTGTTTATTTTTAAAAGATGTGTAAACCACTCGCATTATAAAATATCAGAGGGGTGTGCAGAAAACCCAAAATAAGTACAAAGCACATGCTAAAAATTATACAGCTAAAATAGCAGTAAGAGAAAATTGCCTTGGAGGCACACACACAGTATAATTTTCTCTGTTTATTTCCCCCCACAGTTCTTACACCAAACTGCTTGTTAAATTTGGGAGTGACCAGAGGGAGCTTTAAAAAAAAAAGTTAGTGAATTCCGGGAATCCCCTTCTGCACAGGAAACCTGCAAAATGGACTAGAGGCCAGCTGATGGAAGTCAATTATTATAAGTTATTGCTGCATTTTAAAAAAAAAATTTGACTGTCAGCAAGCTGTGATGAGGTTTTTTTGGGAGGGGAATCCTACCATATTTAATATTTAAAATTAATGGGGGGAGGGGATTAAAGAGGGGATTATTTGGCAAGTACAGTGGTACCTCGGGTTAAGTGCTTAATTTGTTCTGGAGGTATGTGCTTAACCTGAAACTGTTCTTAACCTGAAGCACCACTTTAGCTAATGGGGCCTCCTGCTGCCACCGCACCGCTGGAGCATGATTTCTGTTCTCATCCTGAAGCAAAGTTCTTAACCTGAAGCACTATTTCTGGGTTAGTGGAGTCTGTACCTGAAGCGTATGTAACCCGAAATACCACTGTAGTATACCATCTATGAGAACAAGTTGTTACTCAAGAAGTTTCCAGCCACGAACTTGCCTTAGGAAAGCAACTCTCTCTTGGTCTCAGCCCCCATTGTCAATATGGGAATAATAACACTGACCTGCAGCTTTATTTATGAGGATTGAGGTAGTTTGCTTAAAACATTCTGAACCAAAAAAAAAACCACTTCTAAAATATCTAAAATTACCGAAGGGAAGGCAACTTTCTCTTCCTGCCTGGCTGGGGGGCAGGGTCAAACGTTGCTGTGGGGCAGAACCAGAATTCAGACCACTCTGCTTCCGTTTTCACCATGGCTACCCCAAATTCCCAATTGTACACAGCCCTACTGAGTTCAATGGATATACAGTGGTGCCCCGCAAGACGAATGCCTCGCAAGACGAAAAACTCGCTAGACGAAAGGGTTTTCCGTTTTTTGAGTCGTTCCGCAAGACGAATTTCCCTATGGGCTTGCTTCGCAATACGAAACGTCTTGCGAGTTCTTGCGAGTTTGTTTCCTTTTTCTTAAAGCCGCTAAGCCGTTAATAGCCGCTAAGCCGCTAATAGCCGTGCTTCGCAAGACGAAAAAACCGCAAGACGAAGAGACTCGCGGAACGGATTAATTTCATCTTGCGAGGCACCACTGTACTCTTGTAACAAAAGGGTATGTAGGATTTTTTAATTTTTAGTACAAAATACATATATACCGTATTTTTCACTCTATAGGACACACTTTTCCCCCCTCCAAAAATGAAGGGGAAATGTGTGTGCATCCTATGGAGTGAATGCAGGCTTCAGGAAGCTATCCACAAGCCTTCGGAACGTGGCGGAAGTGCCCGCCGGGCTCCGAAGGCTTGCGGATAGCAGCCTGCAGCCCGAAGCCCGGGGAGCGCAGCGCTGCACACCCCAGGCTTCGGGCAGATATCCACAAGCCTTCGGAGCCCGGCAGGAGTTCCTGCCGGGCTCCCAAGGCTTGTGGATAGCAGCAAGCTGTGGAAGCGAAGGCGAGGTTGCGCGTAACCTCGCCCCTGCTCCCGGACCCGTTCTGGTGGCTGGGGTCGGGGGAAGCTCGGGCTAAAAAGGAAGCTAAAAAGCTCGGGCTAAAAAGGATCCATCCCGCTAGCTGTCTTGGCTTCTGCCAAAGCCACACGCAGCCTCTCCCGGCTGGAGAGGTTGTGCGTGGCTAAAGAGGAAGCGAAGACAGCCAGCAGGATGGATCCCGCTGGCTGACTTGACTTCTTTGCTCTTTGGGGCTGGGGAAGGGGGAATAAATTTTTTTTTCTTTATTTCCTCCCCAAAAAAACTAGGTGCGACCTATGGTCCGGTGCAGCCTATAGAGCGAAAAATACTGTAACTACTCTTGTAGAAACCAAGTGAAAGTAATTCCTTTCTGACTTTAGTGTCGCACACTCATGATCAGAAGAAGGAAGGAACAAACAAACAAGAAGGAAGAAACTCTAATGAGACAGAAAACAGGGGCATTCAGCAAGTATTGGAGGTTTTATAAAATGAGGTGGGGGGCACATGCAGTCCCCACACACTTTAGGCAAGTTGGTAGGGCAGAGCTTTCCAAACTGTGTGTCGCAGCACATTGGTGTGTTGGCTGCGATGTGTAGGTGCATCATGCAAACGCTTCTCCCGGGGCTGGAAAGGGGTTTGTTTAACCTCTGGTTTGCTAGTAAAACTAAATTACTGTGTCACGACATGATGCAAAACTGAATTACTGCATCACAAAATGATGTCTAAAAAGTGTGTCGCCCACACAAAACGTTTGGAAAGCTCTGCATTAGGCTCTCCATGTAATGTTGAGCTAGCAAACCTTTCGCCACCTTATAAATTACCCCCTAAATTTATTTTCAGGCATTCCTTTGCCATTGCAGTATGGCTACAAAAATAAAAAGCAATCAAGAATTCTCACAAAACTTATTGTAAAACTCATTTCTACCTCACTGCCATCAGGGACGCAGGTGGCGCTGTGGGTTAAACCACAGAGCCTAGGATTTGCCGATCGGAAGATTGGCGGTTCAAATCCCCGCAACGGGGTGAGCTCCCCTTGCTCGGTCCCTGCTGCTGCCAACCTAGCAGTTCGAAAGCTCGTCAAAGTGCAAGTAGATAAATAGGTACCACTCTGGCGGGAAGGTAAACGGCGTTTCCATGTGCTGCTCTGGTTCACCAGAAGCGGCTTAGTCATGCTGGCCACATGACCCGGAAGCTGTCAGCATACAAACGCCAGCTCCCTCGGCCTATAAAGCGAGATGAGCGCGCAACCCCAGAGTCGGTCACGACTGGACCTAATGATCAGGGGTCCCTTTACCTTTGCCATCAGGTGCCCTGTTCTAACCAGTCAACTAAATCTGAACTCCAGTGGTGGAATTAATTTTGTCGCTCCAAATGAAACGCCTGGGTGGGGGCTTGGAAATAAAGAGATGAATTGTGTCGCAGGTGACAGGACACATAGCCAAATCAAGTGTTGGTGAGTTTATTCTGAGTGCAGCACCAGTTTCTGACTAGAAAGCAATTGAAGCAAATTACAGGTTCACCTACCTGCTGAATATACAGTGTAGTCATCGTAATGACATGGTTAATATAGGAACAGGTGCCAATCTCCTCCACATTAGCCAAATTTCTGAAAGGGAAATAATAAGGCATGAGTGGCAAGACATGGTAGAACTGTCCAATATGATTTAACGCGCAGCAAAAGAACGGTATATCACGATTTCCCAAAACAATCTGCACCTTGTTATAAAAATACAGAATAATCTCACATTAAGAGGTTGTCTTTAAACATGGAAATTAAAGCCATTCAAAGCCGCTTGATGGCAAACCGTATCGTTAATGGAATTGAAATCCTCTTTCCATCACCAAATAGCATCAAAATGGTTCACAGCAACACTGCATGTAGATTTAGACATTGGACCATCAACAATTTTGTGTGTGTGTTTTACAACTTTTTGTATGTTTTAGAACGTTTGTGAGGGTCACCCAAGCTACAGAAGAAAGCCAACTGAGGTATTTGGAACCAAATTGGATGAGGCTAGAATCAGAAGTAGGGAAGAATCACAGAATTGTACAGTTGGACACAACCCAGAGAGTCATCTAGTCCAAACCCCCTGCAATGCAGGAATCAAAACTAAAGCATCCATGACAGATGGCCATCCAAACTCTGTTTAAAAACTTCTGAGGAAGAAGAGTCCACAACCCCATGAGGGAGCCCATTCCGATGCCAAACAGCTCTTACTGCCAGAAAGTTCTTCCCAATGTTTAGTCACAATCTCCTTTTTCAAAACTTGAATCCATTGCTTTGGGTTCTACCCTCCAGAGGAAAAGAAAACAAGCTTGCTCCATCTCCCATGTGGCAGCCCTCGAGATATTTGAAGGTGGCTATCATATCTCAGCCTGCTCTTTACCAGGGTAAACCTTGTTTCACATCAGATGTCCTGCCCCTACGTCACTGATGGACCGTCGCATGGATCACTGTGGCCAGGTCGGGGCAGGAAAGGTAAGGGACCAACTGCTTGATGCGGCGAAGGTGGAAAAATGTCGCCTTGGCTGTTGCTGTAACTTGCGCCTCCATGGAAAGGGAGGCATCAAGGATTACACCCAAACTCTTAACGGAAGGCAATGGCACTAATTGGGCCCCCGCAAGAGAAGGGAGTTGGTCCCTCATCCCCATGCCATCCCGACCTAGCCATAGGACCTCTGTCTTTGAAGGATTTAGTTTCAATCGGCTCCCACGAAACCATCCAGCCACAGCTTCCAAGCATCTGGTCAGTGTGTCCGGGGCCGAGTCGGTGTGACCATCCATCAGCAGATAGAGCTGAGTGTCATCAGCATATTGGTGGCAGCCCAGCCCAAAGCTCCGGGCAATCTGAGCAAGGGGGCTTGAGACGCTCTGCACTGTAAATGTTTTTGTACAGATAATAAAGCCTGGAAAAGATCGGCGGGAGTCTTGCCTCTTCGCTCTCCAGCAACCACGCCGGCACCTAACAAGTTGGGAATTGGTAAGATAACAAACGGCGAGGCGGAAGTACTGGTGATATCTCCCCGTAAACACTCCACGCCCCAGCCTGCTTCTGAAAAGTCATCTAGGTTTCTTTATAATAATAATAAAAAATACCGGCAAAGAATAATGAAGAATTTGACCAGGAGAAGCGACAAGGCCTGTTGTGGTTCTTCCAGCCCTTCTGACAATTTCTGGACACACTGCAGCAACTGGAGCCTCAAGACCTGAAGGATGTTATCAGGAAGCAGCGATATTCCCGGAGGGACATCATCCACCCTAAAAATAAAGCCAAGAGCTTTTTTTATATATATATAAAAAAAACTAGGGCAAGCAGCAATAATCGCTAACTTATTTTATGCACGTAACATCTTTTACTGCACTTGACAATACAATGGTATCCAGACATTTCACTGCCAGAGGGCCAATAAATTGTAATAATGCCAATAAATTACGTAAGATTGACTCTTGCACTTTAATCCTATAATTAACACTTTAAATAAATATTTGACTTTAAGAATAAAAAAGCCTTCACTCTGGCACAGGACGGTTATGAGATCATAAGCAGGTGTACAGGCTGCCAGGGCTCACTAAATGCCAAACTGTTGATTCAGAAGAAGCAAAGCATAACAGGTTAACAATGGGTGTAATCCACATGAAATTAAACACTTTTCAATTCCATTGGTTTCAACGGGAGAGAGTGGAGCATGTGCTTACTTCTCTTGTAGAATTCAAATATTTAATTTAAGATGGATCGGACCGGATACCAATCCTATACGCTAACCGGAAGGGCCAGAAGTCCAATGAGATATGACGTTTTCAGAAGTAATTACAGTTGTAAAAATCAATTTGTGTCCGCTAGTTGTTCCCCAAACTAGTCACTTCTCTGGGGATTTCGATTCCAGAAAAGCACGTCAGTGTCCGAGTCACCTTATAGCAGGCAAACCTGCATTTCTCTATTTATACTCTTGACAGCGTAATTAGAAGGGTGAGGGCTTGGCATATTCAAATTCCTTTCGCAACTGAAAAATGTTCCCCTGCAGGAACGCAAACAGACTTTTTTTAACCAGCTGGCAAGGGTTCATCCTTTCAATTGTAAGTAGAACAAGATGCCATCGCTGCGTTGGGAAACTCAAAGCAGCAGAATGGATTAATCTTTCATGTTCTCCTGAGCGCAGCTGTCAAGAGATCTATTATACCACAGAGGGCTCAATCTTGCCTGCCCCCCGCCGACGCCCCCCCCCCCAGCAGTGGCTGCAGAAACAGCCACAAACGACATGCTAAACATCCTGGTCTGAAATGTGCTTCTTAGAAACAAGCATCTGGTTGTTTCAAGAGAATTTACTTCCTTGAAATGTGTTCAGGACTGGGGTGCATTAAGATTGCTAGGAGAAAGGATTGGCGGGTGAGAAGGCTAAGCAAAAGCAAAGCCTGCAAACCACAGGATGAGTGCGTGCCATTGGTTGCATCCTGCATTCGGTCTGCGAGCCAGAAATGATCCAATGGATGGTTGCTGCCCCACATTTGTTATACAGTGGTACCTTGGTTCTCAAACGCCTTGGTACTCAAACAACTTGGAACCCAAACACTGCAAACCCGGAAGTAAGTATTCCGGTTTGCGAACTTTTTTCGGAAGCTGAACGTGCTCCGGTTTGAGTGTTACGCTTCTGATTTGAGTACCACACTTCTGATTTGAGTGTTATGCTGAGGTTTGTCTGTTTTTGCTATTTATTTTGCGTTTTTGTGGCTCTTTTTTTTTGTGTGTGACTGTGTAGAACCCAGTTCAGCTACTGATTGATTGATTGTGTGACTGCAGTACATTTTTTACTGCTTTCATTTTATGGATCAATGGTCTCGTTAGATGGTAAAATTCATGTTGAATTGCTGTTTTAGGGATTGTTTTTAAAAGTTTGGAATGGATTAACCCATTTGCATTACTTTCTTTGGGAAAGCGCACCTTGGTTTTAGAACGCTTTGGTCTTGGAACAGACTTCCGGAACGGATTAAGTTTGAAAACCAAGGTACCACTGTACAAAAGAAAATAAGAAGAAAACCAACAGGAAACTACTAGATTTCTATGTAGCAAGGTATAAAACACGGTAATTCATATCAATTGCAGTCCTTCCACGTTTCAAATCTTCCTACCATCAATGCTTTGTCGGCATTACATTGTAATGTATTCTAAGAGACGGCATTCTTCCTATGCAATCTGGTTATTACAGACAGCAAAAAATATGGTAATCTGAAACACAATGTATAGAAGATATAATGGGAAGCAATTTGCTATTTGATGCCAGCTATCCAATACTCTATACAGTCTCGCCTTGTCTTTAGCTGCCTAGATATCTTCCCTTGTTCATCTGCTGCAATAAAAGTCCAGTCCTCTATGACGATTTTCTTTTTAGGTCGCAAGTTTAATCCCGTCATTAATCTCAGAGGAAAACAGCGGATTTTATACTGAGCACTCCGTAGCAGCACTGGAGAGTAATGGTGATGGAAGCTACTGTTCATGCATTCATGTCGTCTTTAAAAAAAATACTATTAGTTAAGGGGGGGGGGACACACAATCCATTTAATCTTTTTTTAAAAAAAAAAGTATTCACAATCTGCTAAGCATCCAAGTCCACCTGTCGTTTGTCTACTGGTAATGTGTCTCATCCTCTGAATCTCAGGAATATATGCTTGGTTTGCAACTGTCTCTGCCGCTGTTGCTGTTTAACAGGTTTAATCAATCAAAAGGTTGATTCAATGGTCATCATCGAAAGCAAACCAAGGCCAAGATCCTAAGCATCCTTCCTAGGGAGTAAACCCCACTAGACATGGTGGGAACTGACTTCTGAGTAAATGTGTCTATGACTATGCAGCTGAAATCACATACTGAGGTCATTTCCTGGTTCACCGCAAACAAGAATGTTTACCTGGCTCTGTAATTTGGCAGTTCAAAGCCCATTTTTAAAGAATGAACACCAGGACAATCAAGAAATACCAGTGTGGAACAAGTGGGGTGGGGGTTAAACACGTAAACACAGGGCTTATTCACACTGAAAATTTACTTTGGGTTACTGCGGATTCCCCTTTGATTTAACCAGCAGCTGACCTGGGAAAACCTAGGAATTGGTAGTGTTTCCACTGGAAGTTAATTACACAGTTCAGTCACGTTTGAGAGCAAACTGCGAGATGTAAAAGTTTGTAGAATCAGTGGCCGTGATTGGCGTGGCATATAAAGGCAGAAGGAGCCCAAATGAGCACCTGGGAGCAGGAATTTGGCAGAACTTCAAACCGTGGTTTCTGAAGCTGGCTTCTTAACTAACCTGAATTTGTTAATAAACCACCCTCTATAGTTCACCCAACAAGTGGGGATTCCATGTAAAAAACGTAAGAAGAGCCTGCTACCCGCTCATTCCTACTCTTGCTTTCTGAAACTTATCAAATTTGTGACCCACAAGAGGAAACACAGCCCAACTCCTCTCCTCCCTGCCATGTAAGGCCCATGGCTCATTCCAGCTTGTGTATGTCACACAAACCCACGGTTTATTATATCATATGGATGCAGCTGCTAAGTTTTCATCGCACTTCTGTCGAGCAAAATGTCTGCAAGCAGCACAGCCACAAGGTAGAGAAGTCCCAAAGAGATGACATATTTCAAGACACACATACTTATTAAATCAGCCATATCACTTTTAGGCATCAACACAAAGAACTATTATTTCTACATACCTAGTGGGCAGCTTTTCAAAATCTACATCCAGAAACTGTTCGTAACTAGAAACAAAACTGTCCAACCAGAGCTTCAAGTAGTCTGGGTCTTTCTGCAAAGGCAAACAGATTTAAAAAGTTAATTTTTCTTCCAGAAGCATTTGTAAATGTGTGTGTCCAATGCTGCCCCATTCCTGCCCTCCAAGTTTCCTGCCATAATCATGTATTACTTGGTGTTGAGGTCACTTTAAACTTCCCAGAATACCACTCTGCTTCCTGACACTGCTGCCCTGACGCTGAGATATTCCCTAACAAGACTGAGCGTTGCCCAGAGATTCCACTTCCCCAAACACTCAAAAATAATAAAATAAAACATAATATGACATCAGCAACTTCATACTTTTTTATAACCATATCCAATAAATTGGGAGGAAGGCAAGGACATTGACCTGTTAGGTCCCCAAGACAGGCTATGAGATGATGATGATGATGATCATCATCATCATCATCATTTTAGTATTGATTTATTATATTATTTATACCTCACCCATCTGGCTGGGTTTCTCCAGCCACTATGAGATGGAATGGACGGGCTTACAGTGGTAGAACAAATGCAAGCTTAAAAGGACAGAAGGTCAATCTCTCCTTTCTTCAGTTGACAACAGATCTCAGGAAGCAGGGCTGGAAAAGACCTATCAACAAGAAACCTCAAAGCTGCTGCCAGCATCAGTGCAGAGCTAGGTGGACCAAGTGTCTGACTCTATAGACGCAGCTTCTTGTCTTTAACATATCCTTAGATGTTATAACTTAGCTAGAAGGTATAAGAAAGAACATCTTTTTGGCAGAAGGCAGACAAGATAAAGAGTGGGGCAGAGCAGAAGGGAAGGCTGGGGAGCAACTGAGCAGAGCCGACTTAGAGAATGTCGTGGTGGTCATTTTTGCCAATGACAGTCAAACGTCATTGTGTCACAGCTGGCCAAGAATAAACTTTGGCTGCAGCTCATAGCCAGTGAGCTAAGAGCTTAAGCATGAGCCCAAGTCTGGACGACACGCTAAGCCAAACCTTAGCTTAGCCTGGAGCAGAGCAGGAGTAGAAAAGACAGGGGAGGTGCAAAGCAGCTGGAAGGTCCTCTCCAGAAGGCCACATATTCGTGCATTAAGCCAATTTAGTTTCCCATGCTGGGTGAATCAGGCCACTGGGACCATGCCAAGTTCCATGGTGATCACAGCTAGTCCACCACTTTGAGTGGAACAGTCACAGCAATCTCTCGTGCTACTCTTACAACACGTCTCTCTGCCATGATTTAGAGCTACCATTGCTGCAAGAAGCTGAACACAGTTTGCAGAAAGCTGATGTAGCTCCTGTGGAAGTCAACCACATAAAGACTCGGGCGGAACAGCTCTCAAACTTGTGGGCATTGGCAAGTCCCACAATCTGCTTTATCGGGTTTACATTTGTGAGCGCATGGCGAATCGCCTCCAAAATTCCCATCCCTTCTCAAGTGGAGCCTTGAGTCAGCATCTTCATCTACCCAAGCAAAAGCAGCTCCGATATGAATTTCAGGAGAAGCTGTATGGAACACGGGGACCTGGAGAATTAATTGCAACCATTTTTTAAAAGTCGTGTTGTTGGCACCCGTCTGTCTTGAGAGACCATTGGAGTGTGCCTCTGGGGCAAAGACAATCCACTGAAGAATCACAGCACCTGCTGTGGCTGCAGAGACCGGTAGCTCGTAGCTGCTGCTTTCTCCTGCATTGTTTCTGTGGCATAAGCAGCATCTACCGTATTTTTCGCTCCATAGGGCGCACCGGACCATAGGGTGCATCTAGTTTTTGTTGGAGGGGGATTTCCAGCCGGTGGCAGAGGACAGAGTGACTCCAGGAGACATAGGTGTAAAAACCCAAACTAAAACGAAGACTTTATTACTAAGCAAATAAACACAAACTCTGGTGGATGTTATTCCTGCAGGCAAGCAACAAAACTCAGCTTTTTTCCTTTATAGCAACGGTCACCTGCAGCCAATTAATCCCAGAAACTTCTTAAAGGTATACACACATGTTTCTGTGCCGAATGTCCTCTAACACCCCCTCTCATTCAAACAGAAACAATAATATTTTAAACAGAACAGAACATATTTACATATCACACACAGCAACTCCCAACTTTGCTACCAGTCGTGCATGTTTTTTGAATTTCTAAACCGAGATAATTTTTTACTGGACCCAAATCTCTTACTTTAAATTCCTTTCTTAGTTGTTCTGCAAATTTTTCCACTTGCTTGTCACTTTTTGTAGAGTAAAGCAAATCATCAACATAACACAAACACAATTCTTGTTTATCACCCTTTCCTTTAGTGTACAAGCAGTTATCAGCTAAGCTTCTTTTAAAGCCAAGATTTTTTAAAGCATTATCAAGACACTCGTTCCAATTTCTAGCTGACTGTTTGAGCCCATAAATTGCTTTGTTCAGCCTATATACAGAATTCTGTTCTCCTGCCTCAAAACCTGGCGCTTGATTCATAAAAATTTCTTCTTGCAGATTTGCGTTAAGATAAGCTGTTTCAATATCAAAATGGTTTACCTTAAACCCACGTTGTGCTGCAAGAGCTAGCAATAAGCGTACACTTTCACTCCTTGCAGTAGGAGAAAAGGTTTCATCAAAGCTTTCACCTTTTCTTTGAGTAAAGCCTTGTGCTACCAGTCTGGCTTTGTACTTAACATCACCATCTGCCAAGTGTTTTATTTTATACACCCATCTACAGCCCACTGCCTTTTTTCCTTCTGGCAATGGCTCAATGGTAAAGACATTGTGTTCTGCTAAAGATTTCATTTCTGCTTTCATTGCATTTTTCCACCTTACTATTTCCTGGTGTGGTAACTTTAAAACTTCCTCATAATCACGAGGTTCCTTTTTCACATCAACAGTTTTAGCTTCTTGTATAGTAAACCTTTCTGGAGGTACCCCCTTATTGCTTCTTTGTGACCTTCTAACTTGAACACTCTCCCCCTCTGAACTATCTTCCCCTTCTGATTCTCCCTGCTCAGGAGAAATTGGTTCAGCTTTAGGAGATTGTGTACTGGGATCCTCATCCCCTGAATCCTCATCACTGTCACTTTCAGAACCTTCTTTAATTTGTGGCTTTTCTTCCTCAGATTTCACAAATTTATCTGTATCATCAGAAGATAACACAACTTCTGAATTTCCATGTAAACGAACCCAACCATCTTGCTCACAAAACTCTGCATGTCTTGATATTACAACTCTGCCACGCCCTAGTGCAAAACGATACCCCTTTGACCAAGTTTGATAGCCAACAAACCTAAGTTTCTTTGCCTTGGGCTCTCCTTTCCTTCTCTGTCCTTTTGGGATGTGAACCCAAGCCCAGCAACCAAAAGTTTTAACATGGTCCAAAAAGGGTTTTTTTCCATAAAGCAAAAAATGAGGGGTGTTGTTTATGGTAGAATGAAACAATCTGTTCTGTATGTAGTTAGCACACAGAATTCCTTCTCCCCAATACTTCCTGGATAGGCCAGAATCACATAGCATTGAATCTAGCATTGTTTGTAAAGATCTTATCTTGCGTTCTGCAACTGAATTTTCTTCAGGCGAAAAAGGACACGATTTACGGTGACTAATACCACGCTTTTTCAACCAAACTTGGAGGGCTTCAGACATGAACTCGCCTCCAGGGTCACTTTGCAACTGGGTAACTTTGTAGGGAAACTGCCTTTCTATATAGTTGACCCAATTCTTAATCAGTTGACCAGTTTCACTTTTGTGTTTTAACAAATATACCCAAGTATACCGGCTATAATCATCCACAAGAACCAAAAAAAACTTTGCTCCTCCTTCAGACTCTGCAAATGGCCCACAAAGGTCTGAATGTACTAAAGCAAATGGCCTCTTGCTAATTCTAGTACTTTCAGGATAAGACCCTCGCTTACTTTTAGACTCCTTGCAGGTATTGCAGTCTAGAAAAACTGAACATTTTTTCATTTTAATTCCCTTGCTTAATTCTGGCATTTTTGCAATACTGCGGAAATTGGCATGCCCCAAACGACGATGCCACAGATGCTGGCACTCATCATGCAAGGCTCTATTACAGGCTTTAACACATGCCCCAGACTCACTTACTAGCTGGTCTTTCAAAACAAACAAACCATTTTGTAGCGACGCTGTAACCACTTTTCCAGCTTTCTCTATTCTACAGCCTGAACCAGAAAAGGTTACTTTAAATCCCTGCTTAACAAGACTTGTTACTGAAAGCAAATTATTTTCTAAACTTGGTACACATAAAACATTGGTAAACTTGGTACTTAAACAGTTGATATTCACACTACCCTTTCCAGCTGACTCATGCACTGTTCCATCAGCTAGTACTACATTTACAGATTTACAAGGCTGCTTTTCTACAAGGGTTTGTGCAGACTTAACAAAAATGTTTGTCGCTGCTGAGTCTAAAATCCAGTCTTGTTCAACGTCGTGACTGGTGCCTCGAACTGCTGCAGAAACATACTGGACTCGACTCTTCCTGTCTCCTCGCTTCCCAGCAAACGCAGGCCGCCCTTGTCTTGTATTTTCTCCCACAGACACAGTGCACTGTCGTACTAAATGCTTGGTTGACCCACAACGATAGCATCTTCTAACTGTGAACGCTGCTTCCTCTCTGTGGTCTACAACCTCTTTAGGATGCCGCTCCTCATTAGTTGCATATCTTTTACTGGACTGCCTCCCATTTCTGGAGTTACGGTGAGGGGTTGTGGCCTTCCTCTCATGGCGTCTTTCCTCCTCATCAAGCAAACGCCCAGTTAAGAAATGCATTGTTAATTGGCTTTCTGGGATTGCTTCCAGAGTCATCACTAAATTGTCCCATGACTCAGGAAGTGAAGACAGCACAATATAAACTTTTCTCTGTTCAGAAAAATGTTCCCCAAGTTCATTTAACTGTGAAAATAAATCACGCATTCTTTGAAGGTGTGTTGAAACACATTCACCCTCACTTAGTCTGGCTCGGTACAGAGCTCTCATTAGAGTAATTTTGCTGCCAGCAGTGTCTCTAATATGTATTGCTCTCAGTGCTTGCCAAATCTCACTTGCTGTTTCAAGGTCTCG